TCCTATAATTTTTTCGGAATATCATTTTAATCTTCTCTGTGATATTATCTGTTCGTTCGTTTCGCTCTCTCGTGCAGATATCAAGACCACCTCGGAGATAAAAAAGATCATAGGATATCCGATAAATACTTCACAATGTAATGCAATGCTTACAATTCATTTAAAACAATAGATATAATATGTTATTCTACACTTAGTGTACTAAAACTATAATAGAAAATAGATTGACAAAATGAATTTTTGTGAATTTTTGTTTTATTATTATCTCACTGCCATGTTTCTCATCCTGTAATTCGATTGGTTTAACACACATCACGTGATATAGAATATCCTGTGATATTCACCTCGTTCACCTCGTTTTGAAGAGCGTATATTCACAACCCTCCATTTTTAATATTGCTGCTCGGGGAATGGATTGTCCATACCTTACCCCCTGGGCTAGAGTAGGAAGAGTTAAAATTCAACGCAGTAAATGACATATTCACCGGACCAACATTATGCCAAGTGCTGTCGTGGCAAATAGATATTCGTATTACATGATGTTTGTTTTTTGCATATTCAGATGTGAAAGGACCCGAAGGACCGTTGTTCTCATCTGCATCTCAGTGCAGGTTCCAGCAACAACAGCCACAACAGCAAACCACTGCAAGACCTCAGCACCAGTACGTCCAACCAACTACACATCAAATACAACCAGAGGGTACATATGATTTCATATGTTGTCTCAAATGTGAAAATATATGAATAGCTCCTTTGTTGCAACGTTTAATATAAAGATTATATATACATCATATATTATAGATGGCGTTTTGGATCCAATCGAGTGCTTTAGCCGATGCGACCCGATGAACGCACCGCCGCAATACCAGACACGTGACCATCCAGAGTATTCAGCATACACGAGACAGCCTTACTCATCCGTTGATACCAACACTCATACCTTGGAACAACTCAAAGTAAATCTTGACGAAAACGAAACTTCTGATAGTTCAAGCACGATTTCCCCAAACTCCGATCTGTCAAATTTTGGTAAGCAACGATAGAAAAGGATCGTTTACCCAATAAGAGTAGTATCTAACATATGTTTTGGTTATATCATTTATCATGCATTTCGTGTAAAATATAGCGTGGCTCTATTGTGTTCTGATTGGCCAGAATATTATGCAAAACGTCTAATTTTGTGTCAATACTCAATTGATTATACAGTCATCTACTTCAATCAGCTAAGTAGTACAGTTGCCTTTCAGCAGAACCGTTTCCACCATCATCTGACTGGTACCCACATACCTTCGAAACATATCCTTGTTCGCCATCGTTTCAAACTGACCTTACTTTGCAACAAGCACAACATTCTCCATCAAAACGAGTTGCGGTCGATGATCTTCCTAGGTGCTCCCGTCAGTACCAATCGTGTGGCCCTTCATACTGCGCCAATTTACAACATTCTGCGAGAGAATCGTACTGCAGAACATACAGTGTTGATGGGAACAACAATGCGCCACAATGTTATATGCCAAGACAGATATACACTCAACGAAAACCAAAAAGAGCTGGTATGTATTGTGACAATCACACTCATTCAGCTGTGGGTTCTTCATAATAAAATTGACACTATCAAGGGTGTCATGAGCGACCAAAAAATTATTCACTGTGGTTGGATTTCTAAATGATGGAAATGGAGAGAAATTTGACCTTGAGCACTTCACACAAATTTAGGGCAAAATTCCCCAATTATTTATTTTTAATTAACTATATTGTGTATTACTTTTAAATAAATTTAAAATGATTCAATCGAGCATATTGAATTTTCTCTTTTTGATCAAGTCTCGCTCATGACACACCTGTTATCAATTTTAGCCTCTAACTCTCCTCTAAACAAAGGTTTTTCGAAGGTGTCATAATGCTAGGAAATGATTTATCTTTAAAATGATGTATGGTTTAACATAGATCATGATGGTATTCGTTTTTAAATTTGGGTATTGTTTTTTGGCCCACTCTGTATATATTCAATACCATTTACTGCAGTGCTGGTACATCTAAAAACGTTAAGTGGGTTTCATTTCGGGGTAATAAGATGACATTTTTGAAAGTTTTGGTAAATATATATAAATGTAAAAATCATTGTAGTCTGTCATTTACCCGAATTCGGATTCCATATTAACACCTTTTAATATGGTTTGGATGGCTGTGTTACATCTAAATATCCTGATTAGTGTAAATACTTCATACAAATATTTAATGAACAAAACAAAAGTACTTCCAAAAAGTAATCCAACAGAAACCCCCATTAACAAGAATTTGCCACAAACGTTTTTAAAACAAATTTTGATGTCATCCCGGTAGAAATTCATGCAAGAACTTGCTGTTTTAACTTAGGGACAGATAGAAATCACTGAAAATCAGTGGTGGCATTTGGCTCTACTATTATTGTAATTTGAAGGTCCCATATTTGAGGCTGATTACATTCCATGGATGTTCAAACATACTGTAAACGTTCAAGCAATTGTCGGGATTTTCATAATATTTTCATAATACGTATTTGAACAATAGAAGCAAAACGTCCATCAAAATATGAATGTTTTGCAAATTGTTGCACATAGTAGAATTTGTCACATGTCAGGGCCCTGTTGAAATGCTTTTCCCACGAAATTTCAAGATAACCCTGTTTGCCGAGATAATTGACAATTGAAATGTTTAAAATGGTAGCACGTGTTGCGTTATTTACGACACTTACGATACTTCAAACTTAAGGAAAAATACTGTTGATGTGACAACCTGATAACAGAAAAACGAATGTTTACATAATACGTGTGTATTATCGAATATGCAGCTCGGGTCACTGTGAAAGGTTATAGAAAATTACATGGGAATTTAAAGATCGAACGTTGACACATCAATACCCCATTCCCTAACAGACTTGGTTAAATTTAAACAAATTTAAATTCCAATTAGCGACACTCTAATTGATTTGATCGTTATAAAAACATAGAAAACAAACAATTTGTACGGTAAAAGGTTTATATCATTTTCAGCCAATGTGCTGTTCTCTAACACCCCAGTCACATTTCCTACGGCGACCTTGCGGTCTATCATTTCTGCGGCCAGTAACATTTCTACGCTCGCCGTGGAATTTCTGCGCTCTCATACTTTTGCAGTCACATTTCCCACGGCAGCCGCACGGTGAATTTAAAATTTCTGTTGATAAATAATACTTTTTTCATTTTATTTACATCGGGACAATTTATAAATGTTATTCATAGTGCTAGGATGTATATATCAAATGAAAAGTGATCGTGAAACATTGACAAATAATGATTCAATCTTGTTGAGCCAGTTGATTTCTACGGGGGGACCTCAGAAATGAACAAATATTATAACTACGAGTTATAATTTCTACGGCGACCCTGCGGCCTGTAAAAAAACTGGATACGCCGTACGGAGGCCGCAAGGCGAGCGTAGTTTTCCAACGCTCGCCGCAGAAATGACACTGATTTAATTGATCTGTAAATGGAAAATGGCCACTTTCAAAAACGACGTTGCACCGACGATTTGTAAAATATAGACTTCCAGAGGCACAGTATTTACACAGTATCTATTTGACTGTGTGATTCCCAATTTTAATCATTTAGTTACTTTGGATAACAAATAAATAAAATAACACGTTACAGTTCTTATTCCATAGTTAGCATGATATTCATAGGATAACATTTCAAAATAAAAACGGTATTTTTATAATCAGTGGTAAAATATGATATTTTTGACAAATTTTCACTTAACCATAGCATACGGTGTTTTAGCCATGACATACGGCGCCGTATGCTATGAATTATGGATTTTTGCTACTTCAGACTCAAAACGAGGCTTAGTGTCAATATCGGATCGTTTGGAAAATTCGATTTGAATCACTTAATTCCCGACGATTCTGATGATGACTTTACTATGGAGTAAAAAGAACATCCTATAATTTACTCGCTACGCTCGCTCGTGCAGATATCATATCCATTCATGGATAAAAATCATATCACTCATAAATCATAGGGTATCCTCTATATAGCCTATGTTGTAACAAGATCCCCACATATAAGCAAACAATAGGTCCCTATCAGAATAACAATATCTTTTGCTCAATAACATATCTGCTTTAATAATATCCACTCATGAATAATGGTAAAGGGTTTAAAGCAAATGAAAAACTGCAATGAGCTCTAAAATGTCATTGACTCCTGTTTCAGCCGGCAAGAGCAAGCGACTTTGGGAATTCGTTCGCCAATTATTGCTGTGTAAGAAATATACCAAGTACATCCAATGGGAAGACAAACACAAGGGAATATTCAAAATCAAACGTTCTTCTAAGGTGGCAGAACTTTGGGGAGCATACAAGGAAAACCCTAAGATGAATTATGAAAAGTTTAGCAGAGCACTGAGGTAGACTTATTATTATTCAACCTCGAAACACTTCATCATTGAGAAAGTAAACCTTGCAACATCGATTACAAAAACATTAATGCAAATCAAGTTTCTAGTTGAGTTTCATTCTTTTTGGTGATACTGCACAAAATCGTTAGAAATGTGTGAAAAGAATAAGCATGTGACTCAATGAATTGTGGAGGATTTTATGTACTGTCACCTATGTCTTGCATCCACCCTCATTAAAGACTTGATACGATATATTTGTGATTAAAACTACATCCACTATTCATCGAGCCTTGTGCTTAATTCAATGCATTTTCAGGCACTACTATAAAACCAACGTGTTTATCCGGCACGAGCATCGTCTAACCTACCAGTTTGGGCCCAAGTCGAAGGGATGGAGACAAGGTGAAGTTACATCGTGTGAGCCTCCATTGTTTCACGACAAGCATTCCGCTAAGTGTGGTTATGAATAATCTGGACCAGTGTGAGTCTAAACATGGTTGGACCAATGACGACATTGTAATCAAATAATGAGCTCACCTTAAGTAAATGAACAAACCGCAAAACGCACTGCTGTGATAGGACCAAATTGACGGGTGATGACAATCTCCGAGGACTTCACTGTCTGTAGGACGAACTATCAATAAATTAATTGCTATGTTTATCCCATGATTATTTCAATAATAGTGGAAACCGATTTTTTGATTAAAAATGTAATCACTTCATGCAAATGCGTTTATTAACAAAAATACTTTGCACACAGGTGGAGATTATCATTTTCAAAATTTCAAATATCATGAAACTACTAATTTCAGATTAATCATGTGATGAATGGTAAATTTTATTCAATACTACGTTTGAGCTCACAGGCAATTTATAGTGATACTGCTGTTAAATACTTAACAGTGCACACATACACTGTACTCTGCTACAAAATGGACGAAACCCACCAGGATATCTTGTAATTTTTACGTGAATTAATAGCTTTTATATTTTTATAATATGTACATATATTTTTTAGTTTTGATCAATGATGAAACGTGTTTCTGCACTATCGAATAAGGGGGGGGGGATGTAGCAGAGTTAATGTACTTTGTTGATGAGAGCATATATACGAGTAGTATATGATTTCACATACATACTATATAAATTGTTTATAAATATTGTTACATGTATATACTAAGACCAGAACCGGTGAATACCATTTGCTGTGGACATTGTTAAACAATGTGTGTTATCATAATTGGACATTTGTTAAAATTTAAAATAGTTTATTCAATACGTTCGAAACGTACGCCAATCAACATAATGCCTAAAAGCGTGCTTTATTGCATTGGGGAGGATTTGGGATCCAGAAAATGGGACATCTAGCAAAATGTTCCAATTATTTTCGTCTTGTTCTAAAATATGTATTGCCAAACTTATGAATGCTTTCTTGCTTTACATATAATTTTATAGCTTGCTTTTTATACGCATAACTTTTTATAATTAGTTACGTGTATTGAAAATAAATATATTTACAAACAAGATTTAATCGTGTATGTAGATCGATAGATGTCTTCCAGGTCAATCGAATGCAGCTATTTGATTCGCTGTGATTTATTATACATCACACCCCCTTCAAAAGTTTGGATATTCCAACTGACCCTGTGAGGGTGTGATATATCACCATGTGGGGGGGGGGTGTATAGGGGGTCTTGGAAATCCATATACAATATTTTTCAGCTCTCTTATACCATATACAATATTTTTTCACCATATACAATATTTTTCACAGCTCTTATACCATATACAATATTTTACAAAAGTTTAGGTGAAATACAATATACGATAATTTTGAAACTGCTGTTGATCGAATATTTGATATTTATATTAAGGAAATAAATGTTAGGCGCGAATCCATGTACTACAGTAAATGTATTAAGGACCTCATAGGTTTACATGTTAACCCCCATATTTGTTTAACGACTGTTTTCTAAGCGGGGAACAAAAGAAATCCCAATAAAGTAAATAAATCTGTATTTTGATTCTATTCCCTAAAAAGTCCGCAATGTTCCAATGTTATATCTCCATTACATTCTGTCAAAATTTGATGTCAAAATTGATGAATTTCATGAAATGCAACAAAAATGGCAGATCCCATGTTAAACAAATGGGGAATGGTGGCTTAGGGGCAACTCAGATTTTGGAATATCTATTCAGCAAAACATTTATTAAAAATACTTTCTAAGTAGAAAATTGAATGATTTAACATTTTACATGCTAAATGTCTCGCTTATGTTGTTAAAATTAGCGATACGGAGCGTTAAAGTAATTTTGACCACCTCACTGAACCACCTGTGTTATTTCAATAAGAGGTTCATTAAAAAATTATTGAATTTGAAACCATTAACTTTTGTAAAGCCTGGACAATTAAATCATATTTTGTCAAGTAGACAATTTAGTAAATTTAATTATCTCTTACAATCTCAATTTTGAGAGCAATCGGATGGATGGATCGTTCCTCATATGACTTATGGCAACCCAACCATTCCCCATTTGTTTAACATGGGATCTGCCATTTTTGTTACATTTCATGAAATTCATCAATTTTGACATCAAATTCTGACAGAATGTAATGGAGATATAACATTGAAATGTTGCGGACTTTTTAGGGAATAGAATCAAAATACAGATCTATTTACTTTATTGGGATTTCTTTTGTTCCCCGCTTAGAAAACAGTCATTAATCAAATATGGGGGTTAACATGTAAACCTATGAGGTCCTTAACTTTTTTTGAGGAGTATATTATAAGGCACATAGGCTCCACATATTTACCACAATGATTTCATTTTTTAAATTATGACTGAGACATTACATTCGGGTAGATCCGCATGTTCAGAAATTCTGTGGCTTCTTTTTATTTTCAGGTAAACAAGTTGATGTAAAACATATTTATGGTATAAGATTCTTGACTTCTCTTTATTGATTTCACAATCTACTTTGACCAAAACATTAACTTGACATCTCTGCAATTGGCTAAAGCCAGTATCTGTAAAAGTGCCATAAGAATATTCAAAATTAGCACAAAAATCGCATCATTGGAATGGATGGAACTCACTGTACCTCTTTCTTATGACCTACTTTCCCATAATTTATTTTAATATCAATGGAATCCTTCATAGGGAGTCGGGGGATTTCTTGAAACATAATTGATGCAAAATTGAGAATGTGGAATAAAAGATTCATCATGTGTTCTCTGAAAATAAAGTTTGCTGAGGTAAATATGTACATTATATAACACTATCAGAAAGATAGTGAAGATTCACAATGCACAATAATTTTGTAAGACAGTCACCTGGAGAATTTTAAGTATTGAAAACAGTTTCAAAAACAATTATTAAAGGACTTCCATGTAGATAATTCATTTTTGATTGGACTCGAGTCTGGACTAGAGTTTGCAATAAAGGCAAGATGAGACTTGATTGTTTGATCATTTGAAACAGAAACGCTTCAGGGTTTCAGATAAGGCAGCCTTAAAAACAGTATAAGTCAAACAAAAGTGTGTCAAAATTAAGCAAATTTCCATAAAGGTCAAACCACTTGTTTCACGTATGATTTCAAGGCAAAGATGTGTTGATGAGAATGAAAACTACTCTATGTAACTCGAAATAACCTTCTTTTAAAGGACCATGGATGGTATTGCAACAGATTTCAGTCATATGTTGGATTTTGGCTATTTTCTGAGGATTTTAACAATTGCATGCGTAGGCCATCATTAACTCCAGTACAAGCAGCCAAAGAGATGATAAAATAATTTGGACTTTAAGACAGGGAGGGTGCAAACACCCAATCAACATGTTTTTCTGTAATGTCCTGATTTCCAGTCCTTCAAACATCTGTTTTTTCAATATTTGTTGCATTAACATGTTGTGTTTTGAGACACGGTTAACATCTTGACAATATGATTCATGCTGAGGTTTTTAAGATATCACTTTTGGGTGACTAAAATTAAGCTTAAAACATTTATATATCACATGAGTTTTCCCTATGTGGAAATAACATAAGGAATATTGTTTTCCACTTTATCCAAATGAATCATATTTCCTTTAAATTACTATGTCTACAAATGCAACATATTGATGCACCAAACATTGAAAAAACATATGTGAAAAGGGCAACATTTCAGAAAAACGTTTATGGGGTCTTTGCACCTTCCCTGTCTCAAAGTCCAAATCATTTTGTCACCTCTATGAGTGCTTGATTTGGTTAATGCATTGACCTAACACATGCACCTGTTCAAATCCCCAATCGATAGCCGAAATCTAACATGACAGTTTGAAATCAGTTGCGATACCTTCCGTGGTCAATTCTTTGATTAGTTTTAAGACCAAATAAACACCTTTTGCAATATAAGAATATCTTATGATGCTTGAATTAAAACATACGCTGTATGAACCCTTTATACTCAAACATTTTAATGATTTATCCCAAATACCCCGAAACACAAGTAGCTATAGTGACCATTTTTTCATCAAAGTTGAGAAGAGTCAATGACATTTGGCATTCTTATTCGACACTGTATTTAACACCTCCTGTGAAAATTTGAATGAAAATGGCAAAACCTTTGAGAGTGATTTTCTCAAAACTTATTGATCGACATGGAATGTGGAACCAATTAGAGAGACTACTCTTCCATGTTTTCCAACACGATGACAGTAAAAAGTCAGCACAATGGAGATTTTCAGGGCACAATTTCTTCATAATTAGCCTTCCGAGGGCCCAAATTCTTTTTTAAATACATAATGAACCTTCTGGTGCCTTGAGATACAATATACCATATATTTTCTCTTATACCATATACCATATTTTTATACCATATACGATAAAATTTGCCCCCTGTTATACAATATACAATAAATTTTCACCCTCTTATACGATATACAATATCCCTATACACCCCCCCCCCATGTGGATGGACATATAGAAAAATTATATTTGTGTCACATAAAGTTGATATTATCATGATTATCATAATACAATCACAGTCATGATGTATTAAAAATTGAACTTTGGACGACCTAACCCTGCAACTTACCTACATGTAGGCGGAAAGCTTTCCTCTCAATTTCTCTAAATCTGGAAGAATGTTATTCCAAAGACGTCTATGGTTATTCCAAAAGCAGAGGGGTGTGTTACTTTGGGATACCCTGTATAAATATGATAGTTTACTAAATTTACTTGGTGACGACATTGAACTTTCGCTCTTCTAGCTGAAATTCTAGCTTTCCAACGATGTATCGAAATCTTGCGGAAAATGTGTGTCACGTTGACCTTAACGGGGTAACTTTGAAGCTCTAAGATACGCAGGTGCTTGTATTTCAAGAGTTCTTATCAACTCGGAGCAATAGGGCATTTAAATATTTAGTAATGCATTCCTTGACCTACGCTTCGACTTTTGATCGGTATAGTCTTGAGATACACCCCCTCAAGGTTTTTCACAATAGACGCCCAGGACCTTTCATCGTTCCATGACATAAGAGCAAACACTTTAAGAGTACTTATGGATAACGTAGCCCACGTATTATCATGTTTATCATCGTTTTGTTTCCTTGCTTTGACATATGGTTGATATATACATGAGTACTTCCCTAAACCTAATAGAATATGATAAATGATTTAAGCTTTTATACAAGCAGTTATCTCACTGATGAGGTCATCTTGAATCAGTTTCGATTTCAATACTTTCAATATAATTCATTGAAAATGAAACTTGTGTTGTATGATTCACAAGTTGCCAGCGCTTTGCAATATTGTATTATTTTGATATTTACATCCTGGTCACAATTAACCGCAATAAACTAGGGCCTCCTTGGCTCGTATATAAATCTGTAAATGGATGAACGTCCCATGGAAGGAGATTTTCAACTTAAACCCGTTGGAATTAGGGTCTCAGTTTACACCAACATGTATATTTCGAGAAAAACAGAAAAATTCCATTCCAGTATAAAAATTTCAAACACTTTGATTCTACTATTCACATGTGGTGTAGCAAACATTTATTTTGTAACACCGTAACCAGCAGAGTGAAGGATAGGTGTAACGCTGCGTCGCATTTACACAATAGATGTTGGTACATTTTTTTATTTTGCTATATGTTGCTCCATCTTTTTGGTTCTTATTAAGAGATCGTGTTGTATGGGTTTATTCTGGTACTCGGTGCAAACGATCATTTACCACTATTGAAGTTGTATTCCCAATACTTACGCATTTACACATCAATAATTGTGGGAATCCCACTTGCAGGGAAGCTACACAACGTCACAAATGTAAAGGACTGATTAATGGCACTGATTCTAAATTCTATTCTAGTATACATAATATATATGGTAGAAAAAGAATGGGGTTAAATTGTATACATGGCATTTAAAAGTTAACATTGAAAACAAAATACACTTGGTGTTATCATGAAAGAAAGAACAGAATTGTGAAGAATAGTACATTTTTGTTTAACGTTCGTATGTATGTAGTTTCACTTAATTCGAATATTGAGACGGGAGTAAAGAAGAATATACTAGATATAGAAGTAGTGATTTGACATAGATGTCCTGAAATCATTTTTGGGGGGAAATAATTAGCAAACAATAATAGGTTAACTTTATATACAGGTATATTATGTATAAAAAATATATTTACAATATAGGCTATACAGTATAAAAATACAAGCATATCTATTTTTAATATACAGTTGAATATACAATCAAAAATGTTCACATACGTGGTCCCCAATTGGGAAATACTAGCTTAACCATTGTCAGAAAACTACAATTATTCATTCAACTCATAGAACATACTGATAAAGTCGATAAATATGAAATGTCTAAATATTCCGAAATGAAGATTCTCTTTTGCAGAGTATCAAAAATTCACCGTTTACTTAATGTGTCTACCATAAACAAAATGAAAAATTCTAGTTCCTGTCATGATTTTATACATTTTGTGAATAGACCTTTTAAGTAATAGGCATTCACACAGTTTAATGTTCAGACGTAACGTACATCAGTACAATATATAAAATATCTAACTTTCTATACATATAACATATTGAAATCCATACATACACTGTATATAGAATATTCGTCATACAATGCTACTTTTATTTTATATAATAAAATAATATATTTTAAAACCCCAATGTGAGATAGAAATGAAATACATTTTCAGAATTTCCAACTGCTTAACATTTTCCAACTGTTTCACCTAAATTCACAATACAGAGGCTGTGAGTAGTAAGAAATTAATTGTATGGCACTTGCAGCTATGTAGCTATTATATTTCACGTCCTCATCACAACACACATAGCACAATGATATCACATCAACTATCTATTTTTAGGGCAGGTCTTAACAACCAGCTAGATCAATGTTTATGTACAATAATGTCTATACAATATTTACATCACTATTGTTCACTATATTATAGCACTGCTATATACAAGTTCACGATTTCAGATTAACTTGTGAACCAAATTTGTACACGAGTCGCCTCCCCTCGGTTTTTTCTAGGATCCCTCTGCTATAGTAATGTCTGAAAGAGAAAATATAATCTCAATAAATGACAGTTAGTTTTAATAACACAAGTTTAAAGTTATTGAAAAACTTTAGTGACAGTTCAAAAGTTGTTTGACTTATATACACATTTCATAAGTGAATGACACTTGACACATTGTAGATAACGAAATATGTGATTTTGCTACAGCCACAAAGTTAGGTCAACATGCCATATATACTTGTATTTTAAACTAAAAAACTCCAGTTTCTAAGAAATCAGGTACTATATCTAGTATTCTGAATTGTTTTCAAAACAATCAATGTGTACATGTCAACTGTCATCTTGCTGCTCTTGAATCCCATTATGAAAATAAAGTATGTCAACACCCATTTCTATAAATGTGCTTCATCAAATGTTGAAATGACATTAACAATATTTAAAAATAATTTCTAACAGAAATTCTATTTGATATTTGCACAACGTGTCTGACATCGAACCTGTTATGGTATAAAAGGCCATGCAACTAAATTGATTAAGATGAAATTTAGATATGGTGCCAGAGGACTCCTTATAATGAGTCATTTGTTAGTGTCTTAGTAAATGTCATGCAAATGAGGCCAAAAAGTTAATAGAACTGTTCAAAGATCCATTTAATAGGCGCCAGTTAGTGGTTTGTACACTATTTGAGTGGACATAAATTGCTACTATTGACATAAGCAAAGATAAAAAGCGATTTTCAAAAGGTTTATATACAGATGTAGAACCTTGAAAACAACTATGTTATTTTGGGGGTTATTTTGTTCATCTATTTTTCCCATTCAATGTAGAATTGGCAATTAATCATAATTTAAGCAACAAAATAACATTTCAATGCAAAACATTCCTTGGCGTTATATCATTACCACAGACTGTATCACAGAGGATCACATACACAGAAAGATGGTGAAGCAAAAGCAGTGTTTATCTCATATTAAAACACGCTGTAACACGAAGGACTAATACATACAAAAAATATTGAAGCAAAAGCAAAGCCAGGTGACAACAGATCATGCATGAAAGTATAAGAGTAACCATTCGTCACACATTGATCTCATTCTACAAATAATTTTATAATAACCTAATATTTGGAGTCCTTCTGCCATCCATATGCCTTGTCTCCAAATTTGAAACACAATTTCTTGGGGTACCTGTTGTTTGTGGGAAGAGCGGAAAAGTAGCCAGCTGTTCGTGAAAATCTGTCAAAGCCAGAGAAAAGCAGATCTTATTTGATGTAAACATTATAGCAATTTCTATTTTCACAAATCAGGACATGAATCTACAATTTGATAATAAACTTAATCTACTTGCACAATAACAAAAGGTAAGGTGAATTCTCTTGAAAGCATCTGGAAACCATTAAGCCCAAAAAGCTGGAATTCTTGAAACAAAAGGTAAAGCTGTGTCTTAACTTATTTAATAAGTTTTTAGCACAATAAGCAGGTATTCTGAGAGAAGATATACCTCATAGCACGGCTGAGTTTCTCATATGTCATTCCTGGGTTGTTCTTGCGCTTTCCCCAAAGTTTTGCAACATTTTCTGACTGCACAAAGCGGAACACACCAAGAGACTCGTCCTCCCATTTAATCATCTTGCTACAGTTGGGGTCCTTCAGCAGATCCCTGATAAACTCCCACAAGTGGTTTCCCTTTGATCCTTTAAAAATACACATATACTTAGTTATAAACATAAGAAATGAGTGTGTAATGAGTATGTTCTTTATAATGAGTATAAATATGTAATAAAATCAGAAAACGCTGGACTTGCTATTTCTTCTTGTATAAATATTTCTGTGTTTCAATTACTACAGTTGTACTAGAGATATTACTTGCAATTTACTTTATCTCAAACTATAACTACCTTGGCCAGGTTTCCTGCCTCTTTTCCTGATGTTATCACAGCCCTCTTCACTTGACGAACTGGTCTTCCTTGGTCGTCCAACTGAACGTTTCCTTGGGACAGCATGCTCCAACTTCACTTCAGGTGCAGAATGAGTGATTGGTGGCCATGTATCTAGGAATGTGGGAATCGTTGCAGTTGTAGGCTTTGGAATTGGAATGCAATGGATTTGAGCATCCAACATGTCACTGCAGTCAGATTCTAAAAGTAAATATAACAATCAGAAAGCTCAAAAATAAAGCAAATTCAGTAGCACTAAAACTCAGTAATAAGTAAACAATTAAAAAGTATCAGTATATAAAAAGTATCAGTATAAAAGGTTGTTAATAAGTATAATAACTTTTAAACTTTTTAACTTAAAACTATGCATATTAACTGTATTTCATTAAATTACTGCAGTTCATTGTATGCCACAATGATCGTATTTCATAAAGTATTGCATAAAGTGAGATCAAAATAATAGGTAATACCTCCAGATGTGTATCCAGATTCATCACTGTGTGTTGGGGAATGTTTCATCTCGGTTGTTGGGGAGAGAGTGGTGACATCGCAATTCAGATTGAAGTCAGTATCCAGGTCAATGTCATACCATTCACCGTTAATATTTATATTATCATCTGTTAATTAAATAAAAAGATATGAAATAACTGCTGTAGAAGCATTGCAATTATATTTATGTTTTCATATTTCTCGAAAAACAAACCATAACAATGACAACATATAGTGGAGGAAGAAATTCAGCTGCAACAAAAGCTAATTAAAATGAAGGCAAGAAAGCTTACCTAAAAACTCAATATTTGTCTGCATAGCAGAAACATCTTCAGACTCCAAGGAATCATAACATTGGCCTTCATTGAAGGTGGGTGGTTTATATGTAGCTGGAAACACAAATTATGATATAAGAATCACGTGATTGAAATGTGAGTGATATTAATAGTTTTATTGAACAACTTGTTGAGTTCATATGTTAAATACACTCTATCGACAGTATTAAACTGAAGTATACAGCTAAGTCTCACCTCCACGTAGAAGCTGTTGAAAGTGGTCATACAACGCGCCACCATATTTATTATCACGCTCCTGAAACTGGAGTCTTGTCAGATTACGCATTTCCTTGCCATTGAAATCCTGGAATCTCTCTCCATGGAAATCTCCACCTGCCTGGATTGATTCTGCCATGAAGAACAACCAATCCAAAACCTGCTCGGTGGTCCAGTTTTCAGGATGACACTGCTGCCAACTTAACAAGTTCGATTCACCTTGAATGAAAATAAATCATCGTACTCATCACAAGTATAAAGGATGATTTTAAAGCTATGCTTTTCCATCATGAATTACTGGTCAACGACAGGGTAGAGCAAAAAAAGCATTTAGTCTCATCCAAGTGAAACAAAATCGATAAACCTATGATTATCATTAAACTATATAGAATAATGCTAAATATTTCGTCATGTAATCAATTTTGTAAGAACCGAAAACCTCATGTACTAGTCACTTAAACCCTGTATTAGCTAAAAAACGTTCACAAATTTTAACACTTACTTGATATTGACAGAGGCTTGGTAGGCTTGGGTACATTTCCAGTCTGTTGTTTGAAGGACTCTAGGACTGTGTATGTTTTGCTATCACTGCAATCCTCCATTATTTCCATATCTTTGGTGATCAGTAATTGAGGTGTTAGACTGGCAGGATCACTCAGATTATCATATGTGTTGCTGTCATCAAAGTAAGTGTATGACACATCAGGCACCTATGTAATAAAAATAATCAATAGCACCATAAGAGAATTGTTTATTTTCACGTACGAATACATGTACTTTTGTTTTTCCAAAATCTCCCCTATCAAGCATCTATTTATTTATGCCATGATTACCTCTCAAGAAGTCAATTTCCAATGTAAGGTCATACACTTACTCTATGATATGGACTTCCAGACATCTTACGGCAACTCAGGATAGCTCTAAAATTGAAATAAAAATTGATTATGATTACAACTATGATTTAGTGCATTTTTCATCAAGAGAGTGAGTGTAATCTTCTAGAATGTAGGTGCATTGTTGCCCAAGGGAATAAGTGCAATATCTATCGATAAGAATTATAATTGCATTGTTGTCCAAGGGAATACAATTGCTAGTGTCTATCAATAAGTGCATTGTTGTCCAAGGGAACGAATACGTGCAAGTATCTTGCTAGCAATGAGAACATAAATGCATTGTTGTCCAAGGGAATAAGTGCAATTATCTAGCAATGAGAATGTAAGTGCATTTTTCATTAATAGAATGAGTGCTGATCTTGTAGCAATGAGTATGAATATAAGGGCAAAGCCGACCGATTGATTAAAATACCTATACTTTCAAAATCTAAGTAGCTCTCGACGGGAGTAACAATAGACCAATGATGGGAGTGGTTGATTCCACGAAATCTAAATGATCGTAACAGTTTTTGAGAAATCAGAAGCAGTTTTTGAGAAATCAGTATATTCTTGAGAAATAAAGTAATGGTATTTCAAAGAAAAAAGGGTACTACAACATTCCACTGCCATATATGGCAAATCAAATTAGGTCAACCAATCAAATTGCGAGAAATTTGCGGTTTGGCACATCTCCAGGTTATTATAACCCTTGCTATAACAGATTGCAGCAAGGAGGATTGGCTCCCAGGATCGAAACTCGATATTTTCCAACAATGAAATCGTCGAAATGTCGTTATTTTCTGAAATTATAACCAACTATAAATTCAAAATAAACAGTCCAAAAGATTCGAACCAATATCTCGATCATTTCTCATGAGTTTTGGAATTTTTCGTTCGGAAACAAGACCAAAATTCACGATTCAAATGCTGAAGTGAACAAAATGGTGGCTGTTTGAATTCAAATTTTGTATCACGACATGCCCATATATGGGACAGAATATCGATGTTGCACTCTGGGAGCCAATCCTCCTTGAGATTGCAGTAAACAACATGCGGGGGATTTCCCCGTTTTCCCCTAAATCACCATGCCCGTCACCATGTGATTTCCACCAACCAAAATGACTCATGGATGATGTTCTCACATGATCATTTATGATCGAGACTCATAATAATCAAAGAAGTTTAGGTGATAAAATGAAGAATTTTATAAGGTGTAATAATGTTATCAAACCAGAGACATAGAAAACAGCACTGATCAAACACTGAATCGATAAATCTACAAGATCTTGACCTTAGTCGAGATGATAATGGCCGGTTAAGTTTTCTGTCACTATACTCACATATGCCTAACATTAGACCAAACGTACGTGCTCTTTGTACTGATAGGTTTTCAAATCAAATCTAAATGGTATTAACATTATTAAACTATGAAGACAAAATGAACAGAACGTTACCGCCAAAATTGCACTCAAATGAGTTTGATTTAGCCTCGGCATTTAATTATAAGCATTGGCTTTATAACCAGCTAGCTTTCTAAACTAAAAGGCTATCTCTCTAATCATTTTGTAAACGCAAAGGCAAATCATTGTTCCCGGGGCTCATAAGAAGCCATCTGGCCATTTGCATCACTTTCAACGTACCGATATAAATAACCAGAGACATATTATAACTAAAATGTAAACTTACCAAGACAAAATTATAGCTTTCCGAAAAGATCGTCTAAGTCTGCTTTTCCGTAACGTTTTATGTAATTGGTGTATACCACAGGAGATATAACACAGATAACAGCATACGATGTTGCTTCGATGGTCGATAAATGAAAACTAAACTTCGATACGTCGGCAATGATTGCCTTTGAATTTTCCTTCTTAGAATTCGTCAGGGGATTCCCCATTTTACTATGATTCACAGATACGTGTTTTCATTGGATATTTTCTCACCTTGACCTTCATACTCGGGTCACTACGATTTTAGATTGCGCCAATCAGATGAATGTTATTACACGTGACCACATTAGGTCGATCTAAAACTGTCTATGCCTATTCAAACCTTTCAATAGAAAATCTAGCTTATTGTAATGGATAGACATAATTAATGCAATAGAATATTTTTTATTAACTATTTATGGAACTATTTAAGTCACGACTTGTAACTACACTTATAAACATATATAAACCAATAGCAAGCGCAGTCGTGTTGCACTTGACCTTAAGAATGGCTAGTCGTATCCCCGGGCCTGGTTGATTGGCAAACCTCAAGCAAGTTCAAGGTACTTTCAAATATAATCCCCCAATTGGCAGGTGAAATGAAAGTAAACATAACCTATAGTTCACTACTGGTAGACAATGGGCAAGGTAACATCCCAATCTTAGTGGAAACTGGAAAGTTACCCTTTTTTATTTTGATGGCCGGAAATGGATCTGGGCTATAAACCTATAAATAAACGTCAGGAACATAGACCTTCATCTTTATCTAAACCGTCGATGCATAACTTATTGGGTCTCTCCGAAGTCCCTCAAATTCCTATACTTTTAAAAGTTGTAAACTGTCCACCATAAATCATAATTCAGAGAGAAAAGTAATTGAAGTATTAAAAAAGTTTAGTACTTAGGAGTAGTGTGGTTCCATCAACAATTCCTCTGGTTGACTTTGCACAATTCTTAATAATTGGTCATTCGCGGATTACAAATTTTTATTTCGGAAATACAGTTCTCTAGGGGTCAATTTTACAACCCTGTTCCCACTCGGGTATTTCAATAGATATCTAGTATCTATATACTAGGCAGATGTCAAAATAGCATGTTTACATTTGTCTATTTGACATGAAAATCTGATCAATAAAACGTAAAATGATAGGCCCTGATTATAAGGAAATGTGCTGCGTCCACCACTTCAAATGACATGTTGAAGTGAGGAAAAGTTAGAGTGTTTTATAAGATACATGCAATAGGATTAGAAACGTTGTTTGACTAAGTTCATATATCTGTATATAGACTATATAAACCAGGAAGAATAGTTTTCCCCCTGCCTATCAAATAAATATACTTGTAAATATCACTGCTTTCAATGTAAAATGATAACATATCAAGTCTGTGTTCAAAGTAATATTACAATAGATATCACAATAGATTTATTCCCTTACAACATTTTGAACCTGTGACAACTCATCAAGTCAATTTTCCAAGGATTTTTCTTGACACACTTAGATTTAACTGTTTTGAGAAACTGAGAGGCATAAAATAGTTTTTTGTACAAATAATTCTTATATGTTCCATGTTGCAGAACAGATATGACCTTGAATGCGATAGTTATAATAATAGTCACACGGTGATAACAACGAACATTGGAAACAAACTTAAAATCAAAAATGGCTGCCTTATAATTTAAACATCATGACCAAAATCAAATCAATTCAGTATAAATCTTCATAAATCCAGTAATATTTATGTTGAAGCAAAGACAAATGGTGACTTCTATGAATGTAGCAGCCGTCATTGAAAATTCTTCTTGAGAAAAGGTCATACTAGTATAGTATGCCAATAACTTTTATGAACAGTTTCCTCTTTAAACTTCAATTTGTCATTTTAACAATAATTCCTGCATGTTGGCATTTATGCATCATTTGTTGTAGGTATGAATAGTATCAACAGGTAGAAATATACTTTAGTAAGCCAGACAATAGGCCCCTTCAATCTGCAACAGGTTAACAGGATTCTTTGAATAGGCCTACATATTTTTAGTTTTTTTCAATATACCAGCACTGTTTAGTTCTTAAAAATGGGTTGTTAATTTAATGGTCATGATTCTAAGAAACATCAATATTTGATTACCGACTCATTTACACATAAGGCTGCTTTTAATATTTAATATGGAGGGCTCTTTCCACAGCATATTCATAACAACTTCAATTTGCATGTCTTTCTGATCAAATGAGAGCTCTCGTGTCGTTTTTCTAAAATAATGGAGAATGTAGTAATTGCCCATTTGATTTCAGTTCTACCCTTAATAAGTTGAAATAGATTTTTCAATACACATGATCTACGCAGGACCCTATAAATAGGCAATGCATCATTTTAGCAAAGCTAAAAGAATATCCGTATCATATTATTCCATGATTATCATATGGCATAGACAAATGATTATAAAATAAGCTTAACTGGATGATATATTGTTTAAAATACAGGGTGTTCACTAAGTAATGACATTAGGTCTCAAATCTTTTTAGGTTTTGCACATACATGTATTATCAGACTTGAATAATATGTGCACATACATGTTTCAAGAATAAAATTACTTAATTTTATCATATACATTTTGATTTTGTATCATGGTCATTGACACAACACCTATTACGTCACATTTAACATCAATAAGGAATATTCAATCCCGATCATATTACTTCTATTCTGCAAATAATACAATGTTCATATCCAGCACTCTAGGTCTATGCCCAGTGGATATGATATTCATTTGTTTGGCCAATCATATTTAATTTTATTTCAGTCTGGCTGCCACTACGATTTTCTCATCAGAATGAAACTGTTGACTCTTTAAGAGTCCAATAACATGGAAATGTAGTTCAATTTCATTTGGTGAATAATGAGAAAAGTCTACATTTTTAAATCCTAGACTACTCTGCATTCTGTCCAATTTCTATAAACTACTTTGAAGTCTGTCACGCATGTTTCTTGTTGAACCTGTAGAATGCATAGTTCAAAATTGTGTAAAACCCCATCATCTTGAATATTAAAATTGAGTAATTTAAAAATCGATGTCTGTGTCAGCACACCTGTCACCAAGTTGCTATGGCAACCAATATTTCATTGTTTGGAGGTCATGAGGTTTAAAACTTTTCAAATAAACAACTGCATTTTGAAGACATGCTGAAAATTTAAGCAAGATTCCTTAAAATTTGACAAAATGTGAGACCCAGTGTCATTACTTAGTGAACACCCTGTATTTAGTTTCATTTCGTGTTTTTCTAATATTCTCTAATGTTCTAATTCCTAATTAGTCTTGCTCAAAGACGGTATCCACCCCCCCCCCCCTTCACCTTCACTCTCTACCTGGCAATATACAGAGAGAAGGATAAAGGGGGGGGGGGTACAGGGTCTTTTAAGCAAGACTAATACTTAATCCAGATCATCACTTAATACTAATATATTGATCTGTTGATATATTCTGATCATGTTTACAGAAGCTCCAAAGTATTAAAAAAACTACATATAAGTAGATGATAAAGTTAAATTGATAAGGGAGGGCCAACTAAGCTATCAACATGTTTTTTCTTAAATGTTGACTAATTTTCACAATATGGACCACCTGTCTTTTGATGTTTGCAATATGAATATTAAAATATTTTATGTTTTGAAATATAATTCAATTCTCATGACAGTCAACATTGATAGGTCATGATGGCTCATATGCCTGCCATGTGTTCACCAGGGAACCAACAATAATCTCTCATCTCAAAAAAGATTACTTGAAAACAAATTCACATTCAGCCACTACAAATAAAGCAATAGTGTAGTGAGACATCTATTTTATTTGAAAATCTTTAAATCCCTCAAACACTATGGGATAATAGCTGAGCACACAGGTGCTTCAAAAGCTGTAAATAAAAACAGATGATGCAATTTGTTCTTTTTGAAAGGTGAAAGTGTCGGACTTGGATACTCTTCTAGTATCTGGCAATTTTGTCACTTGTGTTTGTAAATTGTAATCTTAATTAAAAACTTTTTCTTCGAAGTGTAACAATATGGCATATTTTAAACTTTATCAAAAGGTATTCAAGTACAATGAAGGAGCCTCTGAGTAAATTACTAAATGTGTAACAAAATCTGTGTGTAAAATATATTTGAAAAGGATTGGTATCGATATGGCGAATTGAATTGAACACATGTTTGTCTTAATTCAGTCATCAAAAAATTCTGAAAATTTTACACATCGTCAATTTAATGTTCATCTTTTGAATGGTAACAATTTAATTTTTTTTTTAAATATCTACTTTTCTCTATACCGATATTGGTAAAATTGCGAAAATTACGTCCATTATTTATTACGAAGTTGCCATACTTAAAATAAATGATCTGCCCGCCTCAGTGTTATGTTGAAGACTAGCACTGCCACGGAGTTTGGTAACAGAGGTTAAGGTGCAGCCTGTCTTTGAACATATGACATAATAGAGGTGTACTTAGTAAAATTCGTAAAATTTAATAGTCTCAAGATTAACCAGGAGTACAGTATATAAAATATATATAAATAATTTTCACATTAAATTGTTGTCAATCAGTGACCATTACATAAAGGACCACGTTTTTTTACAGAATGTTTTCAATAATTGGTTTAAGAGAAAAACAATCAGTTCGCCATCCTGATACCAGTCCTTTGTCAGATTTCCAAATTACTTAATGTATGCTCAGTTTTTGATAGAAGATGTAAAATATTTCTCAGTTCAGTTCAGTCTCAGTTCTCATTTAGCTATAATACAATATGTAAAATATTTTCAAATTGATTGAACTTTCTATAGTTATTACTTTCTTAACTGACCTAGTTGCATTTACATGATTTACGAGTGTGACCAGGATATGCTGAGTAGAGAAATGTGCATGGCACTCAGATCACACTTTCAGAGATTTTATCTTTATTTTACATTGTACTTCTGAATTGACATTTAAACTCACTGAAACGCAATGGAAGAAAGCTAAGTGAAAAAACTTTTGTAAATGTCATTTGAAGTCAAAGGTCATATTGAATGTCTCATTTGAAAAAACTTCTTTCAATTTTTCAATGAAATATCTTGGACAAAGATATTAAAATCAATTGACTTTGATCTAGGGAAGATTCAACAAATACTATCGATAAGGCAACTTAATTTTCTTCTGTACTTTATCTCAATAATTTCAAGTGACATGCTTTCCATTTTTCAGATAAACATGTTCTTACATGTACTAAACAATTACAACGAGGGAAGTTTTCAAATCCCAATGTGGTGAAGGAAAACAAAAATGACAGGACCATTAGTTTGTGCTTACATTTAAAGACATATATTAGCTTTCATAGATTCTGTTTTGACAAATTTCACAAATCACATACTGTCCCACATTTACATTGGAATCTCAAATTCCTGCATATCCAACAGGTTTTCTTAGACTTGTATCCAGCTTTAACATCATAACTGTCTCTACAAGAAGACTACTGTAATGCGAGAACTCTTTGGGGCTATATACAATGTACAATCAGCATCCAATTTTAACATTATGAGTCTGATTATCCTCAATTGCAATTGTATGCAACAAAGTTTGTTCTAGTTTTATGCTGTTTTAACGACTTCGAGAACGACTTCTTGAGTATGACCTTGATCTATTTCTGTCACGGCTTGTTGAACGTCCGTATCGATCTTGTGACCTTGACCTCCTGGAACTAGAAAAATACTTATTTCCAGAATGATGTAACACTGTGGTAGTCTTAACCCTTAGCATGCTGCCAGTGAGCTCATGCTTTACTATCCCGTATGACTGCCGGCGACTCCGGTCGACACAGTTTAAACTTTTAAAAACTTCACTTTTTCGCAGCATTCTTATTATCCAATAAGATTGCATGTCTTATTCAGTGCTGAACGTGACTTGCGGGACCCAGGTGACCTAGAAATGGTGATGTTTCGAAAAAAATTGTTAATTCAACAACTTAAACAGTGTTTTAGCCGAGAAATGTGGAGAAATCGAACAAAATGGCGGCTAAATACAATAATAATGAAAATGTGGAGGATATGGCTTTTGATTTTGAGCTCTTCGGGCTTTTGGAAGCCAATAATGGACATCTAAAATAGAAACTAGAATATTTTCTGAACTGAAAAATTGAACATCAGATCGCTGCAAATTCAATTTTGGATTCTAACCCGACGTTGAGCCTTCCAAGGGGCGTAGCGGCGGCTTCCGGAAGAGTATTTATAGTTTAGTATGCACAGTTGTGTTTATTTATTAAAAAATAAATGAAATATACATGATCAAGGTAACAGACAATGCATCTTCCTTTTGTGAATATTTTATTCAGATTCAATCAGTAGTTATCAAGATATTTATGATAAGTCCTATATATTATTTTCTTGCAAAATAAGTCAGTCACACGCGATGAAATGGCCAAATTAAAAAAAAATAGAACAAAAAGGTTTTATCTGAATTCCATAAGCTTTTATTCATGAAGCTTTAACAACCTACAAGCAACATGGTAATTCTATGAAGCATCTTCTGTTATATCGATTTTAAATTAACATGAAACGAAATGAACTGAAAAGTTTTTTCCATACTGACTGGTCTCTAATCCTGATATATAATATAGTTACTATTACCTTCTCCTTGGTGACCTTGAGCGACGCCTGAACCCAAAGGATCTGTCATCTGGACAATCTCTAGCCCAGTGGCCAGTTCGATGGCATTTGTAGCACTCATCGTCATCATAACGTCCCCCTCTCTGCAAAAGAGACATTAAATGTATGTTATAAAACTGTTTAGATCTAGTCAGAATGAGGCTTATAGCATGCATCCAGAGGGACATGTGACATAATTATTCATTTTACTTGTATGTTTTAACACATTTCTATGAATCATTAAACCTGGGTTTTTCAGCTTTTGAATTTTATGGCTAGACCCCTACTATGAAACTGGGCTAGAACTCAATGAATACCAAATGGAATGTTGTCATATTACATTGTACAAGGATAATTAGTAACTTAGTATTATAGCGTTGCCAGATGTGATGCATTGTGGGTGATGTGTTAAATAAATGATTACTGATATAAGTACACTAAATGTGTAATAATTCTATGAATAAAAGTGCAAAATTTGCCTAAGTGTGTGTAAAGCTCAGAACAATGTGAATATGAAATCACATATAGCAAGTAAAGCAGTTAATGGTAATAAAGGTAGCGTGTAGATTTGTTTGTATTGATATTTACATTTGTAATTATGTAAAATGTAATTAAGCCTCATAAAGAGGCATGAAGCTTTTATGTATGTTGTTACATTGTAATTGTGGGATGAAAAGAAAGTATATCTTCAGCTATTTATTGAGCTGTACGTCCATCAAATGTATCTCTTCTGTCTCACTGAGGAATTATTGAAGTGGTAATGTGAGATATACACATAGGTTATAGGTCTCGAGCATATGCAGGCATCATAAGATGCATGACGTCTATGACAGGCGCCTCGTCACAGACTGACATCAAAGTGGATTCCTGGTTAGACCCGTGCCCTCAGCTAGTCATCTCATCAATTAGCATCATCATAGAAATCCTGGTTCATCAAAGACTTGGAAATATACTTCGCATATACTGGGCCCTGGAGATGCGATATTATGAAACAGTGGCTTCAAGTTTCTAGAGCATTACTCTGCTGAGTGATGCACTAATAAAGGATGCTGAATTTTACAAAGCATCTTTGATACACTTGTTGAATAATTTGGCAAGGCCTTTAAATACATAAGTGTTACATGGGACCTTTAAATACTGAATTGTCAAATATCCTTGTACAGGATATAAATTAGTACAGGGCCTTTAAGTGATTTGACAAATATCCTTGGACAGGATACGAATTTATACAGGGCCTTTAAGTGACAAATATCCTTGGACAGGATATTGAATATTCTTGTGCAGAATATTCCCTCATTCACTGACTGAAATGACAATTAGGCCTATCCTTGCACAGGATAATCATATGAAATAAATTCACAAGGGGTCTTTAAATATTCTTGTACAGAATATATTATGTGAAGACATCGGCATCTGGTCGTTTGGCTCAAGCATCAACCCCGGGTGTTGGTCTCATCGAAGATCCCCGGGTGATTTCTATCTTTCCTTTTCCATCCTTATTTCTCATAGAAAACACCAACAAAATTGAATTTAACTTTCTATATACATCTATTTACACTTTATATACGTTTTCCCACCCCCCTAGTACAGAATTCGTGTTCAGTCGTTACATTCTAGCTCAAATTCTACGGAGCTCAAAGTTTTCCCGCTCGAAAAAGTGTTTTCTCTCCCCTATGTGCATTGCGCATGTCCAAGACGCCACAAATGGCAACTGACGCACCGCGCATGCGTCCCGGAAGTTAAGAAAGTCTAAACTTCCGGTAAAAACAAAACGTGAACATTTTATGTTTACACTTGAAAATGAGAAGATAGTAAGAGATTACATTAATATACAATGATAAAAGAATGCTGAAATATAATGCAAATACATGATTGAACTAATGAATTGAACAGTTGAAGGTAAGAAAGTATGGCACGTAAAAGATCGAGTGAAATGAATTTGTAAATTTTCTGAATCCTAAAAATGCTACAGTATGTTGTGAAATTTCATGTCACATGATTTGGTAGTTGCTATGGAAACAAATAAAATGCCTTCTTTTTTGAGCAGGCTGAAGCATGTCTGTTGCAGCAATAATTACTCACTCTGCCACCATAACCTCCGCCTCCTCTTCTATCCATGGGGCGTCTAGGGGCTCCTTTACAATGCTCTACTATAATAGTGGAACCTAACACCTTGCGGCCATTCTCACAACGTATGGCATCCTATAAACACACAAATTTGTTTTAGCTCAAAATGAAAGTGTGTGTCATAATGTCATTCCACACCCTAACCCCCCTATCACACCAAACTAGTTCTTACCCGTTCTTGCCAGTCCTACGAAAATGTCGTAAAACGGGCTCGATCTGGCTGCGGTCGGGATATATGTCTATAATAATTAGCTACTTCGTTCATAAACAGTGTTCAATACATCCATCATGTTCGCAGGTCATTCAGGTCGCACCACGTCGGTGTGCAACGTAGTATAAACCGTCCCTTAGTCTAGAAGGTCACCATGACCTGATTACAGAACGGTATGGTCGCCATCGAATTTTGAATCGATTCAAAATTCTAAATCACATACCCCGTAGGGAAAGTCCATGAAGTTCGTAAACAGACCGTAGAACGTTGTAGCTACGTTCATTCAGTTCGCACACAGTTTGAAACCGATTCGGCAACGTTTGGATGATCACCAGAAAATGTTGAGCATGCTCTAAGTGCTGGAGGACCTACTCGTTCTAGTAGTTTCATGAAGTTTGTAAACAGATCCCAAACGGTTCTTAGTGGTTTCGAGAACGTAGTGAGAACTAGTTTGGTGTGATAGTAGGGTTAGGAGCCCACAAAATATAAAATATTCATCTTTATAATCAGTTGATTAATAAGAAAAATCAAAGTTATGGGAACAAGGGTCCATTTATTGATGTGGCTACAATACTGGACATAAATTCTGGTACCACTTAACATACAAACATTAGAAGGTGGAGTTAGTTACCAAACATTTACCTATATAGTATACAGCATAACGAGAGAGATTAATGAATCAACTGGTTTTCTATGTTACCCATGTAATCATGGGTAATCAATTGTTCAAAGTGATATAACAATAGAAAGTTACAACTTATTATGAATGAAGCAGACATAAATAATTTTGCAAAATTTTAGTATTTTCTCTGAAAGTACCGTTGTAAAAAGATTAACACTAATTTTTGTTGTGTTGCTATGATCAAAGACCTTGGTTCAATGATTTATAACAGATATATTACCTTAAGTCCTTCTTTTAATATCAAAGAGACGTGACACACAATCTTAGTCTCATGTCAATGAAAATAATAAATCTGAGGCAAAATATTCAAGCCATATATCATTCAACCATGACCTTTATTGCACGTATACTGTTTCTTAATAAACTTATCAAAAATTTATGACTTTATGTCTGTTTTATTCTATTATTTACACACCACATAAGCACTGATTAAGGCCATGTGGACCAATCAAAAGAACGTACTCGCTACTTTGGGTAGGGGATCCTGGAACACAAGTGATCATGGTGATGGTACGACGTAATGGTCACATGGTCAGGTGTTGCAATCAGGGAATGGAATATCACCTTGGCACCTGTCACTTTGGCATTGCTATGGCTTGGTCACCATGGAACAACGCTCAATGGTGGCTTTACATGGCAACTTGGTTTTGGCAAGGCATGGCTACATGGAATAGGTTGTCATGGAAACTATGTGTTGTCATGGAAACTAGGCGATGTCATGGAAACAATGCGCTGTCATGGTAACAATGGCGTTGACATGGAAAGAACACTGTGTGACCTGGTTGGGACAGCTGCATGGATTTATCAGATTAAAATCTTACTCTATACAAGAAAATGCAAAAAAAATTATACGATACATAAAAGTAAGATTTTACTAATTCTTTACTTAAGATACTTGAATACAGAAGGCAGGTAGTGAATTAAATCATACATGTATTTTGAAAAACATCATTCTGGTTTATTGTGAAAATGCTGACTCAGTTAGAAATATTTTAAACTAAGAGTTACTCTGTGGATATGGACAAAATATATTTCCAGAACCATGAATCTGCAAATTGATAATTTTGTGATCTCTCAAACAGAAAGTTTATATTATGTATGTAAGAACCAAATTTCCTTTAAGGACATGAATCAAAAATTCAGATCATTCTTTCACAATAAGAATTATATGATTCTACCTTTCAGATAATATAAAAAATGTTGATTTCCAAAATCTTTTTTTTACAAACATGTGTACATGTACTTCAAAAGAGTGATATCATACTTTAGGGGAGGCTTCAAAAGATCGATGTAAACATTCATTTAAAAATTTACCTCAGCATCTTTTCTGTCTTCATAGTCAACAAAGGCATAAGCTGAAATCAAAAATGGCATTTCATATTTGAAATCTTAAACAACAAAGACATTTTTCATGTGCTTTTAAAAAGTTATAATGGCAAGTGAACTTACCTTTCCAATAAAAAAAACAGATAAACATTAGGTCGAAAATATACCCCTCTGTTCTACACTCCTAGACAACCCACATTATACATATATTGGCATAGTAGGTTTCACGTCTTGATTTTGAAATACGAAGTACTGATGGCAAGATGATATCCCAAGCTGTACATACCCATTTCTTCACCTGCAAATATAAAATATTCTACAGTTAGTCAGAGGCTGATTTCAATTTTAGACCACATGGGAGTTCACTTGGGCAAAAAAGACTGTTTGTCAGAAAATCAGTTAGCACTATCTGTCCCCAGTCTCGTAACAGTTTTGGGAAGATATACGAGCAGGCCCAAGTATATAATTTAGAATAGTGCGGGGCAGTGAAAAGATGTCTACTGAACTGAACCCTTATCATAAGCTAATCAAGATACAAAATGAGCATCTGTTATTATGAAAAGGGCGGGAATATCCATGTTTGGAAATATAGCAGTAAACCCGTGATCGGATGTTAGGTTCAGTGGAACCACAGTGCCTTCAAAGATGTGAGGTCCTAATAACAGACGCTCAAGGTGAATTGATCGTTAATTTTTGTTTCTCTCCAGTTTGAACAATAAAACAAACAGTCACTTTGTTCCGGAACCATTCGGAAATTGTTCCGTTCCGAAGCCAAATGCTCCGAACAGAACCGTTCTGAATTTTTTTTCCCGTGACACCTCTAGTGTATCCTTATTTTTATTAGGTTTTATTCAGACTGTACTGACTGTACTGCATCCTCCCACATGCTATCTATTGCAAGACTTACGCCTGCCACAACTGTCGCCATGTTAATCAGTGTTTTTAAGTATCACAAGGATCCTGCCATGACCGTGGTAGTGTTATCGTGTAAGCCTGGTATAACCGTGACAGGCTGGTATAACCATGACAATGCTGTATTATATTGCAAGGCCTGTCATGACTGTGGTAATGTTAAAGCCTGATACGACCGTGACAATGCTTGCAAGGACTGTCATGACCATGGTAATGTTAAAGCCTGATATGACCGTGATAATGATTGCAAGGCCTGTCATGACTGTGAGAATGTTAAAGCCTGTCATGACTGTGGTAAGGTTAAAGCCTGATATGACCGTGACAATAGTTTTGTTGCAAGGCCTCTCATGACTGTGGTTGTATTTAAAGTAGCATGAGAACACCGTATTGATAATTTTTCTTCGTGTTTTACTACCTAAATATATAAATAAAGAATACTAAAAATGTGTATTAATTTCACAACGAAACCCTAATTTGTAACTCATAAATAATTTGCGAACAAACTATATCTCTACTCTCATTCAAGGAGGTTTGATTTGAAAGCACATACTTTCTATAATGATCAATCAATAAGGTTTATCCATAAAAAAATACTAATAATAACAGCAACAGGGAAACATGAAGGTCATTAGAGTCCATTTCACTGCTTCATTTCGTCAGTAGAATGGCAAAAATAAGAAATTGGGAGACCATTGTGCAATAATATATGGAAAAGTATATTCATAATGTACATGAATGACATTTGTATATTTCAGATTTTTTAGTTTTTTGTGCAATAAGCCTGTGCCGTCTTGTAATTTGAAGAATTTCAGAAATGTTAATCTTATTGAAAATAACATGGCAGAGAAACATCCAAATATAAGAGGCCACACACTTTATAAGCCAAACTGGAAGCAATCCAAGATTGCCCCCCCCCCCCTCAGATTAACCCCTCATCAAACCATGAAATATATACCAGTAATTAACTTTGAATGGCCTAAGACTAAGCTTACTACATAAAAAAGCATAATTGTATTAAATCATCTATACATTATTTTTATTGTCCGGTCTCAGTATAATGTTCACACTGTTCTTACAAATAGACAATACCAGATCTAATGTCATTCAATCAACCCTAATGAAAAGATTTGTAATTTGTAGAAACAACTAGATGATTTTGGATTTCATTGATATCCTGTCATAGCCCTAAAATGTATTTTGCTGGAACATTATTTGTTCAACATTGATACAAAATTCCCTGACATTTCCCTGACACATCTACTGTTTCAAAATTCCCTGACATTTTTGGCCCTTTTTGACCCAATTTTAAAATTCCCTGACATTTCCAGCACCTGGAAAAATAAATCAATTTCCCTGACATTTCCAGGTGTGTACGAACCCTGAAATTTGTTACTTCAACTAGCTTTATTTCCACTTGACAATATGCTGTGTTACTTTTTATTGCATTTAATTGTACCTTACTATTTAAGTGACATTTTGTAATGTTTATTTTATTGAAAAAATGGTTCCTCTAATTGATAATTTTGTGCAAAAAATTTCACTGCAATTTCCACAGGAAAGTAGTAGATCTACATCATAACAGACTGACTTCTCACTGCCCCCAGGATTCCGTGTTTGCAGAGCGCGGACGGAATTTGCCTCTGCCCGCGGAATTGCAGAATCAACTATTTTGGTCAATTTCCGCGGAATTTTCCGCAGAATCCATATATTTTCCAAAAGTTTAAAAAGTCAGTCTTACCTGTAACAATTTGACACGTTTTCAGTCAAATCCCTTGCAGAAATAACCCAAATTATGCGACGTGAAAATTCTAAACGCCATCGTTTGATTTCTGCCGTTAGATGGCAGCATGTATGTAGTGACTGACTACCTGACTATCACGATATTTTCCCGTTTACTGGTTCGAAAACCATTAGTTTTTCTTTCGGTTCTCGTCAGAAAGTTAAACAAAGACATAAATTAATAACAGTTATTTATATTATTAAGTTATTGATCGAAAACTTCGAACTCCAATGAGATATTACACTTAAAACCTGATTTACATATATCGTGATTCCCATTAAATTTGAAATAAAATCTGAATAAAACATTTAAAATGGATCATGTTTTTAGAATATATGATACTGTTCTTGTTAAACCAATCTTGATTTTTTTTATAATAACCGCAAAAAAATGCCGCGAATATCCGCGGAATTTCTGCAGAATTAGCCCTTTCTTCTTGCAGAATTCACTAATTTCAGTTGCAGAATTGAGCATTTTAACTTGCAGAAAACTGGGGGGAGTGACTTCTAGTCAGTCTGTTGGATACATACTAAGGCGTTAGTCTTGCAACAGATAGGGTCTGCATCCTCCGCATGCTGCAGACCACTACCTTCCCGGAAGAAGGAGCTACGGGTTCTGGAGCCCTGTGATCGGAGGATGCACTGCTGTGCTGAGCTGAGTGACTGTCGACGAAATATTTAAAAATGGACTTTCGTAAAAATTATATTTATATCAAGTTTTCCTATGGTAAGACAATTTTAATGCATACCATACTTTACTTCACATCTGCTCATATGTCCATATTCCCGAAATATTTCCTCAACATCCCTAGTCCGAGTGCGTTTACTCAACCTTCCAACGAAAAGCGAGGTTCCATCTCTCATCGACATTTTGAAGTTAAAGAAATGCCCGGATGAAAGTACATTAGAAGGGTTGTACTAAATACCACCTAGGTGCCCCACACCTAGGTGTCCCCATTGAAATGCCTTATTGGCATATTTTACTACTTTATTTTAAACTTACATCATTCCAAGTGTTAATATGGTACAAAATAAAGTATTTTCATGGAGCTTGTGTAAATATTTCTGTTTGGTTATGATATTTTTAATTTCTTAAAAAATTTTGATCGATGTCGAAAAGTCATTTGTTAGGATAATATTTCATAATTTGCTCATTATAAAATGCTACAAATTCACTATTTTAGCAACTATAGTAAGACCAATGTATATATTTCAAATGTAAATGCACACTTTAGCATAAACAGTGTTTTATTACTACAAATAAGTGACCATACATGAGCAAAATTCCAGGTGCCCATTTTTCTAACAATAAAACTTTTAACATTTTATTTTCGAATCTTCTTTGCAATATTCTCGACTACAAATTATTATTTCAAGCCTATTAAATGTCAAGTTAATATGACAAAGGAAATAATACTATATTTAAAATGTGTAGTACGTGGTTTAAAATGAAATTAGAAATCCAGGTGCCCAAGGGGACACCTAGGTGGTATTTAGTAACACCCCATTAGAAAACCGAACGTACTGATATATCCGCTCATCCGCTCGAGGCCAAGAGGTCAGGACATAAAACACAGGGCACAGGTCCAGGAAGATTTAAATCCCCCCCCCCCCCAGTCACTATGTCTACCTAATACACAGTGAGTGGGAGGGGGATGAACTCTTGTTCCCGTGTCTGTGACACAGGGTGTCCAAAAGGTTAGGTACCAAGACTAACCATGGGAGTTAAGTCGCCCTCTAATATTCTAGCGTCTAATATATGCTAGAGAATATAAGAGGAACTGATATCATGTGTATTAGTGACTCTCACTTTCCTAGTAATCAGCTTTGGATTATCTTTGAAATCATGACTCCACAACGGCGGTAAAATTCTGAGGGTTAAATGTTAGGTGATTTCAGTACAGGCCAATTTGGAGCATGTTGTGCAAAAAGGCCATAAAGTCGTATATCCAGCAGGTAAACAGGTAAAGCAGGTAAAGGGTGAGGGGTGCACATTTTGAGTCAGGAAAACATTTCCGTGCTTGCGCGTAAATAAATTTGGAAATAAATTTCGTAAATAAAATTTCTCATAATTAATAATACCAATCATGAAATGCGATATCAATTATATTTTTAGTAGAGCTACACATGTTAAAGACCGACCGCCGCCGGGTACACATGTTAGTCTCAGATAAAGATGAACACAAAATAGATGCAAAATTTAGAAGAGGAAAATGAAACTAAAACTAGAAATCCAATGACTGTACTGCTATAGTACCTTTATAAGATCGTGATTAAAATGTGTTTAAAGCATTTCAATCGCGATGAAAAACGCACGTGAAAAGGTGACATCGTCGACGAGTCGTGGTTTGTAAATGTAATGTACTAATGTCATATTTTTAAATGATGCCTCAGTCATTTGTTAGTTGTTACGGGAGGCATCAAAGGTTCAATGTTTGGCAAGAAATTAAATAAATCTAGTTAGGGGGGGTCAAGGCCATTTCACTTTGCGATCCGACAAATCTGGTAAAAAGTACATTCGATATGACAAAAATAGCTTTCAAATGGTGCGCATATAAATTGTTAGTCACTTTTGATCCTGACAAGAGAACGTGCATAGCATTACATCGTGTTCAGATCAGAATAACAATAACATTCCAGAAAATAATATAATTAGGATATATTCCTATAGAAAGTCAAACGATAGGCAGGTCAGGAACATGAGTGTTTGCTTGCTTTTCGCTTTAATCATTTTGATACTTGAAAACTCAACATCGAATTATATAAATGATTTAAAGCTATTGGTCGGTCTTTTACATATTTTTCCCGAACCCTGTTTTGAGTCTACCTTAAAGAACACCAGACTGGTTGAAACTTTTATTTACGTAGTTTTATGTTAGTCTCAGATGAGAAGCTAAATGGTGCCGCTGCGGGAAATTTGGTAGAAAGTCATGAGCTCAGATGCACCTTAGCCAGAACGAGTTGGAGGACCTTTAAGGTAGGTGTGTACATTCGGCTATTTGATGCAGTCCTCATGGAGTCACATCATATTTTTCGAATATGAATTCCTCCTTCTCCACATTGTCCCCACATGTACAGTAAAACCTGTCTAATCCGAAGGCCTCAGGGACAAGCCAAAAGTTCGGATTGGCAGGTGTTCACATTTCAAGGTTTTTTCAAAATGTAGGTTAATGGGAGATCATGGGCGTAAGGCTATATTTTGAGTTTGTGCGCACACTTTGGGATGTCTGATCATTGCATGGCGCATCTTGGGGGGGGGGGGAGTCCTGGTCCATGCTCCCCCGGAAAATATTTTTCGAAGACGTTATTTAATGCAATCTGAGCGTTTTTATAAACTTAAATTAGTTCTACTTTAATAAAATTTTATGGTTAAATATACAAATACAGAATCATCAATAAATGTGCAAACAAATTAATGCATTTTAACATGTTTTCAATTTTTACCAAATTCATTTGTTATGCACGGGCGTACTGTGCGTAACAGGCACTATGCCCATAGAGATAACAAATTGGGACCTAGAAAAAGTGTTCACGTTGACAGCGGTTCGGATCACAGGAGAGTCATTCTGATACTCATAGCATCTCTCTCTGTTGCATCGCATATCCAGAAGGATAGAGATGGAGAGATGGCTTACCACGATGCAGTAGAGTTCGGATATACAGGTTTCAATGTATGTGATTGCGCCTCTTCTGGACAGATAATATTTCCTGCATTTCGATACCCTTAGATGTTAATTTCTAGCTCTTTGTAATTGATTTTATAACATCGGGATACTGTACGCACATGGTCTTGATCAAGGCAAACCATGTATTTTTATGCTGTTTGTTCCATCCATTATTGAAGTCAAGTTTGATAAGAGCTGAAATATTGTTCTAATATTATGATCTTACCTTAAGAAATGAAAATTTCAGAACAGCTTTGTCATTTTCCATGTCTAGAAATATTTATTTTTGGCAAAAGAGCATCTACTTGCGATATACATGTACATGGCAATCTGGATTTATGTCAAGAATTCCTCATACAAAGGTCCATGTTAAGTTCTTTTTAACTTCACATGTTTCCATTACATATACAATTTACATGATTAATTGTTTCATACAAAGGAATAATTTATAACTACAAATGTATTCTTGTGTCAAAGGGCCAATGATCATATACATATATTTAGTTCTATTGAATGCCCATGATAAAACTGATTCATAATGTTTGAAATCAAAGAACCTTTTACATGCACGCGGCATACACATACAAGCCACTATCAACTTGAATCAGTTATAATGTTATAATAGTCAGTCAAAATATATAATTTTATAAATGTTATAAATTTTGCATTGGTTTTGCACAATTATATAATTTGTTCTTATACTAATATGACCAAGTTCAATAACACAGATGCGAGTAGGTACAACACGTTTCACCACCAGGTGGCTTGTTCGGATCAGATACAGTTAGCATGGCGGGTATAGTAGAAAGTTCCCTTTAACTTAAATTACATCTGTTTTAGTATTTCAATTTTCATATGACCCTTACAGTATGTATCTAATTGTTATGCAAATTAAAATATGTCCAGTAAAAGAAAATGTTATTGGTTCAATACAAGAAGATATTTCACTTTTTGTGATTTTGTAACTATGGGGAATCAACCCGAACTAGAACTATTTCAAAAAAATAATTTTCGAAAGTATATTTCCAGATGTACTTTTACATGTAGATTTTAAATATGACATCACTTTGATTGAACATTGAATATTTAATGAGGTAAATCAAGTTATTTCTACTCGCATCTAGTCAGTTATTTTTGTTTTCTTTGTAATGGAATGTTCCACAAACCAGTGTTGTAATTAAGTAAATAAAGTCAGTAGCATCACTGAACTGCAATCCAAAGATAATCTGGTATTGTATGGCAAATAAGAGATCAACATTTCTCTAAGCACAACAACAGGTATATATTCCACTTATTCTTTACAGAGAAATAAGTCCTGATCTATTCATAGAACAAACCATGTCATGAAGTATCGCTCCGACATTGGGATTACACAGATATACTCCCTTCTCGGAAGTTTGTTTTCCCAATAAGGACATTAACTAGGACACTGTCGCCACTCTTGGCAATTTTTTGAGCTTCTTTGAGCTTTTCTTCAATTTTCTCATCATCTTCTCTCATTAACTTCATCCCCTTGCCTCCGTATCCAATTGCCACATCTTGGTAGTCAGTATACTGAAATTTAGCATTTATTTTAAGGGTCAATTAATAGCTTTAATTGTCATACTAATAAAACACAATTCCAATAAAAACTACTCGCACCTTTTTCAGTTTTAAAGGCCAATCAATTTATTTTCTACTTGAAACAAAACATTTTTCAAGATTTTACACGGTAAATGGCCAAGTCTATTGAGTGTATAAAATACATATCATTTTGAATTTAAAATACTTTATGGATATTCAGGATGAGCTATTTGCCTAAATGTTATGAACAGTATCTAATATTATTTTATGAAAAACTTACAAAGTAAGTTACAACTTGCAAAAGGAAAACAAGATCTGTCCTAAGGAATAGGATAACTTTAAATGATAACGATGCAGAGATGTCCTCTTACATGTAACATCAACAATGTCTTTTTAAACCACATTATGTACAACAGTGTAAAGATAATATTTAGTAATAAATAAAAATGATGTTTTACCTCCAGACCACAAGCAACATTGGTTCCAAACATGGGCACCTGTTCCCGAGCTATCTGTGTCCAGCAAGCATCATTACCCACCAGTGCAATTACTGGAGTCTAAATCAAACAATAGCATATGGTACAAGTAGATCAAAATTATTAATGCAGTTATTGCAAACTCTTAAAGGGGTGAAAAAGTGTTATCTTTTCTAGGCTAAATAAAACAAGTTGAAAAATACCTGAGAAGGTAATTGAAAGTGAAAGCTCAAATCAAAATCAGATTTAAACATCTGAAATAATACTGGTTATACAGGGTGACCGGAAAAAAAGGAGACCATTGAAATAGGCAATATCTCCTAAAATAGACTAGTGACATCAATGAAATTTTGCATACATCAGGACAGTTCTATGGAAATTTGTTCCTGAAAGTGTCAATACAAGCAGTCAACTGGTTCAGGAGCTATGATCATTTACATAACATGCTCCAAATAGGCGCAATTGAGACCAACGCAGAGCTGGATACATTTGGCAAATACCCTTACATATTCCGACCTTGTTATGGCATTACATTTAGCATTTATTGCCACCTTTAGGTCAGCAATTGTCTCAGGATTGTTTTGGTACACATTGTCTTTCAAATTGCCCCACAAAAAGAAATCAGGTGGATTCAAATTTGAGGTGTATGGAGACGAAGCTTATCTGACCTATGGCTTCTGACTCAGTGGTCCCACTCAGTTACAGTATCATCCTAAGGAGGTTTTGGGCAGCCCTTGGTTTCCATATGGGATTTAATTGTGCCATATAGTGGTTTTAGTAACATGGCACTATGCCCAATACCTAAAGTGACTCTTAAGATTGGGTAAATCAGCACTTTGGCAACAGGATGATGAACCACATGTCAGATAACCCTTCATTGCCATACAGCCTAGACTTGAATCCTGCTGATTTCTTTTTGTATGGATATTTGAAAAACAATCTATACCAAAACAATCCTCAGACTATTGTTGACCTAAAGAAGGCAATCACTGCTATATGAAATGCCATAATAATGCCATAGAGGGCAGAACATGTAAGGGTAGTTTGCCATATGAATCCAACTCTGCGTTGGTCTCAATTGTGCCTATTTGGAGCATGTTATGTAAATGATCATAGCTCCTGAACCAGTTGAATGCTTGTATTGAAACATTCAGTAACAAATTTCCATATAACTGTTCCAGTGTATGCAAAATTTCATTGATGGCACTTGTCTAGTTTAGGAGAAATTGATTACTTCAATGGTCTCCTTTTTTTCCGGTCACCCTGTATTAGTTTCAAAATGGTTTTCTGCTCTTTTTTGGTTACAGCTCCACAAGTTTTTCACCAATTTGCTTCAAATTGTACAGGTACCTTAATTTATATGTTATCAATAATTGGCAAAACAAGTTGCAAACATTTGAAATGGCGACCACTTTTATTGCAGGAAAATCAGGTTTTCAGCTCATTTTTGGTCATAACTCATCAACAATGTCTACAAGTCTCTTTTAAAATGGCGGCCATTTCTTTTAAAGAGCAACACCATGTGAGCGCCAGTACCAACTGTACTATTTTGTTTGGCCTTGAGAAGGTCATTGAAGGTGAAATCTAAAATCTTAAGTCAGATTTGAACTTCTGAGAACTTGTAGATGATTGTGAAAAAAAATTGGTTAATTTGAAGCAAGTTGAAAAAAGACCTTTTTTACCTTTCTTAACCTTTTTAGGTCATTGAAGGTCAAATCTTAAATATGAATTCAGATTTGAACTTCTGAAAACTTGTAGAAGTTTTTGAAATTTTGAAAAAATTGAAGTCAGTCTAAAAAGTATTTGTTAAGTTGTTGGAAGTTGTAAGAACTGCCGATCGCCAACCACCCAACCGCCGTCACAAAAAATGGAGACCATAACAATATGCCATCACTTTTTGGTGGTGATTTAATTAAGCTAAATGTACTTTGTATATCTACCAAGTGGTTTCTTGTCAATCAACTCTTTACATGATTGTAGTTGATTTACTTATTTTGGGCACTGTGACTTTTACTTTTTTAGTAATGTTTTATGTAATATATATTTTATGCATCAAAAAAAATTGTACAGTGGACATTTTTAAGATTATTACATATTAACATTGTGTTACCTTGTGCCTGGTAAAAGTATCAAACTCTGCCACACTGTATCCCAAAGAGCCATCTCCATAGACAATCCACACCTCAGTATCAGGTCTGCACAGTTTGGCACCAAGGGCAAAGCCTCCTCCCACCCCAAGGGTACCAAATGCACCAGGGTCAAGCCAGCGAAGAGGTCCTCTTGGTCTAAAATGGAAAGTATAGTGAATACTTGTTGTTCCTTGACAAACTCAATAAAAGACATGGAAGGCAGAAACCGTTCAAATGTTCTTCATGTACAACATGGTTATGTTAGCATTTTACATATCATTGTGATTTCCAGCAAATTGTAAAAGAATAAACTGGATGACCTCCAAATAGGCCTGTCCATCTTTCTGCTTCACTTGAAGAAATGAGTCAGTGATGTCATAGTTTACCATGATGGCATTTGTCTTTGATATATCTAGTCTATAAGCACCCAATTAAAGTATGATACCTCAAGATGTAGGCAGCACTCCCAACAAAGTCTCCACCATCAGCTACTATAATACTGTCATCATCCATAATGTCTTCCAACTTGTGGAGCACACTTAGCGGGTTCAGGTGGAACTCAGTTTTCTGCTGTGCTTTTTCACTACAAAAAGTTAAACCCTAAATGAGCCATGAACATGACAAAATGACACCACATTGTTGCAATTACAAACAAGTACATTTGATCTGCAACATTGTTCTTGACCAAATGCTCGTAATGCATGCAAATCACTAAAAAATCAATGGCTGTAACATATTTTATTTTATTTATTCTTTAAGAACATTCACACCCCTTGGGATCAAGTACATGTACAAAAATTATAACAATTATAAAGGAAGGAAAAAAAGACATTTACATGTAAAAAACTACATAACTATTAATATTACTATTAATGATGATGATGCATTGGTGCACTAGAGATATAGCTATTGGTACTGGATGTAAATATATATTTTGCTACATTTATACAGTTTTGATCTTTTCCAGACATCAAATAAATAAATGGATTTTCTTGTACTGGCATTTTCATTTTGGACAACATTATACTTCTTTGTTTATTATATTTCGTACAGTGAAGGAGATAGTGTTCTTCATTTTCTATAATATTGCATGTTTCGCATTTTCTCTCCTCCACATATCACCACTTATTGGCTGTTCAAAAAATCTTTGTAATACTTTAAAATTTCAACAACCAAAGAAGTCACCATTTTTATACCTGTTAGCTTTTTCCTTTACATTGTCTCTGTCTTTAAGTGTCTGTGGCCACTCCTTATTACATGTATACCCTTTAAGGCCCTGTTGCAGGCCTACAATGAAACTGCCAGCATCTGCCTGGATGGCAATGTGTGGTTTCCAAAACATATCAGAATTCTGAAACAAAGCATGTAAATGTAAATGAATGCTATATCTTCTATAATTCATTACTCATTACATGCAATTAGACATCGATAAATGAATCATGATATACATGTATTTTCAAAATAAACGATCAGAAAAATATATTTCTATGCGAGTGTTGTACCTTATAGAGCTGCTCATAGCTTCTATTTACTGCAATGATCTTGGATTTACGACTGAGGGTTCTTCCATATCCCAATCTGAAGTCTGCCACTGAACCTAAAATAAGTACAAGGCATAGACTTAAAAATAAGACATTGTAAACAGTGAATATTAAAGAAAGAATGTGAATATATGCTAAGCTCACCACTCTCTGTGGAGATATTTAAAGTACCTGCTAGAATGACAACATCTGCCTCCTTGAGTGCATCCCCACGACGTTGGCGAATATGTATGGGGCTGTTACGTCCCAGCAGACCTCTCGACATACCACCCAGGAAACATGGGATACCCATAGACTGGAATAAAAGCAGTGCATGATACCACTTTAAATCTTGTGCAAAATATTTTGGGTGAATTTTAATCACAAATGACAATTGATCTCAGTTATACAAACACTGCACACATGTCAATGAAGTGGCCAACATACAACATGAAAGAATAACTGATTACCTACTGCTTCAAGATTTGACTTTTTGTCAAAATTATCATTGTTCATTTGACTTTCTGTTCACTCTTTTAAAACTGATCGTTACAGGAAATTAGATTAAACTGGATTTCTGCAAAGCAACAAACTTCATAAAACAAGAGCTCTTTATCATTTTTAAACTGGTTTGACGCACGTCACTCATGAATTCAGTCTGTGAAATTGATTCTCTCTCAGCAGGTCTTTTTTATGATTTGTGTTTTTTGATGCAATAGGAATGAGGAAATTTGACAAATTTAGGTGAAAGTTTGTTAAATGGTACCATGCAACAGGCATATCAAGGCAGTATTGCTGGCTGGCCCTGATATTGTGACCAAACTTCTTTGTTACATGGTCCTTATATAGATTGGTAACTAGTAGACTGGTGATGTAATAATCATTACCTCAAGTGCTTCTTTCAAACGTTCCACTTTCACTGGGGGAAGGGTTGACTGGCTTCCAAGTACAAATACTGGTTTCTTGGCCCGAGAGACTAGCTCCACACATTGTTGAACTTAAAACACAAAAATTCCCAAAATATAATTTGCATATAACAAAATGTGACCCTGAATTACAGGGTGACGCTGTATCATCTCAAATAACTAAAATTATACTGTACTTCTACTTAATTTGGCGCTATTTAATTTGGTGGACTTACAATATTACAATGCAATAATGGTACTTATTTACATATTACTAAAATTACAGGGAATTTGGCGGCTACTTAATTTGGCAGACTTTAACAATTTGGCCCCCGAATTAAGTAGAAGTACAGTACATGTTATCAATGCTTCTGATCTGCATGTGACAAAATCATACTAGAACTATCACAATAATGTATTATTCATGATTCTACGAACAATTACACAAAAGACAGATGCCTAGAGTCTTTCCTATACGCTCACTGTGGACAACCTAGATAGATCACTGATTGGACTACTTACTTTGAGAGTCTGAGGGCATGGGTCTCTCTACAGGCAGAGGGTTGTTGTTCTGTGGCTCCCATGCTCCAGCAAACAGGTTATTCAAGTGATTCTGAAGATACCTGAAACAATCAAGGAATAGGTTCATACTCCCTCAATACTGCATGAAAAAGCCATCCCAAGTTTTTGCTATTCTTTAATTGAATCCTTAATTCCTCATGATGACAGGTGTCATATTTTGGCCATTGACAAACACAGCAATATGTATTATATTACCATTGTATTATATTACCATTGTATTATATTACCATTGTATTATATTACCATTGTATTATATTGCCATTGTATTATATTGCCATTGTATTATATTACCATTGTATTATATTACCATTGTATTATATTACCATTGTATTATATTACCATTGTATTATATTACCATTGTATTATATTACCATTGTATTATATTACCATTGTATTATATTACCATTGTATTATATTACCATTGTATTATATTGCCATTGTATTATATTACCATTGTATTATATTACCATTGTATTATATTACCATTGTATTATATTACCATTGTATTATATTACCATTGTATTATATTACCATTGTATTATATTGCCATTGTATTATATTACCATTGTATTATATTACCATTGTATTATATTACCATTGTATTATATTACCATTGTATCATATTACCATTGTATCATATTACCATTGTATTATATTACCATTGTATTATATTACCATTGTATTATATTACCATTGTATTATATTGCCATTGTATTATATTACCATTGTATTATATTACCAATGTATTATATTGCCAATGTATTATATTACCATTGTATTATATTGCCATTGTATTATATTACCATTGTATTATATTACCAATGTATTATATTGCCAATGTATTATATTACCATTGTATTATATTACCATTGTATTACGTTCTGCACAAAGCCTTTTGAAGAACCTTTCATTCCAATCTCCTTCTTCACCATAGAGTAGGGATATAGGGTATCTATGGGGAACTCAATAAATACTGGCCCTAAAAATATAAAGAGTGCATATGCATACTTGACTGGCTTTTATCCCATGATATTAAATCAAATTAATTGCTTACATTTTTTAAAATGGTGAAAAAGTAAGATTTAATTGTAGCAATGGATTGGAAAGATATATCATGGGATATCACACGAGCTACAGAATATTCAATTTTTTCAAACATTGTTCTGAGAAATATCATTTTAATATAGGGTGACAAAAAGAATGCAAGGCACAGGGTGAACAATATCGTACCTAAAACATAGCAGTGTGGGCTTCATGACCTAGAAAGTAAGATGGCTGCTGAAAAGTTAATCAGTTCAAGGACTTCTTACCATGTAACATGTGTAAAAATTTGAAGAAAAACCATTGAGTGGTTTTCCTGGAATCGCGATGAGAAGATTTATCTAAAAACTTCCAGAATGGCCACTAGAACGCAAGATGGCTGCCAAAAAGTTGATCAGCTCTACAACTTCTTACCATGTAACATGTGTGAAAATTTAAAGTAAATCCGTCAAGTTGTTTTCCTGGAATCACGATTTATCTTAAAACTTCCAAGATGGCCCCCAGAATGCAAGCTGGCCACCAAAAAGTTAATCAGCTCTTGAACTTCTTACCATGTAACATGTGTGAAAATTTGAAGGAAATCCGTTGAGTGGTTTTCCTGGAATCGCGATGACAAGATTTATCTACAAACTTCTAAAATGGCTGCCAGAAAGCAATATGGCCACCGAAAAGTTAATCAACTCTAGAACTTCCTACCATGTAACATGTGTGAAAATTTGAAGTAAATCCGTTCAGTGCTTTTCCTGGAATCGCGATGACAAGATTTATCTAAAAACTTCCAAGATGGCCTCCAGAATGCAAGATGGCTGCCGAAAAGTTAATAAGCTCTAGAACTTCTCACCATGTAACATGTATGAAAATTTGAAGTAAATCCGTCAAGTAGTTTTCCTGGAATCGTGATACCAAGAAAGTGAGACACCACTCGCCTGCCCATCAAGCTGATATCAATATCGTACCTTTTTAGGTAAGATAAAAATTCACATACCATCAATTCACAATATGAGAACTACATGTACTTGATATTTGGCACAGACAAACTGCAGACACAACATCTCTGGACTATAAAGTTTCAAACAATAACAGTTTAAGGCAGAAAAGGGTGAACTGAATTCAAACAGCAGGGGTTTCATTAGCAGCAGACAACAGGCGATTTTCATCAGTTGTTTTCACAAAATTGTCTGTTTTTAGGATCTTTTCAGCTTATCCATGTTAAATTAATGGTTTCCGTTAATTTTGCCTGTTGTTTTCATTTATTTGGGCTGTTGTGAGAAATTCTAGTGAAACCCCTGAACTGATTGACAAACTAACTAATATTACCTGGTGTTCCTGACTGGGCCATCTGTAAAGCTTTCTTCACAGTGGGCACTATATCTCTGACCCTGTTTATAGTGGCACAGTACTTGCACAGGGGTTTAAATAGGGACATCTGGTCAATGTCTTGCAGTGCTCCCCGACCCTGAAAATAATTTGAATTCATCATGCAAAATACAAATATTGGCGAGACTGGTCTCAGTATTCAATATCAAAATTGCTTAAACAGGCAGTTTGTCAATATGTCACTTATTATCGAACTGAAAAAGACTTGACATGGGTGATAACTGATAAAACATGGAAATAAAAGATTTGAGATGCAAAAATGTTCAACTTCAATAAAACTGATTTGTGTGTTCACTTTTCAGAACAACTGTCATGCTATACACATATATGTACACTTTGCATGGTCTTGCATTTTGAGGTATACGAATCAACCACCTCGTCTGAGAAGATGAAGATAATAAAAAAACTAACAATTTTCACCTCCATGTATCCGATATGAATCCATTTGGTTACTCCTATCTGAACATCCTAATAACCAAGTGAGTGTCAAAGGGTGAGCCAAAAAAGGTAACCCAAACAAATCAAATGACTCAGTCATCCAGTATGGGTTTATTTTATTTGGCTCAATTGAACCTTGTCCAATCCTCTTTCATCCTCTGAAGTCTCATTGGTCTATTTCCAATCGTTACAATTTTATGAGTGTCAGATCAGTGATTATAAGCTGTAGTATTAAAATTTGGCCACACAAAATGATAAATGATGCAGTTCTACAATCCAGAAGGTCAAATACATATAAACTCTGATTAATCAATATTACATGTACATGAATTAGGGGCATCAGGTTCAATAGCTCTTTTTATAGAAAGCTAATATCTGATTTGACAGATCAGCTCTAGTATGCCTCACCTTCAATAGTGTAGCAGCAGCTCCACCTATAAGCAACAGTGGAGACTCGGCCATCTGGGCATTCTTCACTGCAGTCACTGTGTTGGTTAGACCTATTGAACCAAGTAAAGATGTGGATCAGTCAATATACATTGTTCATCTATTTACTTTATCTTATATGTATTTCCATATAGAGTAATACAGTTAATAAAGTAATACAGTTACAATATCACCCCTTCCATGTGAGAAATCCTTCCTTTAGGATGGACAGCTAAATGCCTAAAAAGGCAACTTCACTATATTCTATCGTTATAATAAGGCAGTATAAATAAACTAGAATTTCTTTCAATTTGCTGCTGAATAAGACCAAGGAATGAAATGTATGTAATTTTGTAAAATATGATATTGCTTACCTGGTCCAGCAGTGACAGCAGCTACCCCAACAGTTCCTGATAGTCTGGCCACCGCATCTGCAGCAAACACTGTCGTCACCTCATGTCTTGTGTCAACAACTCTGATGCCCAGCTTCTCACAAGCCACCAAGATTGGAGAAATGTGACCTCCTACTAAAGTGAAAACATATTTCACACCATGGGCCTGAAAATAAATAAGTGATGATGCAATGAAATAATTATGTCTACTCAATTCTTATATTGATGCTATCGATTTTTGATATTAAAATCAGCCACTTAAAACATTTATTAGATCTTTTTCAATACATTACAATTATAGTAAAACCTGTCTTAATGAACACCCGTCTCTAGTGGACACTTGACACCCTTCCTCCGCACACACTCTACTGACTTCTGTATAAATAACCCTCTCTGCACGGGAATAACTACCAACACTGAACTATTTTTTCTTGGCAAAAATGTTCAATAAACACAGTATTTACTGTCTACTCTAAATGCAGATGGATAGAAACTGTACAGTTTGGACTGTAAACACAGTATTTAACATAATGTACAGTAGGCCTAATGAATGTGTGTCTAAGATACCACTGTAATTTAAGCATTTATTAAGATATACATCCAAGGTCCAAAACGATGAACTAAATATGGGTTAATATATGAGTTTGAACAGTGATAGTAGAGTCTATATACAATAGTATAGTTACCTTTAGCACATCGGCTACCAACTCTCCCCCATGCCTAGTAGAATGCTCTTCTGCCTGAAAACAAATATTTGAAAGGGCTTGGTAAAATTGTTAAATTACCCCTTTCTTTAGCTTAGACTGAACATTACGTATTTCGGAGGAACTTCAGCAAAGATTTTTCACTTTTATTTAGCCATCAATTTTACATGGAAAATTTTAAATGTGAAATGTGAATTTTCTTTGAAAATGTGATTTTAAGGCCGGGTAGACATGACTGTAAAATGGACAAAATATTCTGGAGATCACATATTTTACAAGAAAATCAAAACAAGCGTCATATATAAACACTAACCAATGAAAATATGACCATGATGATAGAGGAGGAAAAGAGCCTTAAAATGCTTTTTATTCGAAGCTTCCAGCTCAATTTTGAAGGAAGTTACATACAATTTTGTAAAACAAATCTTACACATTTTCTAATGATATATGTTATATAAAGTGGGGGACAAAAATAAATCTCAACCCTCAAAAGTTGTCACAATGAACTAAATTCTAAGTTTCGTGTCTCAAACTCTCCCAAGCGGTAGAAAAATAATTCCCATTCACTTTGAGTAGCAAAATCAATGAATCCAAAGCTTCATACCTGCAAATGATGGATAAATCCCTACCAAATCGAACGAATGTTTTCATGAATCGCCATATTTGTGATCCAAGGAGGATTGACTCCCAGAATGCAACATCAGGTAACCTTACTTACTCATGACAGATTTCAAAATAACAGGATGGCATTTTGAAAGCTGACATGTGTCATGTTGCATTCTGGGAGCCAATCCACATTGCGACGTAATCGGGCCCCAAAATCACCTCAACATTTGAAGAGTTGCCCATGCTGGGTTCAAACTTGGTACCCGGTCGAAAAAACCGGGTACCCAAAAAACGAAAAATACGAATATATAACATAATTAGATCATTAGAAAAAACGTATAAGATATGTTTTGAATTTACAAAAATGTATGTAACTTCCTTCAAATTTGAGCTAGAACTTCCTCTATCATCATGGTCATATTTTCATTGGTTATGGGGGGGGGGTGAAATCGCACCATCGCACCCCCTCCTGGCTACGCCTATGACATTGTAGGACGTAACACTTAGTGGACGTTTCGTTGAAAATTGGGATAACTTAAATTATGATTAATAATCGAAATCTTACTTGTTGCATCTCATGGAAATCAACACGTCACCTCTCTGCTAAAGCATGGGCTCTGATAAAGCCCATGGCTAAAGTAACAATAGCTATTTACAGATTTAAATAATAATCAAAACAATTCACGTACCAACATACAAACTATTAAAAATAGAGTAAGATTGATTTGTAATATATTTTAAATCGTCTTACAATGTCATAGGCGTAGCCAGGAGGGGGTTCAATCGCACCCCCCCCCCCCATAACCAATGAAAATATGACCATGATGATAGAGGAAGAAAAGAGCCTTTAAATGCTTTCAAAACAAAGCATGTTTTCTAATGATCTTATTATGTTTTATATTCGTATTTTCGTTTTTTTGTGTACCCAGTTTTTTCTACCGGGTACCGGGTACCAAGTTTGAACCCAGCATGGAGGATTTACTACCCGGTACCCGTTTTTTTCTACAAGCCCTCAAATACAACAGCAATTTCCAGTGAAATCATCCAAATACATCGTTACTCACGATTTATCAATGTTGCTTGACTTTAATTGATTCCATATTAATTGAGCAAACTAATTTCTCAAGTTTGAAGGATAATGTTCCCGGGAAAAAAGAGATTGAAATGTAGGCACTGGATGAAATGTTCATGGCAGACATTTTGAAATAAGAAGCTGAATACTAGTCTATATCCAATAGACTGAATTTCCTGAGAATTTCATTCCAAATTTCAAAAAAATTTCAGACTAGAGGATATAGTCTATTCTTCGACTCGAAGATTGAAGTGTATATTACTGCAATTTGAGACAGTCGCGTCTTTTCTGGCTTGGGGAGAACATTTCTTTTGGTGTTAAGAGTCAATAGAGGTAAGAAATATATGCGTACCTAACGCCATTAAATTTAGACTTTTGAAAAATAACGTGTGTTTCAATGGATCCCCTCCAAGACCAGAAACGAAGAGGATGGTGTTGGAACAAGATAAGTCCCACTGTATTCGTATTTTTCGAATTTTTGGGTACCAGGTTTTTTTCGACTGGGTACCGGGTACCAAGTTTGAACCCAGCAAGCAGGATTTACTACCCGGTACCCGGTTTTTTCTCCAAACCCTCTAGTTCAACAAGTTAAACCCAATACCACGGCTTTCATTTATTAATCTGAATGTTCTTGTTGCCGTGGTTGGGTTTAACTTCCGTGCTATGCTTTCATTTGTTGCAAATTCTCACTATCAGTTATTATTGCGCTACAATAGTAACTTTTTGCATCAAGGGCAGAATTAGACGGTGAACACCGCCTCTAATGCGTTGGATTGTCGTAAGGACTTGCATTACACGATCCTCAGAGACCCAGAGGGTGAATGAATGCACCTAGGGCAGAATAGGCACGGACGTTAAACCTAGGGCGGGTCACAAGATATGTCTGATAAGAAATAAGGCCCAGACTAGGTTTAACTACAAACCCTCCGGCACGGATCGTGGGAAGTCCTCCGGAGAAGAATTCACTAGTCTATTCAGATATGTCATTCTTAGATTGTACTTACCTTATGAAACAGTTGATAAATAATTCCAAGTTGTTTTTGAATATAATACACAACTAATAACAAACTGACAACAAATATAACCATGCAGTTCTCTTGTAATAAAGAAAAGATTGAAGAGAATCCAGAAGTAAATATATCCGCCATTCTGAGGTCTCACTACAGTAATAGGAATTACCAGTCGGTTATTCTACTTCCGGTGCAAATGTACCTAAGAGCATTGGTTTCTTATAGTCCGTGGTTTCAGGTATGAGGTTCTAGCCTTAGGCCGATATAAAGATGTCAGTTGTGGTCTGTCCACTTATATCAATTCTTTCAAGTAGATTGCCAATTCATGATTAATATCATAGGCCAAGGGTAAAGTAATAGTAAGCCATATATAGAAGAGACAGGTGAACAACTCTGACTTGGACTACTTGTTAAGATGGAGATTTCAACAATATTTAGTGTATTATTTTCAAAAAGCCATGGGGAGTTGATAGAAAATTGATAGTGTGTAGCTCTTACCTAAGATTGAAACTCAGTCAGATGAAATGGAGTGAATAATGCTGTCTTAAAGAGAGAATTTCTGAAAACCTGCAATTGCCTGGCAAGTTCATTAGTAAACAAGTGATCTGATTGGTCACTGCTGACCTCCCTGACCTCCAACAGTGACAATCAGTTTCAGCTTGCCAGGCAATTGCAGATATCCATAGTTGTTGTTTTATATGCAGTATTATATGCAGTTTTTAGATAAAGATTTGAAAAAAACAATGATATAAGTTTGAAAAACACTTTGAAGAAGATTTTGGAGAGATTTGGGAATACAATTTGATACCAGTAAGGAGAACTAGTGCCAAGACTAAAAAAATTTGAAAAATTTTCAATCTTACTTGTGGACCTGTCTCTTCTATATTCAGCTTACTATTACTTTTCCCTTGGCCTATGATTAATATGGTACCTTGGAACTCGGTCTCCGAGCCTTTCGTCCAGTGCCATCCGTACCTCCTGTGCCTTACCTCAGTAGTGAAGGTACGCAACGAACGAAATGAATTTTGAGAATGCTTGGAACTGACACTGAGTGGATGCAATTATATATATATTTACTGGAGTGACACCATACTTTGACCTTTTTAAGGTGCCGATTATGACATTTCGTTCCGTGGTATTTTCAATTTACTTTAAGTACCGGGAAAACTCATTTCTGAATCTTTACAACTCATAAATTAAAATGCCACTAGGGAAGTGGGCAATAAAAGTAATTGGCTTACGGACAAGGGACAACTCATCCCCTAGACATCTCATCCCCTGAACAACTCATCCCCTAGACAATTCATCCCCTGGCACTTGATGGCACATCTCATCCCTGGATATCTCATCCCCTAGACAACTCATCCCCTGGTCATCTCATCCTCTGAACAACTCATCCCCTAGACAATTCATCCCCTGGACAACTCATCCCCTAGACAAATGCCAAATGTCATGTTAATGTCAAAGGTTACACGAGTCTAAGATCTTTACGAAAATGTGTACTCTTTTAACAAATGATTTCTGTTACCATAGCAACCAAATTACCAACATTGATGGCACTTGACATACTGGTAGGACATGTAGACGGATGATTACCTGTAAAGATCAAGATGATTGATTGAATACTCTAGGAATTATACATGCGCTTTCATACTCGCCTAACCATCGACAAGGTACAGTGACAAAATATACCGTTGTACACTTTAGATATACGATGTCACTATTAACTGATTTAAAGCAAAAACTATGATGCAGGTGTGATGTAGGTTTTAAAAAATTAATCTTGGGAATACTTGAAAGATTTCGTATTCGCTTTGGAAGACTTTTAGCTTTCTGATTACGTTAAAAGATTTTCGAGCAATGCTAGATTTTTCTCGTAATTAATCTACCCACAAAAATTGATCGGTTGAGTATTTCACATTTCCTTTGATCTTTTTTTCCCCTGTCTAAGAGTGTCTATTATTTTTATTAGAATATGTTACTCTATACTACACAATTTAGGATGGGTGGAGATTAATAAATATTCAAGTACTTATTGTAATTTAAAAATTCAGAAATGTATGTTGTCAACTCGAATGTACGTTGTCCCTGTAATTAAAATTCATGAGATATATGTAATATCAAACAATGTAATGATTAACAAGTGATCTTTAACGAACATGTTCAAGTATCCTTTTTGCTTTTTCATTTTATGAAAGTATTGTTGTGGTGGTGGTTAATTTGTGCCCATTTGGTGTTTGCTTCCAGCCAAAACTCCCATCCAGTGTCTCAGAATAGAATATGTTGAAGACTAGCCCTGCCACGGAGTTTGCTTCCAGCCTCTTTAATTATTTGGCGTCTGTACCTTACATTTTGTTAGTTACATTGATAGATAGATCTATACTAGCTTATTGAATATAACTTTTTAAAATCCTGTTTATGATATATCTGGAAAGTTTCAATAGTTCAATCAAATTGAAATAATTCTGTAATTGTTCTGTTTCAATTTTAAATGCATCTGACCCACCCCCCTGTCTGTTAGTGTTATGAAATTAATTAAATATCAAGTTGATTGATTAAATATTCTGGGAATTATACATAGTACCCCCTTAATGTGCACTTTTTAACAAATGATTTCTGTTACCATAGCAACCAATTGACCAACATCAATGGCACATGTCATACTGGTAGGACATGGTTAGCAGATGATTACCCATAAATATCAAGATGATTAATTGAATATTCTAGGAATAATACATATTACCTCCTTAATGTGCACTTTTTAATAAATTATTTCTGTTACCATGGCAACCAATTGTTACACATTAATGAGACTTGTCATAGTGGTAGGGCATTATAAGTAGATGATTTTGTAAATATGATGTAAATATCAAGATGATTGGCTGTATATTCTCAGAATTATAGATGGCTTTCATTGTACCCCCCTTAAAATCATACCAATGGGGTATAAATCTGCATACCATAGTAACCAGTAAACCAACACTGATGAAACTTTCCATGATAGTCAAACATAATGATGTGAATAATATCTGTTAATTTCAGGACAAAAAGGTTATTCATTTCTTCAAAAAGTTGAACACAAATAAAAATTCTTTGGAAAAGTGCCACATCCCCTTTCTAAATTTACTTGCATGGCCATATAACCATCAGCAATAGATTCCACTGTGTGGATAAGATAAAACAGCAATTGATTTAATACTATCAAACATACTTTAAATAAAAGTTTTCTAAAATGTTTACATGGTGATTCCTCCAAATTTCATGCAAATAATATGTGTTTTGTCTTATGGGGTGTCTTACATTTTGACGAAAATGTGTACTTTTTTAACATATGATCTCCGTTACAATAGCAACCAATTGATCAACTTTAATGAAACTTGTCATAATGGTAAGACATGATAAGTACATGATTACCTGTAAAAATCAAGATGATTGGCTCTATTTTCTAGGAATTATATATGGCTTTCCTAGTACCCCCCCCCCTTAAAATTACCCCAGGGGGTATACATCTGCATATTTCCAAAACGCTGAAAATCTAGACACCAATGTTTTCAGAATCAATGTAGATGATTATCATCTTATGTGATGTTTCTACAATATGTACAGTAACATACTTGTATATGTAAGGATGTCCAGTATATACAAGTCTAGTATATAGTAAACAAAGGAGTATTATGGTCAATAACTCAATACAACTGATAAACAGAACAAAGAGTGTTTTCTATGCAATTAACCTGGGAACACCTAAAATGAGTGACTTACAAATGTTTAACACCTTACTTCAAATTGTTAACACCTTGATCCAAATTAGAACACCATGGTCCAAATTTTGAACACCTTGATCCAAAAATTAATGCGTGACATTTCGCAATTCATGTGAAACTTTTGGCATTTGGCGTTTGTTTTTTTCAGGGTGAACTGAAACATTTTTGTTTGACAATGATTTGAAAAAATGCGTATTTGCTTGACATATTCTGTCACACAAAAAACAGGCGTGACTTCAATTCAGCAAATGCGTGACAAATCTTCAAATTGTGGGACAGTCGGACGGCCTGACCACATTATAAATACATCTACATGGTGGGCCAATAAACATCCATATTTTTATTTCAATATTACATTTTTGAAAATGCATGGATTTTAATAAAAGTTTTGCAGGGGCTAATACAGGTAAACAAACACAAGGAGTCTATTTGAATGTTAAATCTTATATCTGCTTTAAATTGACTTTTAAGCCTTTTGCAGATTGTTGAAATAGACATCATTGTAAAATTGTTGCTTCAAATATCATCTGAAATCTGTATATTTTCAAATACATCCAAGTGTTTATTTACCTTTATTATACAGAAACTCACAAAGATTTATTAATCCCATTTAGCAACTGCAAAAGTGATTCCTGACTTCCCTGCGGAAATTTCGTCGAAATCCATGATTTTTCAAAAAAGTTTTATTGATACAAAAAATATGGACACTTTCTCTACCAATCCTGTGCATGTGTACAATACATCACAAGAGATGCAATAAAATGTGTCAGTGATAATAAAAATATTTTTTTATCAAATTTTTTCACCTTTATTTATTTATTTATTTACCAACAATAAAGCCCATCTTAACTTCATAAACAAATAGAATTTGATCAATTTAAAATTATTTACAAATACCTACATCTTTACCATGTAGTAAATCTGCTTCCTGGTCATCTCAACCTTAAGTCAACTCAACCCAGTAAAACTCAACCTCAGTAAAACTCAACCCCAAGTCAACTCAACCCCTGTTAAATTCAACCCCAGTAAAACACAACCCCAAGTCAATTCAACCCCAGCCAAACTCAACCCCTATATATTTTAGCAGTGACAAATTTATAATCCATAAAGCTTGTTGAATAAAAAAGTTTTCATAATTTTTGTTTCAATTTTTATTTCCATTCTAAGACCTACAGTGGAGTGCATGATCTCCTAAGTTCCAAACTGTCAACATGGTTCTACCAGCATTAATATGTGGGACTAATAGGATGACAGGAACTGAAAAACGCTGAAGGATTAATGAGGGGTTATTACATGTGTAATCTTATTTCACATGTCATTTGAATTTTGAATCTTGTGAATAAGTTTGTTTTGTTGTAATACCTTTCAGATTGACACTATTGATCATAAATAATTTTGTTAATAACATTGTTAAAAACAAAATAGTATTTTCCTAAAAGGAATGGTATCGATATGGAGAACTTTTTGAACACAAATTTCTCATCTAAAACTTTAACACATCGTCAATTTAATGGTCATCTTTTGAATGGTAACAATATAATTTGAATAATTTATATATACTTTCATCTATATTGTTTTAGAAAACACATCAAACACTTGTTTTGTTCTTGGTATCATGTTTCCAGAGTGAAATGAAACATCTTTCCGAACCTCATTGGAACAAAACGACATAAACACAACATGTTTAGGTCTCTCAATATTGTAATTGTACAAAGAAAATTTTGGTTGATTTTAAAAAAATATCTTGTTGATGAAAGATAGGTTTATCTTGATTTTTATCATTTTGGGGGGATTTTGTTTTAATTTTTTGAATACTTTTTTAAATCAACCAACATTTCCTTTGTATAACTATAATATTGAAAGGTCTAAAAACATGTTGTTTATGCTATTTTGTTCCAACAAGGTTCGGAAAGACATTTTATTTCATTCTCAGTTGAGTTTTACAGGGTTGAGTTGACTTGGGGTTGAATTTGACTGGGGTTGAGTTTTACTGGGGTTGAGTGATTTGGGGTTGAGTCTTACTGGGTTGAGTTGACTTGGGGTTGAGATGACCTGTCAACGTAAAACCTAAGGTTTAACAATACATTTATATTCTCTCCATCAAGATTCATGAATTTGAAATATTTCTACAGTTGGATTCTCAAAGGTGAGGTTGAATCAAGAGGGTTATACTAATTCTCCCTTTCGTAGTGTGCTCTTCAAATGAGGAGACACGGAAGTCTTTCCTTATATGGACAAAATATTACCCATGATGCAGTTCGTGGGGGAACAAATTCTAACATCCTTGTTTTCCCTCATTGGTTTAGCATGTGGATTTTCATATCTATTTTTCAATCGCTATGATCAATCAAACCTCTGTCCGACTGGACAAAAAGTATCATAAACGATTGGTCTCTTATTAAACTTTATATATATGATATTTTAATCATTGTATTGACTCATAACGTTGTGAAAACAACATGTGAAAAGTGTGACTAGTTGCCATATTGGAAAAAAATATCATTTGACTTAAGCTTTCTACCCTTTCATTCCATCCTTACAGCATGCACTACAAACTGCAATATCGATGCAACAACTGAATAAAAATACTCATCTTCAAATTGCATCATAGAGTTACTTTGAAAACTCACCGAGCAATTACCCAAATGCGAGTAGGTAGTTACCAGTTTCACCACCAGGTGGCTGATTCGGGTCAATTAACATGGCAGGTATATGAGAAAGTTCCCTTAAACTTGAATATTATCAATTTAAGTGGCTCAATTTTCATATAACCCTTATGTGTTATGCGTCTGATACTTATACTAATGAAAATATGTCCAGTAAAGCAAAATATTATCTGTATACTAAAAGAAAAGATATTTTATTTTTTGTGATTTTATAGCATGGGGTCTATGGGGAATCTCCCCGAGCTAGAAGTCACATTTTCAAAGAAAATTAATTTTTCAAAGTTGATAAACACTTTTTAAAACCACATTTCTAGATGTAATTTTACATGTAGATTTCAAATATGATATCAGTTTGACTGAATTTTTAATTTTTAATGACGTAAATCAAGATTATTTCTACTCGCATCTGGGTTATTGACCAAAGAAGATGTGTAGCTAGGTCAATTGGTTCTGTGTCCGAAAGCAAATCTATAGTACTCATTTCCGAATTTTTTGTTGATTATACAAGCTTTTATTGATTATATTGGTATACTGACCATCATAGCCATGACAAAGAGCAATACTTCCGATGGTGGCATTGTTTTAATTTAGCGTTCGGATGTAAAAACAAAATTGTGTAATTAGTTTGATTTAGTACTTTCGGGTCACACAAATATCTACCCGGAAGGCAGCGTGAAAAATATCGACCAATCAACTTCTGTCCTTTTGGGGGGCATTTTAAGTACATATTTTGTACAAAGAGTGAACCACGGAAAGGAGAATTATTTATACATTGTATGTTCAATTCAATGTCAAATTCTAGCCAATCAGAACACAGTATTTCAAACATTGTGGAAGCATGAAATTATCAACCATGCACCCACTCTTATGAAGAGTGCAGTACCAGTGAATTTCATAGCTGTCAAGAGGGAAAATGTGTAAATACAAAATGTAGTTCCATGGAGTTTCAACCTCATGAAGATTTGCAACTCCTTTTTATATATTATATCTATTTATCACCATAATAATAATGATACTGTGATGTAAGAAAGTGGAAAATATAAAATTGTCCCTGTTTTTCACAGAGGGTGAAAACTGAAAATAAATACATGTAGCTTGATTCATTGTACTCTAAAACTCGAGATACTATCTTAGATTTGATGCAAGAAATCTTGCCATTTTTCATTTGAAATATTCTTGCAACTGAACTTAGTACCAATCTTCACAAAGTATGAATGAGATCAATCTGACATTATATGATTAAAAAAACACTTTATTTTCCATGACCAGTAGTCTCAGATTTTGTGAATCATTAAAAACCTGTATTGGCCAGAGATGTCAAAATTAAAATAGACAAATATTTAAAAAGAGAACCCTTATGTACATTTAAAAAATTAAAATACATCCTGACAATAAATTCATCCTTACTTATGCTACATATTAATACAATCTTCAATTCAAATTCAATTACAGTCAATTGATACATATAACATATCACCTGCATAGAATGAAATATTTGTATTAAATATATATTTGAGCTGAATATATAGAAACAACCACCCAGCACTGGAATCTTGTATGTACATGTAGATTAAGCAAGCCAGCATTCAATTAATCTTGTTTTGCACTTCGGTTTTTACCTAACAATCTCTTGCCTTTAATTTCATCAGTCAGTTTAAATGTGACACGTTTTCTGTTTGTAGATAGCAGACCATTAGAAGAGTCCCCAACTGCTGAATCTAATTCCATATTGTCACCATCATTGTCTGTATTGAGGGCTGCATTTAAAAGTTGGTATTTCTCACCCTTATTTGAGGCAAGATTTTGCATTATGACGTATAAAATACCAGCGATTACAGTACATGCTAAAAGGGTATATACCAACCACATTGTTGACTTAGTGTCATAAAGCTTTCCCGTCATGGCTGGCAAAGCAAGTTCTCCAAGTGACGAGCCCACAACAAACACAGATGTGGCTTTGGCAGTTATTTGCATGTACCGCTCGGCCCATATTATTCCAGTTGGAAATATGGTTGATAAGCCCAAACCAAGTGTACCTGTACAAAACCACAGTACCATATCATTGCATTTATGTTCTGCTCCCAAGCCAAGTGTCAGTCCAAACAAAGACAAAGCAGTAAGGGCCAGATCAGTGATAAGCATTAAGGACGGACTTAAACATTTAGATAAGGGAATAGCCAAAAGCCTGCCAATGGAAAATGTCCCCCAGAATATGGCAACAAGCATGCTAGCTCTTGGCTTACTCCAATCACAATGGTCACTGGCAAACATTGACACTAAGTTGCCATAAGTCACTTCAATACCCACATAAAAGAAGAAAAAGACAAACATGAGTGCTAGCATCTGTATCCTAAAGCCCACACTCTCCTTTCGTAGCATTTTAGTTTCTTTTTCCAGTGGTGGGAGGGCACGAAGGGTGCAGGGTCCACAGCAACAACTGCACAAAAATAACAAGCTGAGGAGAAGCAACAAGCCACTGATAACAAGCCAGGCTAACTGCCACCTATCCATCTCTTTAACTGTATCTAAAATCTTATCTACTTTATCCTTGATTTCTTGAATGGGATCAATGTCACATCCAGTCTCATTTTCACATTTAGTTTTATTGATAGACTGAACAGTTGCATTAGTATTTGCAATTTTTGTTGAAGTAGTGGTTGTAGCATCAGCCACTGGTATTGTACTAGTCTTATTAGTTGTTGTACTGATCACTGGTGTTGTAGCAGAAGTTGTGGTTTTAGGAGAAGTTGTGGAGGTTGAAGCAAGTGTAGTGGTTGTAGCAAGTGTAGTGGTTGTAGCAAGTGTAGTGGTTGTAGCAAGTGTAGTGGTTGTAGAAGTTGTGGTGGTTGAAGCAAGTGTAGTGGTTGTAGCCGAATTTGTGGTGCTTGTTGCAGTTGTTTTGGTTGGTACAGGAGTAGTGGGTGTTGTAGTCTTTAGTTTAGTATTGTCTTTTGCATTTATCTCTTTCATAATTTTAGCTAGTTTCTTTCCATTTGCAGTATTCTCATCCGGACTTAGATTAACTCCACTAACCTCTGGCTTCTTAACTTCTTCAGTTGTTGTGTTTAGGGGAGCTGTACTAGTAGTTAGTTTTAACAATGTAATGTTATGATTAGTGTCACGTTTCACCACATTACCCTTGTTAGAGGGCTCAGGAACTGTACTAACTGTAACTGTACTATTCAGGACACCAAAGTCAGATTCATTGACACTTGTAGGGTAAAGGAATGGTTCAGCTATAAGAGGAGCTACGAATGCTCCAAGACCAAATGTAAAGTGCATCGCCTGCATAGCTGGCCCAAGCCTCCTGCCCCACATGTTAACACACATAACATTCCCTCCTGCAAGTACACACAAAATACATGATGATACACAGTGTGTCAGAAAGAATATTTAGGAATATTTGATTAATTCTGCTACATTTGCCCAGCAAGAGAAGTACATGTATGGCATGATAGGTCATATCTGCTTAATGCTGTGCTACATTTGTCTTGCAATAGAAGTATTGCATATCATAAACTATGACATATATCAGGTTAATATTATATATAACTAGGAATGGAAGTTTGGAATAATGAAGTGCTAATCTAAAATAGTATAGCAATACAGAAATGAAAGAATTGGCTGAATAATGTGCACTAATAGTAAGCAGAACTATTCTAAATTCAGACAAAAATCTTCTGTTCATACCTGTATGTCATAATTATTTCATAGTGCAAACAAACCTGTATCTATGGATCCCATTGACAGACCCTGGAAAGCTATGACTACTCCAAGTGTTTCCAGACTGTGACACAATGGGGTAGTTGCAGTCATCACTGCTGTCACAAATAGGCCACCACTCAGAAGCAAATTTTGGTTGATCTTATCATAGAGTACACCACTGACAAAGGAGCCTGCTAGATAGCCAATGGATCTAGCTACAAATATTGTAGATATCTGAGTAGTATTTGTATTTGTTGTTAGCCGTAAGTCAGGCATTGTTGGTCCTGGAATCGTCAAAGAGAGACCCTGCAAAATAGTAATGAAAAATAAACAAAACAGCAACTGGTATTGTCTCCTTTAGGCAAAAGCTACACATTTAAAAGGGCATGATACCATTTTCAGAATTCCTTCTCACAGGCTGGTATCGAAAGATTTGACCGCTGCGAGGGAGCATGTTATTCTTCATAAAAACACTCAGAAAATCACATAACCTATTTTTAACTCATATGTTTCGTTATACCAAAGATAATTACTTACATGCAATGGATATATTATTTGTGGGTAACTTTCACTTCTGTTTGAAGTACAAAAACGCTGGGAGCAAAAGCTATTGAAAATGGTGCCGGAGTATCATACTCCAAAATGTACCATTTCTTGTTTAACTTTTTAATGGCACGATATAGTGACACTAGTATTGTATTGTATTGTATCTTGTTTACCACCAATGAAGGTGAGCAATACCTCTTGGGTATATCCCGTATATATACGTCGTAATTTACGTAATTAACCTGGAAGATAGACCCAGAAACCTCTCCTTGAAGGAGCCCTGATAGTGATTATGTTTACATATGTTTTCAACATTACTATGAAGGTATTAATGAGATATTGATGTATTGGGTGTTTTTAATTCATTTAAAATAATAATGTTTAATTTTTTTGTCCGCTGTGACGGAGCAGTTGCAAATGAGAACTGTGAAACTGCTCCGTCACAGTGGACAATACATCAATATCTCATTAATACATTCAGAATTATGCTGAAAACATATGTTAATATTATCGTGTCACTGCATCATCTCATTAAAAAGTTAAAAAAGAAATTGTACATTTTAGAGTTTGATACTCTGGTGCCGTTTTCAATAGCTTTTACTCCAAGAGTTATTTAACTTCAAACAGAAGTGAAGCTTACCCACAAATGATATATCCATTGCATGGACTAAGTAATTTTCTTTGATATAACGAAGCATATGAGTTAAAAAATTGAGAAGTATTCTTAGAGTATTTATGAAAAATAAAATGCTCCGTCACAGCGGACAAATCTTTCGATACCAGCCTGTGCTTCTGAGTAATTAGTTATCATAGAATTCATTCCAAAAATTGTGGTTATTGTGAATTGAGCAACCATATTGGAAATTCCCTCTAAGGAGAGGTCCTATGCCCTTAAGATATTGGCTTACAGGCTTATGGATTTAACAAATCTACTAACTGGTATTAGTTATTGAATTACATAAATTATTATGAAAATGGCACCCATTTTGAATTCAATGGTCATTTTAAAAGTTTCTTCTTGAAAAATGACCCCATGTCCCTAAGACATCCCTAAGGCATATTATAGAGGGCATATCTTGCCTTCAGCATTCATAATTTGAAGCGAATCTGTCAACTGGTCTTTGAGTAATCAAAGATAACATTTGTTTTACAAAAATGGTGGCCATTTTGAATTGGGCAACCAAATTAAAAATTCTTCCTCTAGCAGAGGTCAGATGTCCTTAAGTCACCAGTTTATAAAATACACTTTTAGTCAACTTATTTGGCGACTGATTTAACTTGGTGAAAATTCACCAATTCATGTCTTCGCCAATTTTTCAGAAATCCCTGGGATTGATTTTATTGTGCTAAATCTATTATCACACATCGAAATAAAAAAAATTCCAATCATTTTCTGAATGAAATAGAGTATTAATATGCATGTTGCTTCAATTTTATTCACCACATTTGCTTCATATTTTTATTTTTTATCCACCTTGCTTATTTTATTGACAACCATTAATTTGGATCTCTGACTCATTCCTGTCAAATTTGCCAATTTCATCCTCGGGCTACTAAATTTGCCAAGTTAAATCTTTGCAAATTTTCCAAAATTAAATTACACCAACTTAAGTTGACTAACAGTAAACCAAATGTTAACCAGTATTTTAGTTAGACAGATGAATGGATGGAGGAGTTCATGTTTGTTTAATGGCATTATAATGGGAGATTGTGATGAAAGTAGTTCAAATTTGGAATTGGAAATTACGACAATATATTAGGTTTTGGATAGGTTAAAGCTTACTGGAGGATGATGTTAAGTCAAAATATTCATTTATTTGTATCTTGTTTGCATCAAAACTTACAAGTCCAAAGAAGGCTAAACACAGACATAATGTGGTCACAATCTTTCCACATGATGGGCTTGTCTTGGATGATGTATAATCCTTGTTAGAAGTTTTAGAGCTATTGAGGAGATTAGCTCTGTCGAACACGACATCATCTTCATCCTCCATTTTGATATGTAATATTAGCTAGTCTATAATCTATATCTGGAAGTGAAAAAATAAAGAATGAAAGCTAGCAAATAAGGTAATGGAACAGAAAACAGAATAATCTGAAAAAGAAAAAAATTTAATCGGGTTGGGTTTACTAGTGTTTCATGAGGCCACAAAGTATAAAAAGAGTTATTTTGTGCTATATCTACAAAGACGTTAAATACATGAAAAACTGTATAATGCCATGTACATGTAGTTCTTATTTTGAGTGGTCCAAAATAAGCAGAGTCAGAAGAACACAGAATTCAAAGATTCATTGGACCCTATCTTCATATAAAGATGTCCCTCAGATCCTTTTTATCCTGAACCGAAATCCTAGGCGGCCCCTAGGCAATGCTAGTCAACATATCTATTCCAAGACACTGTCTAAGGAGTTCGGAATATGAAGTCAAAATGTTAACCCTTCCATTGAAATGAAAGCAATAAAATCATGGTTTGAAAACTCCCAAAATAACCCAGACGATTCACTTTTTGCAATGGCTGGTTCTGACAGTGGCAAACCTGGGTTATAATGGTGCAGCCTACACCAACGAGTGGGGCCCACGAGTGCTTCTGGCTGGATTGACTATAAGATTTTCTAATATTTCTTCACAAAATTATTTCCTCGTTTCAGTGTCTTTACTAATGATGATGTGATTCACCCAAAGAAATGTAAATAGGCTAGATGTACATAACTGGCAATTCAAATAGTCAAGGCTCATCAAATATTGGCAGATAGACTGGAAAGAGAATTGTCAAAATATATCTAAATGGCCTGTTGAATGATCAGAAAAATCAAATTACAGTGGGGGGCATAAAGAATTACAAAACCTATGGAAATTACATGTTGTCGCATATGTAATAAATTCTTACCTCAGTGTATTCAGTGCTCTATTTTCTCCGTCATAGTAAGTCCAGATATAGTGGAATTTGTGTCCATAATGACAAATAAGAACTTAAAAATTTGATGTGGAATTCACATGTTAATGCCGACTCTTCAAATGTTGAGGTGATTTTGGAGCCAGATTACGCCGCAATGTGGGTTGGCTCCCAGAATGCAACATGACACGTGTCAGCTTTCAAAATGCCATTCCGCCGTTTTGAAATACGTCACGAATAAATAAGGTTACTTGATGTTGCATTCTGGGAGTCAATCCTCCTTGGATCACAAACATGGCGATTCATGAAAACATTAGTCCGATTTGGTAGGGATGTATCCATCATTTGCAGGTATGAGGCTTTGGATTCATTTATTGTGCTACTTAAAGTGGATGGGAATTATTTTTCTACCACTTGGGAGAGTTTGAGACATGAAACTTAGAATTTAGCTCATTGTGACAACTTTTGAGGGTTGAGATTTATTTTTGTCCCCCACTTTAGGTTAGAACCATCATAACATTAGCCTATATTTGTGTTTTGTCTTGAGATGTACAAATATTTTCATCAAATACTACAGACAGCAAAATATCATATAATCAATTCTCTAAAGGATTTCAAAGAAACTCATTTACCTTCAGTGAATCGTGCAGAAATGCAATAAACAGATAAAGCCGGAAAATATTTATTTCATTTTCTTCACAAGAACTTCTAATGTAAAGATAAGCAATTTCGCTGAAGCGAGATTAATAAGCTGATGCGACATCTATACTGTAAATCCTGAAAGTTGCCTGTTGTGGAGTGTCTCCCAGTGCCACTACAATATTGCCAATTTACATTTAAAATATTGCTCAGACACACATCTGCTGTCAAGTAAATGTTGCCCATCCACACATCTATCTGCTATGATGTAAACGTTGCCCATCCACACATCTATCTGCTATGATGTAAACGTTGCCCATCCACACATCTATCTGCTATGATGTAAACGTTGCCCATCCACACATCTATCTGCTATGTTGTAAACCTTGCCCATCCACACATCCATCTGCTATGATGTAAACGTTGCCCATCCACACATCTATCTGCTATGATGTAAACGTTGCCCATCCACACATCTATCTGCTATGATGTAAACGTTGCCCATACACACATCTATCTGCTATGATGTAAACATTGCCCATCCACACATCTATCTGCTATGATGTAAACGTTGCCCATCCACACATCTATCTGCTATGATGTAAACGTTGCCCATCCACACATCTATCTGTTATGATGTAAACGTTGCCCATCCACACATCTATCTGCTATGATGTAAATGTTGCCCATCCACACATCTATCTGCTATGATGTAAACGTTGCCCATCCACACATCTATCTGCTATGATGTAAACGTTGCCCATCCACACATCTATCTGCTATGATGTAAACTTTGCCCATCCACACATCTATCTGCTATGATGTAAACGTTGCCCATTCACACATCTATCTGCTATGATGTAAACGTTGCCCATCCACACATCTATCTGCTATGATGTAAACGTTGCTCATCCACACATCTATCTGCTATGATGTAAATGTTGCCCATCCACACATCTATCTGCTATGATGTAAACGTTGCCCATCCACACATCTATCTGCTATGATGTAAACTTTGCCCATTCACACATCTATCTGCTATGATGTAAACGTTGCCCATTCACACATCTACCCATTGTGATGTAATGATGCCTGCTTAACATATGCACAATTTCCTGCTGTATGGTAAATGTTGCCCATGCACAATACTGCTTGCTTTGGTATAAATAGGTATGTCCATTCACACAATTGCTGCTGTGGTTTTGGATGGGTATCATCAAGTCCTTCATGCTGATATAGGTACAGGGTGACCCAAAAAGCAAACTTGCCCAAAAATTGAATCATTTCAATTAATTTCTTTAATAGCCATACAATCAATGTTACTCTTAAAGAACAGAAGTCAATGGATGACAATATAACATTGACATGGTTAACTGTGAGGGACCAAGCTCATCTTGCCATGGATCATCCAAAGTGGGCCAACTTCAGGAAAAATGACTTTAATGAAGGACCCACGGTCCTGTGCTCACAAAGTTTAGAACCTTCAGAGGAACATATATCCTGACTTTCAAACAAAAATTTTGATTTTGATTTGTAGTATCGAACTTTGAGAAACTTAGATAGCAAAGTTGTGTGACCAAAAACTGTAATTCTCAGAGCTTTGAAATCTTCAGAGGACATAAGTTGCATATACAGCAACTACTAAAAGTTATTTGAAAGTTCTACTTCAACAAAGTGTCTAGTATTTACAGAAAATTTGACTTTTTGACGTCAAAATCCGCAATTTCTCGGAAACCGGGCGAACTTGGGAAATGGCGCTGATAGGTCAAATAGGCATTATGGATATGCATAAAATGAATGTGGATATGACTCAATCCGAATAGCAGTTTTAATTTGTGCGGCCAATGTTGACGGACGGACCAACGGACGGACGGACGGACGGACCATTGGACGGACGGACCAACGGACAGACGGACGCCTGGTCAATCCCATAGGCTCACTGTGTGAGCCAAAAATGACTGGCTACCTATGACCTATTTGCTTTCTCAGATTATCACATGTACATATCCATCAGGCAGATATAGATATTTTCCAAACAACTTGTTTCATGTACTGCTAAATAAATAATGCAAAAGAAGTATCTTAACATGTTAAAAGATCTCAGTGAGTGAAATAGTGAAAATAATGAGGCCATGAATCATAACTGGCATTACACACAAGATTTTGGAATGGCTGACCAGCCTGACCACCCACCTGTCCAAACCGATCACAATATAGCACCCTATACTACAGTGTGATAAATAAGGGTTATGTACTGGGAGGTTTTGGATATGGGGTTTATCCAGAGGGAGATATGCATATCTACCTGAGGGACCATAGGGACCGAAGGTAGATGTGCATATCTCACGAGGGATGAACCCAATATCCAAACCGACCATACATTACTGCTTTATCCTATACCAAGTAGAGTTTTCTAATTTTCTTTCAATTTTTTTTCATTTTTTATTTTTTTTCCAATTTTTTCACATTTTTCTAATTTTTTTTTTTTTAAATCTTTTTTTTTTATTTTTTCAATTTTTTATTTTTTTCACATTTTTTAAAAATTTTCTTATTTTTTCTAATTTTTTTTCCAAGCGGGAAGATATGCCCTGGAGCGGGAGATATGGCGGGAGATATGGAGGTTCAGGATATGGACACCTCAAAATCAGGATACGGGATATATCTTACCAACTTATCTCCCTAAAACTCAACTTGGCATAGGATAATAATGCATAGCTGTATCATATGAACATCAACAAATAATGTAGTAAATTGTATCATACAAGTGTATTTTATTGATTCATAATCAGAAACAACTGATAATTCCGGGCATTTCGTACCAAAATATCTCCTTGATACAGTACGAATACAGAATAAATAATGTGGTGGGTTTCAAAACAGACACCATGCAAGTAGTACTGTTCAAGTATTGTTTTCTTAATATTTCAAATACATACTCACTTAACAATAATAACTAAAACTCATAAAGACCACATGTATGAATGGAAATGTGGAATACCTTATTTAGTTCTAATCCATTCTCTACATTTCAGAAACGCAGAAGTGGGACTGAACTAAATAAGGAATATCCATGTTGTTCCACATAAACAACTTGTATTGGATGTTTGTTAGTTTTTGCAAATAATATCTTCTGCTCATCATTCCCAAAAGCAGTTACTAGATGTGTCTGTCTCTCCATATTAACTTCTGCTTTCCAGTTTTTTTACTTTAAAAGTTCTATTTTATTTTTATTCCTGTATTCAAAGTCCACTTTCAATACAAAGCACTTATCCTCCCAGCTATTTTCTCAACTGGGTGCTAAATCTAAATTTTACATATTTTGGTCAAAATCAATATTTCAGCCTTTTGACAGGGTGTAAACAGATTTCAACAGGGTGACACCTATATTTCAAGTTCTTCAACAAGGTGCAGGACCCACTTGCTTTAATGCTTAATGCTGGGGAGAGAGCTGCAAAGAGCATTTTGTGCATTATAAATCTTTACTGGTAATTGAGTAATACAGTTATACCTTGAGCACATAGTTGTTCAGAAAATGATAAAATCACATTTTGAGAGTAAAACGAAAAAAACATGCTAAATTAAATAATATAAAACAATTTCAGTCATAATCATAAAAACCTTGATACATTTGTAGAATTCTTTACACTTCAGAAAATTTGTTTAAATGACAAACCGACCAGAAATTTAAATTAAATTCAACATTAAACTTATCTCATTTTCATAAATAGAGTGCTTTACTTCATCATTTTATTTTGGCCAATACTTAAAAGTATTCCATTCTAATTGTTTTGGCAGCTACCTTAGGCAATTTTACTTTTACAATTTAACTCATAAAGGTAATTTATCAATTTACAGTACATATGCTGAAAACCTGTTATACAATATCAATATCATTCCTGGGATACATTACAAGAAAAATTTGTTGTTTAGAATTCTATTAAAGTCTATTGTTCTATCAATATGTCATCAAGATTTCCATAGATTTTGCATTCACCAAGCTAACAACTTTGTAATAGTATGCTCCTGGATGATAAGTTAAAACCTGATCTTCACTAACAAGGATACATTGTCACACATTTGGTGGGAGTTCAATTTTGAGCAAGATATTTTTCATAGCAAAATAATGATCCACATTTCAGGAAATGTTTTAGCAAATGCCTGGTCTTAGCAAGTTTTATCAATACGTAACACTGCATTATGAACCTGTACAGTAGAAATATATACTATATATTATAATGACACTGTAAAGAAAATATGGCTCTTTAGCTTATCATGATCTTGTATTGATAAATAAATAATAGCAATTCATATTGCTGCTGTGAGATAACATAAAGAATTATGCTTAAGTGAATTACATTATAGTTTATAAGACCTGAATGACAATGACATCATTTCAATAAAAATACAATAATAGAATAACACATTAAAAAATTAACACTAAAAATCAAAAATTAACTAAAACTTAAAATTAACTGGCATAAAAATAACCTAATTCAATCTAATGATAAAGAAAGGTTACTTTTTAAACCATAAGAAATGCTTAAGTTAATGAGAATAAAAGCTGCAATGTCATTTAGTCTTGCTGAAACATTTACAAAACAATTAGCACTATTTTTAGTGATATCTAATATAACTAGACAATACAATATACATGTACAATTTTCTTGGTACATGCTTGAGGTTTGTGATCAGTTAATAGGTTGTCATGATATTGTTTATGAATAGGAAATACTGCCACTGTCATTCTTTTTTCATGAGATAAAATTTATGGAACATCGAATGGTGTCAAATATAATTAATCCATGTGAAAGCATTGTGTATCCATGCATATTTATTAAAGGCCCCATGTAAAGTATCCACTCTGGATTGTTGTGTAGCCTCACCCAATGTCTTCAAAGTGAGATATGTAAATCTTGAAGGTTTTTTACAAAACAAATTGTGAATTTATTTAAAATAAAATTTTGGTTTTCAGATGCAAGCACTAGGAATATAGTTCATAAAATGCATTTTAAAATTTTAGTTTTCTTTGAAACCTATAGTATGTTATATTAAAGATATGGTATATACTTCTTTTCAACCCAGATAAGCCAACAGCATTGCTTTACTTTAGAAAATATTTATTAGAAAATATTTATTAGGGAAAACTAGATAAAAGAATGAACGAACATGCTGCTTTTTGAAAATTAAATAAACAAATTTGATAGGAAAGACATAACGCTTTAAATGAATTGATGTTCATAATCTTTATCTGATGTTCTTCACATGCTATCATATAAATATGTGGTTGTACACTGTACAGACCAATGCAATGTCATGATAAGCTATTATACAATTATACTTTTACACAAACATCTTGTGATGAAACTTCAGTAATTGAGAAGCTGATAAAACACATTAAGATTGCACATCTGCAACCTCAAATGGGAATTGTAAGGCAACCATCTTCAACTCAGGGCCAGTAAGGCAACATTTTCAACCTTGGACCATATAAAAGCGATCACAAACTCTAACATACTACTACTCTAGCACCCTTGACTTAAAGATTAATATGGGGTATACCATGGACATGAAGAAATGGATACAACCATACAATTATTTTTGATAGCACAGAAAACAACAAATTTCAAAGTATAAACACGAAGTAAGCTCATTTAAATGGTGAAGATCCAATGAAACAATATTGTACTTTCACATTCTGTTTCTGATCCAAGGTTGCCAAGTCAAAGTTTGCTGGCCCTTTCTCACCTAACAGACCAGAGCCAACAGGGCTGCCTGGTTTCCAAAGTTCAAACAGTCCACCTGGTTTCCTAAGTTCATAGTCCATGGGGCCTTCTGGTTTCAAGTTCAAACAGTTCATTGGACCACATGGTTTCTAAGCTTTAAACAGTCCACAGGGCTGCCTTGTTTTTAAATGGGTCCATTTAGAACATGAATGACTGATGCTCCAGCTGAACATAACCCTTCTACAGAGTAATTCACTATCTTTCCTGACACTAAGCATTTTCCCCATTGGCAAATCAATGCTCCATTGTCAGGCCTTGCATACATATATCATCACCAGGCCATATTGCTTGCCTTAAATTCCTGTCATTGCCAGGTATATATGAAGGCTCTCTCCTATCTCTAGCCATACCTGCTATAACATATTGCCAGCCATATAAACACATTATTGCCACGATCCTTATTTATTTTACATTGCTACACAAATGGTGCATTTTCTGTAGTGTCTAAAGGACGTGGCGGATTATCTCCTTGAACGAGTCTATGTGCTTCAGGGCACGATGGCCGAGGACCTGGCTCAGGTGTATATGTAAAAGTTAGTCCGGTTGCATATATAATACCATCACTACGTACTAAACACACAGGCACCTGAAATCAGACAAAGTATCACTTGCATTATACATTTTTTATTGCCATCCTGTTGAACCTTAGAATATTCATATCTTAAGTTTTCAAAACAAATAAAACTAAAAATCAATTATTGATGGAGTTTTTTCACATAACTTATTTTCTGGAAAATATCAATGCTGAAAACTATGAAGTGAGTTTGTGATTCAATATTTGAGTCATTCGATTCAATATTGAATCTGACATTTTTGGTTGAAATCTATAATCTGGAGTGCTGTATTATGAGGATAGATAGAATACAATGTAAATGAACAAACCTGTAAGGGTTGCCTGACCCACTTCCAGCCAGCTCTGAATGCAGATATGTCTGGCACCACACACAACATGCTTTCTTCACACCTACAACACAGGCAGTCTACAGTTGTATCCTTATTCACTTTTCACATAACGTATATATTTAATCTTAATTTCTTGAAAAAGAAATAACCAATTGTTCTGGTGTTTTACAACTCCATAAATTACAAGTTACTGAGATAAGTAAATGTTATAAAATCTTAGCTTCAAAAAATAATTATCACTAGAAAGTAGCAAATCCCAACAAACAAAATAAAAATGTTCACATTGATCATTTAGGGCTATTTCATTGATTCTCATTTTCTAAATTCCTAGATACATTTCATTTCTAGGTCAATTTTCCAAGTCACCAACAAGGTCATAGACACCAACAAATTTCTTAAAATTATTAGTTGCATACCTATACATAGTTTCAGCTTCTACTTCACCAAACCAGACTTTCATGTTTGGCGTGAAATTCTCTCCTGTCAATTCCAACATTGCAACGTCTCCTCCACCATTCAACTACAAAGCAAGATATACATTATCATACACTATTCTCTCCTGTCAATTCCAACATTGCAACGTCTCCTCCACCATTCAACTACAAAGCAAGATATACATTATCATACACTATTCTCTCCTGTCAATTCCAACATTGCAATGTCTCCTCCACCATTCAACTACAAAGCAAGATATACATTATCATACACTATTCTCTCCTGTCAATTCCAACATTGCAACGTCTCCTCCACCATTCAACTACAAAGCAAGATATACATTATCATACTCTATTCTTTCCTGTCAATTCCAACATTGCAACGTCTCCTCCACCATTCAACTACAAAGCAATATATACATTATCATACACTATCTTCTTCTATGAAATCATACAAAATGGCAGCTAGATATGCATACTGTTAAAATGCCCGTCAAAAAACTCTTTAACAGTAGACAGACAACTGGATCTTCAATGAGATTTATTAGATGGAAACAACTGGACCCAGCTAGAATTTAAATTTCGTTTCAACACCCAAACAAAACGTATACTTTTCTAATCAACAAAGCTTCAGTATTATGAAAAAAAATTTTCCTTGAATATTTGGATCTAGATCTGGAGAATCTTTTAGATTAGATTCACCTGGACTGACTGAGAGCAAGTGTACTTACATGTAGACTGTGTACCACTGGCACAGGTGTAACTGGTGCTTTTACAGGACCCATACCCTCATAAAATGTGTATTCAGCTTTATCTGTACTGATTATTGTCCATGACGCACCATCATTGATCATTTCTTTATTTGGCTCCTTTGGGCATGGGGTTGCCTACAAAAAACACATTAACATGAAAAGATGGCACCACCTGGTGAGTTCATACAAATGGGTGACAAAAGTGTCAGAATTGTTACAGAAACTGAACATCAACCATTGACTGCAACCATATAGAATTACTTCTTGTTAATAACATAAAAATGGTTGATTGACTGAGGTAAGTTATAAAATTTCTAAATGTATATGTAGAAAAGAAATTATAGCTGAATTTCGAGAAAAATATTTTTTCTATCTAAAATTGAACTTGACTTACCTGAAATTGGATGATTCTTTCCTGAGATAGGCAGAGGTACATACGTTCAGTATCTTTCATGAAGAAGGCACATTTGTGTAGTTGAGAGACGGGGTCATCTGCATCTAGCAGAGCAGTCTGTTTATCTACCTTACGAATAATCTGCAATACAATGTGCAATGGTCATTCTCCAACATTCTTAATAGCAGACTCTTCCAAATGAAGCTGAAATGTCAACTTTTGTTGACAAGTATGTGATTTTAAATCACAAAATGCCAATCCTCTTGATATGACTGAGCTTGTTTATATAAAATATGAAGATCTAAAAACGTCATTGTACACTGGGGAGTATCGTGATGCAACAACACCGTGTTGTTGCATCAAGATGGCCAGACTTCCGGTGATAGATTTTCGTACGATAAGTTGTTTCCCCAATTTAAACCCATTTCTAGGACGAGTTTCTCAATAACCATAAACGTGAAGTTAGCGCATGATCTATATTTAAAGAAACTGTCATTAGTATACATGTAGCATCATCAAGAAGCAAGAAGTTCACGGTTTTAGTTCCTCACTATTGATGCAACAACACCAAACCGAAGATGCAACAACACTCCTCTAGATTTGAGCAATGATGCAACAACACCAATATAATTTCAGAAGACCATAAATCTCGAGAGGAACAGATTTTTAAATGCAACTATTGCAACACCGGGCCAGTACCCATTTGCGTTCTTCTCAGGCATTCAAAATACATGTCCTGCGGGCGAAGATTCTTTATATGTATTTTTTTCAAAAATTTATACTTTTAAATACAGTATCATAATGTACTGGAAGTTGTTTTATGACATAGTTCAATCGCCTTTAACATTGCAAGCTATAGTAACCCAATTTATTATCATAAACCCCTGTTCCATAGCTTGATGACCCTGATACCAGTTAGTATCATTCAAAATGGTAGACAAACATCTTTCGTTCTCGGTAAACACGACAAGCTATTGGAAATCTTGCACAGCGCACATGTAGAAGTATTGTTCTCTTTGGATTCGTTCTCCCCGATTGAGTAAAAAGGTAGGTAATTTAGGTCTCGAAAAGGTAAATTGATAGGGGTACAGTAATCCCAGATTCCCCCTGGGCCCTCGGGAAATATCATAATGTGTCCGGAATAAAACCAATATTGAATCCCTCTCAGTAAATAACCTCTATATAATAGCATTGTATAACTGCAATATCATTAAACCAACACTCATCGGAAGTTATGGCGTTTTGAAAACTCAAAATCGCTAAATTTGGTGCCCCGTGTTAAGTCAATTGGCAAAAAAAAATTTTTGAAGTGTAAAATACGACATATATACGACCGAGTACAGCTTAATTTAATGAAAGCCTTTAAATGAAGGGTACCTCAAAAGCAATCTAGCTTCAAAATTTGGGCACAAAAATGTCTAAGAAATTCTCCATCTAAAATGTCACTCGACTTTTTTGTGATTATGAGTCAAAGAAAGCATTCTTGAGTTTCAAATTGACTTCTGTGGTAACTTGAATCCATCTTCTAATTTATTCCACTTACCTTTTATTGTTTCTCCAAATATATTCTTTGAAAATTGGATTTTAAGGGTGTTAATCAGGGTAATTCTGTGCCATTTTATCAAAAATCTTGTTGCTATCTAGAAACGAGCAATTGTGATCTTGTTGTTACCTAGGAACGAGCAACTGTGATGTCACGTCACACTCATGTTAATTCTGGAATCACATGGCAGCCATTTTGGAAATTTCAAAAAAGTTCCCAATTAAAAAGGCTAAATGCTGTTTACAAATTGGAAACTATGGCAGAATCAACAAAGGGTTTGTGAAATAATTAGGATATGGTTTCAAAATTATGCACATGACAATATATGACTACTAAATGCAGGCAGGGACTTTTATTGCCAAAAAGTCGAGTGACATTTTAGATGGAGAATTTTTTAGGTCAAAATCTAGGTCAAATTCAAAGTTTTCCTTATTTTTGTGATTCTGACACTACACTTCAATTATATTCTTCGAAATTGTGTATACATGTAGCCAAGAGTGTACTTATAGTGTTAGCCTTGAGATATGGTGTCCAAAAAGTAGTTCAAAATAAAAAATTCTCCAAAATTAACGTTTGAGTTATGAATGAAGAATAGAATTTTCTCAGGAATCAGAATCTGCAAACCAAATTTCGATCCGACTTCCGGTTCGGAAGTTATGGCGTTTTGAAATTTCGAGAAAAATCGATCTGATGGTATCCTGATAGAAAGTCAAGAGTAGCGAAGAAAATGTTGAAAAATCCATCCATCCTTCCATCCATCCTTCCTTCCTATCCTATCCTACCATTCTATCCTATCGTTCCTTCTTATTCTATCCTATCCTTCCTATCCTATCCCTTTTATCCCTATCCGTTCCTTCCTATCTATCCTTCATATCCTTTCCTTCCTATCTATCTATCCTTCCTATCCTTTCCTTCCTATCCTTTCCTTGCTATTCTATCCTATCTTTCTTCTCTATTCTCTCCCATCGTTCCATCCTATTCTGTCCTATCCCTCCTTCCTATTTCATCCATCCATCCATCCATCCATGTTTTTTCTGGATGACTCGGCTTAAAAAAGTCCAGATCTGGAGTCTGAAATTGAACTTGTTCATTTTCCAAAGTCTAGTTATATTATTCTTTGTAAACAATTTCCATACGATACGGTAAATCAAGGGGATTTAATTTAGAAAATGAATAATCTTTATTTTTCAGATACAATATCAATGAGGTTGGCTCCCGGGGATTCAATACTTAGCCTATGTATTTAGTTTACCTTGTATATCCTTTTTACTTTGATAAAGACAAATACATTAAGGAATCAAACAAAATATGTTTCATTCATGAACCACGCACTCACGCGTTTTATTCATGTCCCGACCAACACCTATAAACAGAACATAAAACAGTTTCTCTTGATATTCAATGATACATTATATTGGCGTTTTTGCATCAGCACATTGGTGTTGTTGCATCATTGATAATAAACAGAGTGGTGTTGTTGCATCAATAGTGAGGAATTAAAACCGCGAATTTCTCGCTTCTTGATGATGCTACATGCATACTAATGAGAGTTTTTTAAAATATAGATCATGAGCTAACTGCACGTGTATGATTATTGAGCAACTCGTCCTAGAAATTGGTTTAAATTGGGAAAACAAAATATCGTACGAAAATCTATCACCGGAAGTCTGGCCATCTTGATGCAACAACACGGTGTTGTTGCATCACGATACCCCCCAGTGATTGTATTTAAAGTGGTGATTAGAGCTAGAATATAATTGCCTAAAGAATATATCCTAAACAAAGAAAATGTAAGCAGAGAAAATGTCGTTCAGTCCCAGTATTTATCTTATCTACAACATAAATATCCAATATTGCATTATTCATTGAATTAAGCATAGCTCCATGAATTGACAGCTTGGGCCTTAAAGGTAGTTCTGCACTTTCGGAATAATTGAAAAATAACTTTGAGAAGTGTGATTTCAACATATTCTGAACAAAATATTTTGATCATGAAAATATTGTGGAAACACTCATCATGCATAGCCATCTTAAGTAGGTAAGAATAATATAGCATCTACTTACTAGTCTAGGCAGAGTCATTCCCGTAACAGAACAGACCAGTTTGACAGTAGAACCATAGTGGATGTAGCCATCTCTTACAGTAAACTCTTCGCTTTCACTCTCGTTGTCATCCACTGCAACACAGGAATCAATTGCAAATACACTATTAGGTCATTATTCTTAGGATGAACTTAAATAGCTTTGAAAAAGGTAAAGACTGTCAACAGATTGTTACTAATAAAAGCAAGAAAGACACCCAACAATGTTTTTTTATAAAATATAAATCATGCTACTTTTATCAATTTTGTTTAATGTTATCAATAAAAGCTAGCATTCAACCTCATACCAGTCAATCTTTAAAACCATGATCAACCACAAAAATAAATAATTTGTTCAAAAATGACTTACATAGGTGTATCGTGAAAGCCCCCCATTGTGTAGAACTGGCATGAAAGTTTCCTCCATCAACATGGAGGTACCGTGTGCTAACTGTCTGTGACCGCAGCCTATTGAACAGAGCCACCTTAGTGCCACTTGCTATACATACTGAAAATATAACAGTATATTAGAGGAATGCAAGTGATGCTTGGCAGGTTGACAGGGCTCTGAATATTACTAGTATAGTACAGCTATCCAGCCTAGATAAGCAGATGACAGGCGGAGTAAAATACATATTTTCTATTTTCAATAAAAACACCATTGAAATCTGTAATAGATACAGAAGTGGCATTCACTGATGTCTGCACATTACCAATAAACCTTTTACAAAATCTGTGATAGATTTGATTTAAAAAGTTTCTGAATGCTCCAATGATTATTACTTTAATCCTCAGTCTCAGCATGGCTTTTAAAGGTTCAACAGCTGTCTTTGAATGCACTTTCATGAAGACAGAAAATGTATTTTGAACAATAAAAATATCCATTTTTCATGTCGCGCAATACTTACGATCTGCATTTTTTAATGACTGTTTCTTTTTTGATGGTTTTGATATCACTTTAATTCTTTTTCCGGCAAATACACCAATATCTTGTCCATTGCCATAGAACATTTTGACAGATAGCATAAAATGTTTTCTTTTATCAGAGTCCGATATGTATAATGTTTTGGCAGCACAGTAATTCTGGAAGGTAAATGCCAAAAATTAGTACAATGTAACATTTTATGCATTTAGCACATTTTATGCGTTTAGCACATTTTATGCATTAAGTACATGTTATGCATTTAGCACATTTTATGCATTTAACACATTTTATGCATTGAGCATATCTTATGCATTTAACACATTTTATGCATTGAGCATATGTTATGCATTTAGCACATTTTATGCATTTAGCATATGTTATGCATTTAGCACATTTTATGCATTCAGCGTATGTTATGCACTTACTGACACTAATTTCTTTATAACCTATGGAATATAACACAAATGTTTATTCTTATATTCACTGATAATTCAGACATTATGGATCTATCCATATAACACTGATATGTACTGAAATGTATCAACTAGGTGTAAAATTGATTAGAAAGGGAAGCATATAGGTAGCATAAATTGAATTTATTAATGTTAGGTAACATTATTTAGTGATATTAAATGAAACTGATCTCCTACTTTTCCCTCTAAGTTCAGTTGAACCATTTCTTGGTCGGAATTGCCGATTCCCATGAATGCGCAAACAACACCATCACTCTCACTAGCGCCCTCTCTGTCCATGCTTTCTTTTTTCCTCTTCCAACCATTTCCAAATAAATATATACAGGGTGGGGGACAAAAAAATCTGAAAAACAAACATTGCTGATTGGTAACCAGGTAGTAGTGAAGCATGTTGTATTCTAAAATGAAATAATCCTGGCATCAACGTTATGTCCCATTTTTTCAAAATCAATGTGGTAATGTCTTTTGTTTCATTAATTCCAAGAAAAAAGGCAAAGCTAGAAGTTAAAGACCAGACAACAGTTACATCATGACATTGAAAATGACACCAAAATTCACCTTGTCTATACTGCTATCACTTAACGATTCTTGAATCAATATAGGTATGTTTGAATCAGATATCAGCAACATCAATATTCCTATATATGCTATCTAATATAACAGGAAGTGTAAAACATCTTTTGTTATCTACCATCTATACAAGCCTTTACTAAGGTAATACAAGTCATTGCTATAATAATGAATCACTAGATGGCAAACCCACTTAATACTGAACACATTTTGTAGACAGTGATAAAAAACATACCTTTTTTCATTTCCATAAGATTTTTGTGCAACTTTTGCATGTAAAATCACTAAAATCTGGTCACCTCTGTCCCGTAGGTACTTCCTCATAGCTTCACGGGTTAATCTCTGGTCTATAAATGTGCTGCAAGAAACATCAAAGGTTATGAAAATACATTGTTTGTCCCTGTTTGATTTCATCTGGAATGGCATGCTTTATGACTTTATTTAAAGTCAAATATAAAAAATTATAAGAAGAGCTTTTATAAATAAAAATATATGGATGATCATGCAATGTTTAATTAAAATATACACATAAAGAAAAGCGAATACATGTACATTTATGAACTTTTCAAAAATATTTCTATTGACATTTATCATTTCAAAAATCATAAAAAAACATCAAAATATGTATAGTCCTCTTCAGTCCTAAAACTTTTACTAAAATGAGACGATCTCTGCGTATCTACCAATGAAAATTAAACAGTTTTTCTCTATATTTAAAAGCCAAAAATGCATAAATTTGAAAAATTGCCAATGTAATGACTGAGTATCAACTCCAGAAAATCTGAAGTTGCTATTTCAGTAATGCCTGGGTCACATTTGCTCCGATCTATCGACCGACGCCCGGCCAATTGAGTGTTTTGTTCAATATTGTATTCAATTCTGAACAGTAAAATTCGGGGAAAATGTAATCAAGGCATAAGTATCAAAATAGCACATTCTAAAATGCTATTTCAGTAAGTATCAAAATAACACATTCTAAAATGTTTAAAGTGAGATGCAGCCAACAGCCATCAATTGATCAATACACCAATATTATAGAAATGTTAACAACCGGAGATTCGGAAATCAACTTTCTATATATAAAAAGATACATATGTGAAGTGTGTAGACATATAACATCATTGCAGATTTTCAATTTTAAAGACCATAAATTCAACAAAACAAATCAAGTGGATTAAATGTTTATAGGCAGAAAAACTGTTTGTCCTTATATACTTGGATGCAATGTATTATGCTTGAAGCTCGAAATCAGTTAGGGACCAGTGTGACCTTTACCAATTGAACAAATAAAATATCATTGCTCTACCTATTTTTATCTATTTTTAGTTTTAAACAGAGATCAGCTGTTATGTTGTTCTGAATCTCTATGACAACAGTTATCACATCGGACCCAATCAGAATTAGTTAAGTAAGACCGATTTTTATTATGTGCACTGTATGTCGATGTAATTGAATATAAAATTAAGAACTATATATAGTTTTAGTGATGAAAACAGCTTTTCAATAGCTCCCAGTTGAGGAAATCAATTTCCCTTGGCCTTTAAGAATAGATTTGAGATGAAGGATAGAGGATATCTAAGGAAATACCAATATGTGGATGAAAATACCTATTGTTGTCATGAATACAGGGCATCATGTTGCCAAGAATTCAATTCTCATTGTTTAACCTCTATCCTATTTTATTCCACATGGCTGTAAGGTTATACTTGTCAAAATCATTTATCAATATACTTAAACGTTCATGTAACTATACATGTTTTTTATTATCCCATGGCCAATTCAATATTGGGTACAGGATGTCCCAAAAAATTATACCTGACAGGTAATCTAATTATCATATACATGTTCTTGTATATTAGAAAGTTTCATCGGATAAGTTTATTGGATTTCAGAAGAAAGACTTGAAGAAAAACTTGTTTTAAAACCATCACCAATGTTTCCTTTGTTCCATGTTCTGCATGGATTATGATGGATTCATTCAGAGCATGTCATCTAAAATGTCAAATTTACCAGGAAATAATTTACAAAGCTCCATAATTGAAAAATGAATTTTCTTTATCAAGTGAAAAGTGAACTTTTATGATGAAGAAAAAACAAATTATTTGCTTTTCATTTAGGTACAATTTTTGTTGATTTTGAAACAGGCTTGATCTGAAGCTAACAAAAGGAAGAGAAACATTGACATCCTTTCGGAAGTTCCCGATATTCCATACTCTATTCTTTGCTACCACTTTAAATGATTCATGTATCTGTGTATACAACATTATACTAGATTGTGCATTATGACCAATTTCTGGTATGTACAGTATTCCACTGATATTGATGTTCTTATTTATATAGACCCTCAAATGCTATACATTGATGGGATTGCACAGCAAACAAACTAACATGAGCAAATCAATCCTCATGTACCTCTTACAACAATCAGTTCCTGCAACTGTTTTCTAATTACTAACCTTCATGAATCTTATTCATTTTCCAATAGTTTGATTTTTATCCTTTAAAAGAGACATTCATCTACACTCTGAGTTTGAGATAATAATTGAAATTATTGGAATTATGCAAATGGACGTAATTTCGTTTTAGTGGTAGAATGAAACTGAAACTGCCGCATGAATTATTCTCATAAAACTGGGTTATCCATATGTTGTTCATAAAATACATGTATACTTAATCATTGAGCATGCACAGATTAAATAAAACAAAATTTGCAGAATAATTTAGGAGACAGATAAGTGAGTGATAAGTAAAGTTGTAAATCCCCATTCACTTCAAAAACTGAATGAAAGACTCCCAATATTCTTCGGATTTATGTCACTTTTAAAATTTTTAAAATTTATTTAAAACTGCAGAGAAATCCTGAAGAATCCATGTATAATTTCTCACTTGCAGAATTCACTGGGTTTACTTGCAAATTCATAAGTATGTAGACATTTTGAGGAGTGTCTATTATACCTTAAAGAGGCTCGATGCCATAGGATAGCACAATCAAGACCCCTCTGGACTTATTTTGCATATTGAGTTTCACCACATATATACCCATCTACTTACCAAATAAAAAGTCCCAAATCCCCCTCTTTCAGTGTTAATTTTGCGATTGTGCTGGCCGATCTAATTATTTTCGAAGAAATTAATTCAATCTGAAGTTTGAATATACCGGGAAAGTCCTCCTGTTATCTGATTAGTCGTTGAATTTGTTTATCATGAACCTGATTGGCTGCCTGGTTCAAGGCACTTGTGGGCGCTTGTGTGACTCAATGGGGATTCCCCTCGCTAGCCGAGGAATCGATTGTGTTTAATTCTGGAGTTTGGTTGTTCTGTTGATTATTTCCGATATTTCGGCAATAATATACCCAAAAGTTATTCTCAAGATATATCCATGGTATGTGAGATATTATATGAGTAATAACAATAGGACATCATTGATTGTCTGGGGGAGAAACCTATGGCATAATGCATCTTTAAGTAAGTGCAATCATAAAGTATAGAAAGAAACAGACTTGAATTAAGCTACTCACCCGTTATAATGTCTTGGGTCGTGTCCCCCAGGTGGTGAGGGTGTGGGTATAGGGCTTGGTGGGGTCTGTATGGAGGTTGCCATGGTAGAAATACTGAGAGGGCTAGTGGTTGCCATGGTAACCATGTCCCCATTGATCTTGTCTGGAGGGGTGAGGGACCCTGGTATGAGATGTGCAACAGGTTCTGCAATTACAAATAAACACAGGTTTAAAAGAGAGAAATCTTCAATCCAAAATAGCCACTGTACAATTTACAGTTTTACACCAAAAACTAATCAGTTCAAGATTTTTAGGTTAAAAAGTATCATTAACATTTTTTCTCAATCTCACTAACAGTTTGGCTGGAAATGTGTAGATGGAATTTTACGATTAACCCAGCATAAATATATCTGTTATTGACTCTTTGTTATGGCTTTCAAACATATGGATCACTTTACAGGTTTTACATGTGTTTTGTTCAGTATATAAACATACATATAGCAAATAAAGTTCAGTTATATATAAGAGTATAAAAATTAAAGCATCAAGGTAGAAAGTCATTAACATTCAAATATAACTATATAGCTTTTCTATAGTTATGTGTAACTACACACTAAAAATTCACATAAACTTGAAAATAAATATGTTCATATGTTGGTATCTTTTCCAGCATGAGCATAAGACTTTTATATTGAAAATGTATGTATCAGAAAAATAATTTTATCTAAAACTATTGATTCAGAAGTTGATCAATGTTCTGACTTAGATGTGTTTTAGGATCAGGGTTAAAGACTGGGCCCTTTAACCATATTGTGATTTGTTAGTTAAATCATCCTTTGTACTAAATAGATTTAATAATATTTTGATATTTCAAAATTTAGATAATTGTACATCTTTTCTAAAATATAAGTGTTCAAAGTGAACTGTGTTTTTAATCAGAAATACATAAAATAATTGATCATCAAAATATGATAATTGTCAATTCAATTGCCGACCCATCTGTTAAACTCAAAGAGTACTATAAAAATAGACCTTTTAAAATCATGGTGCTATTCAACAAAACAATAACAAAATGCTGTCGAGTAGGTAGCTACAAAGCGAACAAACGAAGCCATTGAAGATTTTTTCTTTGTTTTTTAGATCCAGAAAATATCAATAATTATTACAGTAATGTGATGGTGGTAATATTTGAACACTTGTGAATATTGGTAAAATATTTCCCACCATTAGTGATATCAATAGAACCATATGTTGTACAAAAGATCTACTATAGAAACTAAAGCAGAATTCTCCTACCATCCATAAAGGGATTCTGAAATCCATCATAACAATATTCTGAATGTCCATGCATCATATCTAGGCTGAAAATATCCGTATTTCTCTAAAATATACGAGAAATTTGTAGAAAAAACTCTTCCATTTATAAGCAATTAGTGGTAGCACGTAAAACTGTAGGTTAACCATATCTACAGTGGGATTGATATTAATTATAACACAGCACCTGGACCATTAAGTATTTTCCCACGCTATGAGTGCTTGCCTATAATACATGTTAGGGGCTACGATATGACAAACCCTATCGTCTATACTTATTAGGCATGAAACATGCACTTTGTGCTACCATAATGGTGCCTTATCAAAAAAGATTGAACGTTCATAAAAATGCGTGATATGATGTTAAAAATGATGAGAGAAAAGTATATAGTCATAACAAGATATTACAACAGAACCAAGAAACTTGCAATTTATTTCAGGTAACTGTCTCAATGCCTTTCTTCATAAAAGAAGAAGTCTGCATGGTGATATTAGGCTGAAATATCTTTACTTTAACCATTTCACAGCCACTAGTACTTATTGTCTTTTATTCACTCTTATATATCATTGCATTATTAGACATGTTCTCTGCATATAGGGTTAAATCCATAGGTAGCCAAAGCCATAGGTATAAGCCTCCATACTGTAAATGTAAAATATGAAGACTCGATTTTGGCCATCAAAATCATTAAAATATTATCAAAAAATATTTGATGCTATTTCGAAGTACATGTATTATAAAGAAGGCATATTTTAACATATTTTATCAAAGACATTACATAAATGTTGAGGAACATAGACTTGAATATGATCAATAAATGATTATCTATTAGGCAGGTTGAGAACCTTTAAGGCCCTGGTTCCTGCACAATTTCACAAGCTTGTTTACACTACACGTCTTATCAATAATAGCACAATATATCAACATACTTCAGAATATGTAGTGAATTCACTGATAAACCTTCTTTGTTCATTCTCACCAACAACAATTCATTACGTTTACATGTATCAAGTCATGTGAGTTTACATCATTCTCACTAAACATTTCATTTCACTGGGCAACTATATGTTTCTTGTAATCATTCTGAGACAAAACAATTTCTTTGTTTTCAAATCCCCATGTTGTAAATTAAACAATATGGCAAAGATATAGCAGGCCCTGATCAAGTATATAGCTTTACTTCCTTCACATGCAAGCACAACATGCTTTCCTTCTTACCAGTGCTGCATCATAGTGCAGTATGTAGTTATATGTTGTTTTTTCATTTTCTCATTTGCATGACAATTAAACACATGCATGAGGAGGTATATTGCATCTTGATAAAGGAAAACAGCATTCATTTCATTTATCAATAGACAACTTCTTCATCATGACATATCATTGATATAATGTGTCTCCTAGATATCACCTTATGATTATTACACACCATTGCTGCTAATGTGTCTCCTTGTCATCTTTTATGATTATTACACACCATTGCTGCTAATGTGTCTCCTTGTCATCTTTTATGATTATTACACACCATTGCTGCTAATGTATCTTCTAGACATCATGTATGATTTGTACACAACATTCCCGGTAAGGTGTCTCGTAGACACCTCCCTATGATTATGACACATCATTACTGCTAATGTGTCTCCTTGACATGATTAGTACATAACATTGGAGGTAATGTGTCTCGTAGACATCTCCTTGATCATGGCATACAATTGCTGTAAACAACATTGCTACATTGCAATACCTCCCTATGATTATGACACATCATTTCTGCTAATGTGTCTCCTTGACAGCTTCTACGATTCATACACAATATTGCTGCTAATGTGTCTCCTAGACATTCCATAATTATGACACATCATTACTGCAAATATATCTCCTAGACACCTTCTATGTTTAATATACATTATTGCTGTTAATGTATCTTCTAATATCTTCTACGATTTGTACATACCACTGCTGCTAATGTGTCTCCTAGATATCTCCCTATGACACATCATTACTGTTAATAGTGTCTCCTTGACATCTTCTATGATTAGTATACAACATTGCCGGTAATGTGTCTCGTAGACATCTCCTTGATCATGGCATACAATTGCTGTAAACAACATTGCTACTAATGTGTCTCCTAGACACCTCTCTACGATTATGACACATCATTACTGCTAATGTGTCTCCGTGACATCTTCTATGATTTATACACAATATTGCTGCTAATGTGTCACCAAGACATCTCTCTATGATTAAGACATATCATTACTGCTAATGTGTCTCTCTGACACCTAAAATTCTTCTATAATTAGTATGTGGTATTGTTGTTAATGTGTCTTCTAGACATTTATGATTAGCATGTATCATTGATGCCAATATGTGACTGACATTGTAGTCTCATATTTTTATTGATTTCGATTACAAGCTTAAATGAGCTAAAAAGTGCATAAATACAAAAATAAAATAACAAGGCATTAACATGCAAAATATCACCACAAGCCATTTGTTACAGACGCCAACTGCCAAACACTATCCACAAAAAAGTTGAAGCTTATAACAAAATGTCACTACTTCTGGTGGTGACATGAAAACTATCCTCTAATGTCATCATCACATACCATAAGGAATATAACTTTTTAAGTTTTTGTCACTCGTTGAAATATAGCACCCAGATAGGCCAATCGTAAGGATAGTGTTGCATTTTCCTTCTTGATATGTTTATAACACTAAACTAGGCAAGTCCCTTTAAATAGTCTACTATAAAATAACTCAAAATGATTGATGTGAATAAAATAGCCTCAAATGTATTCAAAAGTGCCACAATTGCCCCAATAGCTTAATATGCCCTCCACTTTTATAAATAACAGAGAGAAGTATTAATTTTATGTGAATATAGACCATTCATCCGATACATGTAATGGTGGGAAAAAATCAGCACATTTTCCCACAGTGAACTCAGTTCAATATAGCTTCTATTATATTAATACTTTACACTGTACTTTGATTTGCATAGTGGTTTAAGGCAAAATAGCCCTATAATTTTTGTTGCTACATATTAAGTTTTAAATAGATATGAAACTGTTGGAATGCCCTGAATAAATATCTGGCAAATGCATGGCTCTGAATAAAGTACTGTAAATTGCACATCACATTTTTAACTTTTGTTATAGGGGTTTGCGAGGGTAAATCTAAATGACTTTGTTTTCTATAATAGTTGACATTAAGACACTATCCCTCATTATTTTACTAAAAATTATACACTGGTATGCTAATAAATCTAGTGTTTACTTCCAATCTTATTATGTCATAGGCTATAAAACATTTTGAACAACTATTTAATACCTCATCATCCTTTCTTTAATCTTTTCATTTCTGGGTAACTTAAACAATGTTTTTAATTTCCTAAGTCATGACTCTTCGTCGCATGGATGGAGATCTCAAAAGATTTTATTTTTGCCTAAATCAAATATGGCAAAAAATTGAAGTTCTAAAATCGATGACATTTCACAGATACCAAAGTAACATTTACTTACCATGTGGTTGTTCAGGGATTCCTACTTGCACCGAAGATGTCATCCCTCCATTATGTTGTGAATATCCCACATTTTCTACTTTAATATGGCGTCGTGATAAATCCACAGGATTTTCGTATGGTTGTATATGTGAGTTGTGGCCAGTGTGCCCATGGCTGGAGTGCCCATTCAGGTGTAGGTAAGATTCTGTAGAACTCATATGTGACATGGTACTCTGTGGGTGTGATATGTCAGCTGACACAATTGGAAAGTTACGTGGTTCCGTTTCATCTCCATATAAGGCCACATTCTGGCTGGCGAGATTACATAACACTGCGTCACGGTTTAGGTTAGCACTTATATTGTAGCCATATCCACCCTGAAAACATAACATAAAATTGATAAAGAATCGCTGCGACAGATATTTTTCAGGTCTTTGTCAAAGTAATAGTATTCATAATTCTATGTATTAACTCAATAGGAGTTTGAAATCCCTGTTAGACATGCTGTGATATATGTAAAAACTTGAAAACCAAAAAATATTTTACTTAGTTAACTAAAATTCAGACAAACTGAACAGCATACTGTTAGAAGCAAATTATTCTATGTAGTTTAAATGAACTAGGTGAACTATTGAGTTTGTCATTTCATGTTTAACAAAGCATATTCTACTCATTGCTCCCCTGTACCACATGCCAAATTGCATCTTAACAATAATGACCAAGTTTTTCTCAATATGCATAAAGTTGAAGTGAGAAACTGTATGAAAACCAGTTGGAGCAATGTTGTCCAAATAGGAAGGCAAAGGACCAGGTATAGTATGGCGAGTGATTTCAGACAGTTGGATTGATATTTTTACAATGACAGGAGTTCACTTGAAAGAAAACATATTCTTTTAATGGCCAGAAAATACTCATGGTGAACAATATGACTGTCCAAAATCAATTGCCATACTATACCTGGCCCTTTCCACTTGGAAAAATTGTAATTTGATTTGGAAACAAATATATGTTTTATATATAAAAATAAATTTCATTTTTGAAAAATAACGGGTCTTTTAAATACTTGTGAAATCATATTAAATAGTATTTTTAAATTAAAAACTACAAGGGGTGATTCAAAAGTTGGTGACTGCATCTGTCATTTCAACATTTTTAATCATGAAATTCTCAGAGAATGTGTATTATTCATTCATACATCATAAACAAAAGTTTCAGTATATAATTCTTGAAGTTTTGACCCTTTATGTGGGTTTACATGTTCTTGAAAATAAAGAACACATTGCTTCGTTAGGAATATGGTTAGAAAGAATAAAAGATACATTGAAAATATCAAAAGTTATTAATCTCGAAGTATTGATTTTTAAAACTAAATTATGAATACATATTTAAAACAAGTAATAACTGAACAAAAGATTGTTGCTAAATAAATAAAAAATTAATCATTCTGCTAGTACTTGAGGCGTTTTTGCATTTCCTTATATTACTTGTGTTCTTCATGGGAAATTTAACAGGTTTTTTCATGTAGGGTCAACCAAATAAGTAATTTCAATTCTATTCCATTTCATCAGATACCGTAATTGCCGTATTAAGGCCCCACTCCTAATAAGCGTCCAACCCGCTTCCCAGAGTTCAAGAAATATCGAGGAATGACCAAGTATACACGAATATATCAGAAAAAAATTAATTTCCAAAGAAATTAAGGCGGGCAATATATGAGTACTAACACTATACTGCAGAAAATGTGCCGCATTTTGTAATTCGATGCATCTTCCTGATAGATATCTACCATTTGGTGCTTCCCACATCAGACTAAACTAAAATCATCTCAAAATAGTCCAAAATGAATGAAAGAAATGTTCAAATTTAAGAGTTTTGTTTCGACATTTTACCAAGCAGCGATTGTCAAGGTCATGTCAAGGTCGTGAACTTTCTCGTCCTTTTTACACGACTTTTACATGAAAAATAATGAGCTGTCAAAAAATAAGCTATAACTTAAGATCGATATCAAACAGTCTTTAATAGAAATATAAAAGATAATCGCGGAAAACAATTCCTTCACTTCGAGGGGCTCTGTTGGGGAGTTCTTCAACAGTTCTTCAACAGTTCTTCAAATCTCATCCATGTATGAATATGTTTTTCCATATATCATTGCGCAATGATCTTTACATTTCTTATTTTTTAGGTCCAACTGGTGATTATGAAGTAAAAACTGTTAACAGGGACAGGGTGCCACAAAAATACCTCATGTGTCACCCTATATATTGTTGAAACAGGACAACACAGGTCTACTCATCACCTTAATATGATGAAACCAAGAAGCTAACACTATCATAGCTTGTTATTTCACATCAAGATAAAGAAAGATGTAAGGAATATGCTAACATCGATTAAAACATCACAACTACGTGTGGTATTCAGAGACTAGCTGGTGAAAATCCGAACAAACGAAGGTGGCCGCTCCCTCCACTTCACCTGGCTACAGGCCTGATGAGGATAGCTATTGTAATAACACAGTTCTTCATATTAAATTAGCCCATTATGTTTTACACTTTCCTACAACTGTACACAACATGAAGAATCAAAGGATGTTAAGGACCTTCATGAGCTAAACCACACAGGAAGTGTGATAAAAAACAATACAACAATAGTTAACATGTGATGAATATAAACATAAAATTCAGATTATGATTGCGATATAATTGAATATTGTATTATATCACATGTTACTAGCAAGGACCTGCATTTTTGGTATAAATGTCTGAAATCTATATTTCAATTAAACGAGAAAAGTACCATTAAGCCAGCTTTTACCAGGGGGTTCACTTTTTAGAAAAGGTCCAAGGCGATCGGGTGACCTCCCTCCCTCCCCCTCTGGCCGAAATTTATTTTATAGTCCTAAGTATTTATATATGATTTGGCTTTCAACTTTACAAAATGTGCATTTAATGACCTTTCCCATCTTAACAACAAACTTACACTACTTCATAAAAGTCAGATAGCAAGATAATCTTCAGAATGACAAAAATAAATTCTTCATTTTACTTCTCAAAAGTAAGATAACACATGTTCTATATAAGGTGTTATGTGATAAAATGTTAGCACCTGCACCAGTTAAATGCTAATGGTTACAAAAATGTAATAATGCTGAACCCAAAATTCCAGTCACAAAAATGGAGGCTATAACAACATATGTATAGTGACTGTTAGCATATCTTGATGGTGGCAGTTTTTCCTGGAAATCTGAAGTCAAGACTGTAGATATTATTTCAAAAAGGACCACCTTAAAATTTACCCAGCATGCCTAAAACTCTTTTTCAAATTTTCATATCAAGAAACCTTTCTAAAAAGTAACATACCACCCCACCCATCCGCCAACCTGGCGACAATAATACATACCTTTATAATAAAAAGTTAAAAGATAGAAGGATCTTGAGAACTCTATGTGTTAAGATCGAGAAGGGGTACAGACTTTAAATAAATAGCTTTTCAATACACATACTTAACATTTTCTCACTACAAGCTGCTCTTGAAAATGAATATGTAAGATTACTTCAAGATTAAGAGATTCTTTTCAACAAAATAATGTTAAAATATTTTGAACAATATCTTGCAAAACACTCCATTTGCCATGTTGTATTTTGTTGTATCGTGTTTTATACAGGAAAGGTATATACAAATTCTAACAATTTCAGTTCCAAATGTTCTAAATTCTGAAACAAGTACTTCTTTCTGACTCTGTTCTTTAACACATAACATTGCTTTCAGCTAGTTTGATATAAATGTCCACAAACGAATACAATATAATAATGAACAACAAATACCATTTAGTGGTTATATAATATGTTGCATGGCTTCCTATCTGCAGACTTATTGAGGGAAAATTTTCATTTTTGCTATTTCTTGGAATATCCAGAAATTATGGATAGTAAGTCACCTATCAGTTTTTTTTATCATCGAATAATTTAACATGTACATGAAACTGAGGTACTGATCATTGATTGATGTTCTGAGTTTATATTTCTTTTTCTATATAGATATTTATGTCAAAAATATTCAATAGCGAGATGAGTAAATTTATGAATATTAGAAAAATAAAAACAGCAATTTTTCAGCAAAGGGCTGCAAATAATTTTAAAATAATGACAGCTTTAGAAAAAGGTGGTCTTTGTGTCAGATTATCTCTTAAATATATCTAAACTGACTACAGACTAGTCTTATCAAGAACATTATTCATATCATAAATGTGTAAGGTCAAGTTAATAGGTTGATAACTAGATGTAATACCATGGTACAACCCAAAAGTATCATGTCTTTAAAGAATAGACCATAAACACTAGCCAGGTTCTGAATCTGTGAATTAAAGTAGTATTAGGAAGATATGCACTACTTCACAAGCCCTTTATTCTTTAATAAAAAGGCAAAAATATCCCAATGAACCTCTAGAACAACCAATAATTTGATTTTAACAAGGTGTATGGCTTTAGAGGTCATTGGCACCTAAAATACTTCCTTTCTGTTACAATGGAAAATATCATAACTCCCAAAATAAATGAGGTAAATCTGATCAAAATGTCAAGGACTGGCTCATTATAAAGCAAACTTGCACATTTTCTTGTTGAATAGTACTTTTGAAAATGGGAATGCATACATTTACAGAGCACATAATGAAACCATTATCTTAACTTATCAAAATTGAAACTAATCAAGATTGACGCCTCTAGAGAAATAAACCAACATAACACTGACACTTGCCTAATTAACTCTTTCACTTCCAACTTCACATGATCCAGTAGCTTGCACTGTGCTATAAATTTGTACATGTTCTTCGACTCTATCTCTTAAAGAGTTCTAGGATTGAACTATTTATGTATAAGGCTGAGTACAACTAACTAATCAAATCTAAATAAAATTTTTAACTGTGAATTTAGAGGCAAAATATTAAAGTTCACCTACTTATTAAAATCTTTCAAGCTTCATCATAGGAAACTGTGACAAATGAGGAAATAATCTAAATTTATTTTGTAACACTATATTCTTAAATACCAGAGCTCTCAACGTGACCTATATCATATATCATCTGAAACTATTCAGTTCAACTAACATGACCTTTACATATGTATGTTTACATAATAATCATATAAGTTAAAAGTATACTGAAATTGTAATCAGGACTGAATGTCATACTTGTAAATGGTCATGTGATGCAATGTTCAGTAATTACCCTTATAAGACTGGTAAAACAGAAGGTATGGTTTGTATTACATGCTATAACTATATCCTATACAGTCTAGCATCTAACCGATGGGCATCAGATAGTTCAACACTGGTTTATAGGAGGCAGCACTAAATTTCCACTTGGGGTGTCTACTAATTGACTCATTCTTTAGAAATTGAATATAATAGAAAAGATACCATATAGATACCAACCTGTTTACTCACTTGGATCACTGATTTTAGTTTAGACATTTATACAGTATATGTAATGTATATTTAACTCACATACTAGGTCCAGTGAATACAAAATATTCATTGATAGAATGGAGATTTTATTTTAGTGCAGGTTGAAGCCTTATACAATACTTAGAGTTACATGTATAGTACAAGATCCTCGTTACAAAAAGTATCATTTTGTCTGTTTATCTGCAGAAAGCGTGAATCTTTGTATGATGAAACAACATTATATTGCAATAAATTTTAACTGCCCGAGCAAGTTGAAGGGTGGGTAAAACAAGAGAAAATGAGGGTAGACCCCCTCCACCGAATTATTTGGGGGCCAAAAAGAATTTTTTGTGGGCACTCTTTATGTCCAAATTACTCATAACTATGCCCAAGATGATCAATTAATATAAGGACACCATTTATAAGGCATTTTGCAGGATATTTTTAATTAATTTGTGATTTTAAGCATTTTACTACCCTCAATTCAATTTTGAGTATATCTAGTTTCAAAAATATTCCCTCATTACTTTTGTTGTAGCACATTAATGGCTATGAAGAAATTCGTCAATTTTGCTCAAGTATCATTTGATAGTATCGGAAAGTATGATGTGTCCAATTAATATGGAGAGAAAAAATCCCAACAACCCTACCCCTTCTTCAACTGTGGGGTAGGGTCAATATGAAAAAGAATTCTGAGTACATTTTTATGCAAATTGTTTTTTATCCTGCCTAAGATTAGTATGAAGTTCACTATTTATAGACATTTTGCAGGATGTTTGGAATTAATTTGTGATTTTAAGCATTTTACTACCCCCAATTCAATTTTGAGTACATCTAATATGAAGAACATTCCCTCATAACTTTTGTTGTAGTGGATAAATGCCTCTGAAAATAATTCCACAACCTTGCTCAAGTATCACTTGGTAGAGCCAGAAAGTACGCAGCGATGTGTTTTATAATTGCAACTTGTTACAGTCATTAATATTTTACTTTTTTGAAAGAATCATGTATTTTCTTATTTTTGATCAAATATTCCACAAAATCATCCAACAAAATATACTTTTTATTTTAGATTTCAGTTATTCCTCCAACATTTTGGTAACTGATTGCATCCACGTTGCAAAAGACAAAGTGTAATGAACAGAAGTGATATTTGTGAACATTATATACCATCAAAAACAAAGCATATAATCAGACTGGCTCAGTAATTAAAAAAACATTCCAATCTATCTTAAAACTTAGTTGAGATATGGGATTAAAGAGTGACATGGTCTCAATATATAAGCACAAGTGCCAAAGGGAAAGGACCAAAAGTTGTAATGGAACTTAGCAAGAAAAAGCTAACTCTAAGTGCATACCAGTCAAGAAAAACAAACCCCATATAGCCCAAAACCATGAACTAACATGAAAAGAAACATTGTCTGATACCCCCTTTCCCCCCACCATTCAAGAACCAATATCACAATCCAAGACCAGAAGACCAAGGGACATTTCATTCATACTGAAGTCATTACAATAAATGTTGCAGAAAAAATTAGAAATTGATAGCCAATTGATAGCCAATACTCATAACCTCAAAAATAGTTGTAGATACAAGTACTCATACAAGATAGAGCATTCAGTCTCAAATGATGTGGGATAGATAAAATCCAGTCTCCAAGTCCATAGGCGTTTCAAAGGGTCAACATCCATTCACAAAAGCCGTCGCCATAATCCATAAAACACAAGAATTCACAATGGTCATCGGGAGACAATATAGACAAACATACATAAACACGCAAACAAAAACAATAACGGTTATCAGACTGTTGCCAAATTACTATATAAACAATACACAATTTGTCAACCCTAATTGAGGGGATATAATTGTGCCTTTTGTTTAATTCAGATTTTATTTAGAATTCAAATTAGTTCATCCATACCCCTTGGTAAAAAGAAACAAAATAAACTAGCTAATCTGAATCCACTTGTGCATATTGTTTAAGTAATGATAAGATTTCAATTTGAAATGTGTTGCAAATAAGTTAGTAGGTAGATACTAGTATGTAGATTTTTCAATTGGTTGCTCAAATGAATCAAATAAATATACATGTAGTTACACCTGATAAGTCATTATGTGCATCAGCCTGAGACAGCTATAACCTAATGTTGAACTTGAGTGATTCCTTTGAGATGGGGGAGGTACACACACTTAATTTCATGAATGGACCATTATATAACCAGACTTGAAAAGAATTTGCCTATTTTACTGATGGGACCATTTTGGTCCCAATCTAAGCGGTTAGATGCTAGACTGTATACCATTTATGGAATATAACCTGCATAACATATAATATGCATATAAGCATTATTCAATCAACATCATTTTCTGGCTCCAACATGTTTGTTATTTCTCATATTTACCAAGAAAGTGAAGTCAGTCATGCTATGAGTCAAACTGTTATAAAGATTTCAATAAGGTCATATACAGTAACTTAGCCATACTTTTCATTGTTACAATCAAACATTTGGAATTTAGTTGAGCTATTCATGGTAAAAAGTTTTCTTGAAAGTTCACCTGATGATGGTCTCACTTAAAGTTTCTATTACACAAATCAAACACAAGGAATAATTATCAAGTTCACTCCAACAACAAACTTTTCGTGTATTTTAGTGTTTCAATCCAGTTAGAACTCCATTACAGAATTAGAGCAGAATTATGATAAAGCAGCCTGAAGAAAAACCAGCTCTGATTAGTTAGTTGCTAACAGTATCTGCCAGAGAGCTTGGCAAGTTTACTAGGATTCTTTGTTCTAAAACGCCTGTAAAACTTGCAGATCCCTTCAAAAACAAATCCAGAATAAACCCATCTATTTCACAGTTGTTCACTAACTTTTCTACATATTTTATGACAGCTCTAATACCATTAAGTCTGTATTAATTTTGTACTTGATATATGCCTTGGTAGTTTCATTCATTTTCATGGTAGTTCCTCTTAAAAGAATGATTTAGCAAGGGATGGCAATCAGTTTACAAGGAACAGGTCAGGTTAGTCTAAACCATGACAGATGTGCAACCTTCTTTTCTATTCACAATCTATTCAACAGTAGACTCAACATAGACATTTCTAAAACTTTCTTCCAATTTTTCCTGTACAAGTCAGATGTAGATAGTTACTAGTCCTAGAGTAATAAAACTTACCTGGTTAAGATAAACTTTCTGGTGTTGTACAGCGTTCATTCTGTTAGTAAGCTATGTCTGAACTTAGTGTGTGAAAATTATCTGTATTTTTCCCACGATAACATCCAGTGAGGAAGCAAGTGATTTAATCCAGGCTTTGCTTTACATCATTGTAAACTAAAACATCCGTCCATGAAACACTAGCAAAGAAACATTCCTGCTACTTATTGTAAAAACTAGGAAAGCAGATAGACACTTCGTGGGAAAATGTATTTGCATCTCAGACTGCTAAACAATAGACCATGGCTGTTCTTTCCAATGAACAGCCTCCCTACTACTGACATATGAACAGTCTTAGAAATCTGTTCCTAATTAAAATGCCAGTGAAACCACACTTCCCCTGTAAAGGATAAATTACCCATTTTACATATCAAACATTTTTGAAAGCATAAATGGGTTTTAAATTCATCATTCTCCTTACAATTCAACTTTAAAAGTAACTAAATAATTTTGAAGTTTGGGAAAAGGCTTGCTTACAGGGACAGCTGGTGATTAAGAGAACAAAAGCCAATTGGTGTTTACCTAAAAGGCAAGCAGGTGTTCAGCTAGTATTTGCCCTGCATCATTGAGTTTGAGTATGGGCTTTGGTCGTGCACACGCTAGTCTATTCATCTGACACAAGCTCATCTACATAACAATAAGAGCTGCACACTTCATTCATATTATCAAGAACCTTGACAAAGGGCCAATTTACTCTCTGTAAACTCCCAGTATGTGACCTATTTTAGGTGTTTGCAAGGAACTTGCACAGTAGTCTAAGAAGCGTGCTTCACAATCAATTGAACGCTGTGACTTTAGAAAATATATTTGTATTAACAAGTAAGGCCTTTATTGTCGGATGCATGGCATTGTACTCGATGAAAATTTTATTTTATTTGAATTCTTTACACACCCAAAAATTTGTAAAAAACTGCTAACATTTTTTATAGGGTAACTTTCCAGTACCGATTCCTCACTTATTGCGGGGTCGATTTCTTGAATCAAAAGTTCATTATTTGCAGGGGACGGATTTTTATAAGAATAACAAAATAAACAAATATAATCAAAAGTAACAAGCGTGGTGTGACTAAGAATACTTACCGGAATTTGAAAACTTTTCCAAAATGGCGAAAATTCTTGAGCATGTTTTGATCTCGCAGAATCTCGTTTTAGACGAGAACTTCAATGGTTGGAAAATATTTCTGAAAAATATCAGAACATAGGCAAAGTTATTAAATTGTGAAAGAGCCGGGCATTGTGATGGTCATTTGGGTGTCTTGAGGACAATCCTCAATATTATTCTTTGGATGTATTAGCAATATACGTAGTAAAAGCCTGTAGTTTTCGATATAAATGGAATATAGATGATGGACTAAATTATAACAAAAATATTTTGTGAAACCCACCACATTCTTATCTCGTTCCAAGACTATCTCTACAATCTAAAGGGGTCGTAGGATGCGATAACCACATTCAACATTGACATTGAAATTCAATCAAGATCTAGGCCAGTCTATGCCTTCTGACTAGAGTCTTGTGACTAAGGTATATTTAGCCTAGCAGAATAGATTGACCAGACGAAGCAGAACTTGTGCCAGATTACGCTGTCGCTGGAGTTACAGTTGCATATATACGCATCACCAGAGCTTTCTGTGGAAGACTGCTATCATCGTTTAGGAGCAGGAACCCAATATTTAAATCGAGATCTAGTCAAAAGGTATGGGATCACAGGTTTTAACCCAGTCTTCATTTTTTAATCTGTGTTGTCTTGTAGGCAACTTGGCTTATGTGGCAGAAGGCATTGCAGAGTTTATCATAGGAAAATGTGTCACTCAGAATGAATCACCAGTCAGATTGCAATTCATTGTTGTAAATGTTTGCATAAATGACAAACCCTTATAACTTACTTCCTGCGAAAGCTATTTGGATTTTGATATAATAGCTTTCCCATGGAGCATTTGGACAGCTGAATGATTGTGACCTTTGAAATCGAATTAAGTCGATCCGCGGCTTACTTTTGGTCTCTAACTGTGTCTTACATCAGTATCATCAATCCGTGTAAGTATTAGAGCGCTAAAATACTTCTTTTTCGATCAAGACTTGTAAATTGTTCATCGAGTGAATATTTTTTAGACCTATTTCCAATATGGCGGTTTGCTAGGAGCGAGATATGCAATGAACGAAATGAATTTTGAGAATTAGTTAGGTTCGGACAACCTCCGGAGATTTACGAAAATGTCCGAGCAGAAAATGCCATATTGGAATTTGGCAGTAAAAACATTCATTCAACTAACAATTACAAGTCTTGATTGAAAAGGAAGTACTTCAGCACTCCAATACTTACACGGATTGATGATACTGATGTAAGACACAGTTAGAGACCAAAAGTAAGCCGCGGATTGACTTAATTCGATTTCAAAGGTCACTATTAATCAGCTGTTCACTTCCCCGTTTGAGAGCCATAAGTTTCAAAATCTAACATGGCTCTCGAAGTGAGTAACTTATAACCATTTGCTGTAAACGTTTGATCCAATCCAGTTCTCTATGAGATCAGAATTTACTCACTTCGAGAGCCATGTTAGATTTTGAAACTCATGGCTCTCAAACGGGGAAGTGGACAGCTGATTAATAGTGACCTTTGAAATCGAATTAAGTCGATCAGCGGCCTACTTTTGTTCTCTAACTATGTTATACATCATTATCATCCTTCTGTGCAGTGCATGTATTGGAGTGCTGATACTGCTGAAGTACTTCCTTTTCGATCAAGACTTGTAATTGTTAGTCGAGTGAATGTTTTTACTGCCAAATTTCAATATGGCATTTTCTGCTCGGACATTTTCGTAAATCTCCGGAGGTTGTCTGAACCTAACTAATTCTCAAAATTCATTTCGTTCATTGCGTATCTCGCTCCTAGCAAACCGCCATATTGGAAATAGGTCTAAAAAACATTCACTCGATGAACAATTTACAAGTCTTGATTGAAAAAGAAGTATTTCAGCGCTCTAATACTTACACGGATTGATGAAACTGATGTATTAGACACATTTAGAGACCAAAAGTAAGCCGCTGATCGACTTAATTCGATTTCAAAGGTCACTATCATTCAGCTGTCCAAATGTGCCGTGGAAAAGCTATTATATCAAAATCCAAATAGCTTTCGCAGGAAGTAAATCAGAATGGTATGTCCTCCGAACTTTGATGTGAAACATAATCTCCATTTTTTGGATGATAAGGTCACTATTTTAACTGAAATGATGCGCTCTATTCCCAGGTCTATTCCAGAATAATGTCAACAAACCAAGTGTTACGGAGGTCAGTTGGATTGTGTGTTTAAGTTAATGGGGTCTGGACTAGAATTGACATCATCGTGATATGTTCCATGTTTCTTATAAGAGCTCCTAGATTCAGATATTATCATTTTCCTTCTCTGAGCTCAGATTGTTGAAGTACATTTCCATATCTACCTGTAACAAAGCAATTGTTTTAGAAGTTATTATTTGACCCAGATTATTTATTTCATAGGATAGCATGGATGGAAAAAATGATAGCCAAAGTCCTTCTAAAAATGAGACTATTAAAGCATCAAATATGAATGAAAATGGAGCTAATGATGAAGAAAAGAATGTTATGCCCATGGAATTGTCAGACACTGAAAGTGCACGTGCGGGTAAGGTTAATTTACCATAGAAACCTTAATCTACTATGAAAGCTTATTAAGCACTCCCCCCATCCTGTATTCTGTCAGTTAAAATGTTGACTTCTGCAAATGAAATTACTGAACTTCTACTTAATTTGGTGCTACTTATTTTTGCGAATTTGCTGTTTTGAACATTTGGGGACTACTTTATTTGAAGGACTTGCAATATTGAAATGTATATACAATACAAGTTTACGATTGAAATGTGAAATATTGAATTTGGCACTTTCTAATTTGGAGGACTTTATAACAATTTGGCAGATCCACCAAATTAATGTAAATGGAAAATTAATTCAAAGGGGTGTGTTATATGGTATGAAAATCTAAAACTGTAATTCAAGATGGCTCTTTTGGATTCTCTTGTCCAATTTAATGTTATAGTGTACATCAGCATTTTCCAAGTATTCCAATCATTTCAACTCATCAAAATGTAGATCAAAGCCATATACAGTAAAACCTGAGTTAGTGAACAGCTCTCAGTGCTCTCCCCATATCGAAATCTCTGAGGCGCAGCACCTCCATGTGTTTTATAAAACTAAATGCTCCTCAATGCAACTCTATGCTAGATGGGCCTCCTAAAATGTTACAATAAATAATAAGAATATTCTAAAATGTTGCATAAAAAATTACAAAATTGTTAAATGTTGAACAAAAAATAACAAAATCATAAAATGTTGCACAAAATATTACAAAATACTAAAATGATGCACTCAAATCCCCCCCCCCCCTCAAAAAATCCTGGAGAGAGCACTGCCTCTCTCTTTCTAGTGAAGCCCTATCAAGAGTGAATGTTTTAATCGGCAAAACCCTTTTCTCCCATTGCCTACCATGTTGAATAACAATCCTAGAGTGAACACCTACCTACTTTGTACACTAAATTTTTTGCAAAATTGATTGAGTTATCCAGTGTCTAGTGAACATTGAATCAGATTTCTTACAGATTTTCTGCCATGCCTAATATGATGATGTCACATGCATGACTGAACCCAGAAGCTGAAGGGATTTAGTTGGCAAAATGCAGTTAAATCAAATCCTGGCTGTAGTAAACACCTACCAAAGAACACACAATGTTTTTTCTCAATAAAAAATGTTCATCATACACAGGTTTTACTGTACTTGGTAATATATCCATTTTCACTCTACATAATCAGTTGAAAACAAAATGTTCACCTTTTAAATCCTATTGTGTAATCATTGTCAATATGTAATGCACTTTGTAAATTTTCAATCTATCATTTGAACAAATGATCTTCATGCTCTTTTTAAGCATCCACAGCTGGATCTGCAGATACATCATCAACACCCGAAGACTCAAGATCTCCCACAATGGAAGTAGAACCACAAAGCAGTGTTCCAGCCAGCATTCCCAATGAGAATGTCATCCAATTAGAGCTACCAGAACCAGGCCTTGCACCCCCTGAACCAGTTACAAATCCAGATGTTTCACCTCCTGAACCAGTTACAAATCCAGATGTTTCACCCCCTGAACCAGTTACAAATTCAGACCTTACACTCCCCCAGCCAGTCAAAGATTCAACAAGTCAGGAATCAAAGAATCAGTCTGATATTAAGATAGAAGATGAAAACATTGATTGTGAAAAGAAAAAGACTGGTGCTTTTGATTCTAAGGCAGCAGCTGTCGTTGAAGGTGCAGCTGCACCATCATCTTCCTCCATTGATGACAAAGCTCCAATACAAAGTGTCTATCACGTAAAGTGGATAACATTTAAGGGGAAAAATTTACCAATTATAACGCAAAATGAAAATGGTCCATGTCCTCTATTAGCCATAATGAATGTGCTGTTGCTGAGTGAGAAGATCTGTTTGCCTGCCATGATTGAAATGGTCACCTCAGGGCAGCTTATGGAGTACCTAGGGGACTGTATATTTGAGCAAGCACCAAAAGTAAGTATGGGATAAAAGGTGACACTTTTACACTTTTAGTATATCAAATATATTTTGCAACCTAAGTGACCTCAACGTGGCATCACTCATGTGGCAAAAAGTTGGAATTCGGAGAAGTGTTCCACTAACAGAGGTGTTCCACTTTACAGGTTTTACTAAACATACATTTGTAGAACATCAGATTATTTTGAGTAATATCATATGTGTATTATAGACATCTGATAAACACTACTTTAATTGTTCATATTGTAAACATATGAGTGATATACCATTTTAGGAGAAGAGCTTACAGTCACAGATCTCTATTATAGAAATATCACTGGTTGTGTCCATACAGTAAAACACAATAATCATTGGATAAATATATTGTGATACATATGACAAAAATTAAACTTTTGGTCCGGATGAAGAAAATCTTTCCAACTTTTGAACTGTTCCATTCCGAAGTCAAATGTTCCGAACTGAACCATTCCGAATTTTTGTTCTGTGAAACCTACCTTTAACATGTATTTTGTTATTCCGAAGAGGAAGTATTTCTTACACATTGATTTTTAATATCCCTTCTTAATTGCTGCAGAATGAGAAATGTAACAGTAAACAAAAACATACTGTGTTACTTTAAAGGCCCCATGTAAAGTTTAAACCACTTTGGCTTATACAAGGGGCGATCCATATATTCTGATAAAAATGCTCTCATTTTGTGATTTTTTCACATATCCCTCTCATTTTTTCAGAACTTGAAGATTTTGTAATTACACATAAAATGCTAAAATATTATAGCTATATCTTAAATTATTTTTGAGATAAGGTTGCCATGGTAACTTGTATTTAGGGTAGGCAGGTCAGTTAAATTATAACGTATGAAATAGATAAAGGACGATTCTCGGTTTGGAGAACGAAGTTCATCAATCTAAATGAGCATTATCCCTGCTTCGGACAAATTTGATTTTTTTACATAATATAGATTTGAATGTCTTCTTTTGAATAGTCATAATTTAATTTGGGTAATATTTCTTGATTTTTCGCAAAAAAATATCAGCGCAGTACACTGATGAACTTCTTTCCCCAAATCGAGACTTGTATTTTATTGAATCGGTCTAATTGAGCGTTATCCCTGCTTCAGACCAATTTGTTATTTTTACATCTTGTAGATTTAAATGTCCTCTTTTGAATATTCATAGTTTAATTTGGGTAATATTTCTATATTTTTCCTGAAAAAATTATTAGCCCAGGAGACTGTTCTCCAAACCGAGAATCGTCCTTTGTTAATTTAATCATTCCTCGGTACCTATTTCAAGCAGATCAAACGCATATCCAGGTCATTGCCAACTATTCGTTGAACTGCTCCATACCCCTGTTGCCCTTGTTTGCTATTTCCACAGTGGAAATAGTTCTTTTTTCATAAATTGCATCTCAAATTATCGTAGTGTTATTCTCTCTCCGCAAGCTCTTCTTACAACCAGATTGGGAATGATATTCAACAGTGACTAGCCTTCCTCAAATTTACAATACTACCTAGAGATCCTTAGAGCAGATATAACACCTTGTTCATACACTATACGAGTCCATGTATGGCTCTGGCAGTGTCCTCTTACTTATTCTTGATAGTACATAAAATCTAATGGTACTCCTAATGTATCTGTTAATGTCACACTCTGCAACAGCCGCACTAACCTCATCTGATCTGTCATTTTGATATTTGGTGTGTCTCATGACATGTAATTCCAATTTGCCCATCCTGTCATACATTACTATTGTGAGTTGTTGTGATGTTATAGTGATCACAAATAAACATTTGTTTAGCAACAAACAACAAGAAACAAAACCAAATTTTTTTTTAAAAATGTATGATTTTCGCATGCTTTAAAATAATTAAAATAACAAGTTATTATGATATTTTATACGTTATAATTTAATTGACCTGCCTACCCTTGATACAGGTTACCATGGTAACACTATCTCTTAATTAATTTAAGATGTAGCTATAATATTTGAGCATTGTATGTGTAATTACATAATCTACATTTTTTGAAAATATGAGATGGATATGTGAAAAAATAGCAAAATTAGAGCATTTTTATCAGAATATATGGATCGCCCCTTGTATTGTAGTCTTACCCAATGTTATCAAAGTGTGATATGTGAAACTTTTTTTTTTAATTTCAAAAAGTGTTTTTTGATAGACTTTTTGTTCCAAAATTTGTGATTTTATTTAAAACCAACTTTTAGAGGTTACTCATATCTTCAAATTAGCCAGAATTCATACCAATGCATAGCATACATCCTCCCATGTTTTTTGCCGAAAAAATTAAGAAAATCGGTTGATAAACAAGTGAGAAATGAACTTATCAGTGCATGAAAATGGTTCTGAGAAAAATGCATTTCAAAATTTTAGTTCTCATAGAAACCAATGGTACAATGATATCTAAAACATAATTTATTCTTCCTTTTAACCTGGTTAGACAATCAACATTGGTTTTTTATGAAAGTCTAGCATATTTAGAAAAGATTGACATCGAAAAAAAAAATTCAATTTTTTTCAAAAAGTTTTTGTTACCTTAGTGACATCACTAATGTTTCAAAATATTTTTGATAAGCTAAAACATTGAAGTGGCCCATTAAATATGACATTTTATTATTGAAATAGTGTGTCTTTTGTTCAATCTTTGCATTGGTGTTAAAAATATAATCTTTTTTGAAATGCATTAAGAAATATTTGATGATTAAGAAATTTCAACTTTTTTTGAAAAATGGCGGGAAATTTGAATATTTGAGAAATGAAATGCTCACAACTTTTTTTCAAAATAATTTTTTTGTTCAAAAATCTCTAAAATCACTTTTTAAGTCCTGACAAATAGTAAATGAATGATAAAAAAATATTTTCAAACTTTAGACGGGGACTTTAAAAAGTAATATTATATATTCCTCTTGGTATAGGGAATATTACTCTTAAAAATGCAGCACAGATATTTCCCTAATAAGAACAAATTTCATTTTGATTAAAATAGCATATTCATTATTCAATTTAATTCTTTTAGAATATAGCTGAAGATGCCCAGTTGAACTACGAGCAGAACATGCATGATGCCATGGCTGTATTCCACAAACTACAGACAGGACTGGATGTCAATGTAAAGTTCACAGGGTGAGTATTACGAGAGAAGCTACATTTGCCAGTGGTCTTTATAGTGCATTTCTTTGCTCTTAACATTTCCTTTTTAGTGTAATTGAGAAAATTATGTTAGGTTCATCTTATTCATTGTGAAAATTATGCAAGGTTGTTCTTATTTATATTGTGCCTTGTCATTATAGATCATATTATGAGTCCAGTGAGTAACCTAAGCTTTAAAAAAAGGAATTCATGTTTAAAGGGAATAATATATCAGCTAATTTTGGTACACCAGTGAGTGTATCATGTTTAAATTTCATGCAATCTATCTTTTCTTTCTAGGCAAAGTGAGTTTGAGTACACTAATGACTTTAATTTGTTCATTGTGCAATCCACCTATACCATTTCTTTCTAAGTGTAGTGATTATGAGTACACCAGTGAGTGTATTGTGTTTGACCTACACCTACTTGCAATCCACCTGTACCATTTCTTTCTAGGTGTAGTGACTTGGAATACACCAGTGAGTGTATTGTGTTTGATCTACTTGCAATCCACCTGTACCATTTCTTTCTAGGTGTAGTGACTTTGAGTACACCAGTGAGTGTATTGTGTTTGATCTACTTGCAATCCACCTGTACCATTTCTTTCTAGGTGTAGTGACTTTGAGTACACCAGTGAGTGTATTGTGTTTGATCTACTTGCAATCCACCTGTACCATTTCTTTCTAGGTGTAGTGACTTTGAGTACACCAGTGAGTGTATTGTATTTGACCTACTTGCAATCCACATATACCATTTCTTTCTAGGTGTAGTGACTTTGAGTACACCAGTGAGTGTATTGTATTTGACCTACTTGTAATCTACCTGTACCATTTCTTTCTAGGTGTAGTGACTTTGAGTACACCAATGAGTGTATTGTGTTTGACCTACTTGCAATCCACCTGTACCATTTCTTTCTAGGTGTAGTGATTATGAGTACACAAGTGAGTGTATTGTGTTTGACCTACTTGCAATCCACCTGTACCATTTCTTTTTAGTTGTAGTGACTTTGAGTACACCAGTGGGAGTATCATGTTTGACCTACTTGCAATCCACCTGTACCATTTCTTTCTAAGTGTAGTGATTATGAGTACACAAGTGAGTGTATTGTGTTTGACCTACTTGCAATCCACCTGTACCATTTCTTTCTAGGTGTAGTGACTTTGAGTACACCAGTGAGTGTATTGTGTTTGACCTACTTGCAATCCACCTGTACCATTTCTTTCTAGTTGTAGTGACTTTGAGTACACCAGTGAGTGTATGATGTTTGACCTACTTGCAATCCACCTGTACCATTTCTTTCTAGGTGTAGTGACTTTGAGTACACCAATGAGTGTATTGTGTTTGACCTACTTGCAATATACCTGTACCATTTCTTTCTAAGTGTGGTGATTATGAGTACATAAGTGAGTGTATTGTGTTTGACCTACTTGCAATCCACCTGTACCATTTCTTTCTAGGTGTAGTGACTTTGAGTACACCAATGAGTGTATTGTGTTTGACCTACTTGCAATCCACCTGTACCATTACTTTCTAAGTGTAGTGATTATGAGTACACAAGTGAGTGTATTGTGTTTGACCTACTTGCAATCCACCTGTACCATTTCTTTCTAGGTGTAGTGACTTTGAGTACACCAGTGAGTGTATTGTGTTTGACCTACTTGCAATCCACCTGTACCATTTCTTTCTAGGTGTAGTGACTGAGTACACCAGAGAGTGTATTGTGTTTGACCTACTTGTAATCTACCTGTACTATTTCTTTCTAGGTGTAGTGACTTTGAGTACACCAATGAGTGTATTGTGTTTGACCTTCTTGCAATCCACCTGTACCATTTCTTTCTAGGTATAGTGACTTTGAGTACACCAGTGAGTGTATTGTGTTTGACCTACTTGCAATCCACCTGTACCATTTCATTCTAGGTGTAGTGACTTTGAGTACACCAATGAGTGTATTGTGTTTGACCTACTTGCAATCCACCTGTACCATTTCTTTTTTAGGTGTAGTGACTGAGTACACCAGAGAGTGTATTGTGTTTGACCTTTGAGTACACCAGTGACTGTATTGTATTTGACATACTTGTAATCTACCTGTACCATTTCTTTCTAGGTATAGTGACTTTGAGTACACCAGTGAGTGTATTGTGTTTGACCTACTTGCAATCCACCTGTACCATTTCATTCTAGGTGTAGTGACTTTGAGTACACCAATGAGTGTATTGTGTTTGACCTACTTGCAATCCACCTGAACCATTTCTTTCTAGGTGTAGTGACTTTGAGTACACCAGTGAGTGTATTGTATTTGACCTTTGAGTACACCAGTGACTGTATTGTATTTGACATACTTGAAATCTACCTGTACCATTTCTTTCTAGGTGTAGTGACTTTGAGTACACCAGTGAGTGTATTGTGGTCAATCTACTTGTAATCCACCTATATCATTTCTTTCTAGGTGTAGTGACTTTGAGTACACCAGTGAGTGTATCGTGTTTGACCTACTTGCAATCCACCTGTACCATGGATGGCAGGTTGATCCAGACCAGCTGGAAGTTGTCGCGGCAGTAGGAGGATGTAGTTATAATCAACTTGTAGAAAAAATCATAGCCCAGAAGTCATCTGAAAAACCAGAGCTCGTAACTGAAGGTATTCATCTTAATAATATCTACTTTCAGAGTATAATTAAGTCAGTGATTGAGACTTTTCAAAGGGAGGGCTATGAGTTGACAACTCTGCCAAAGCTTATTTTGAGAACTCAACTGTACCAAACACATAATTAACTAACTTGCATTCAAGTTGCCCCCAAAATGAATGAAAATTCAAAAGAATTTCCAATTAATATGCAAAAGCAAAATGGTCTGTTAATTTCTTTTGAACATTCCCTTCAAATGAAATGTTTTTTCATAATTTGATTTACTGGCAAGATTTGCTTGTCAGGATTTCTACACACTCACATGTCAAATTATTTCATAAAATACTTAAAGTTTAAAATATTAATGACAACATGGAAACACAATGAACTGTTAAGACAATTTTATTGTCAAAATCAAATTTTGCCTAATGGTAAGGTTCTAATCATAGCTCCATCCTTGACTGAATTGTCAAATATTGAGTAACACATCTTAATGGTTTAGTTTGTTTAATTTTAATAAAATCATAAAATATCATTTCAAATAAGTGAGAATATCATGGCAATTAGTCAGTTCTGAATATTTGAAGTAATGATGTATTATAGCGGCCATTTTAAAATGCCAGCCCCATAGGTTTCTTTATATCATTTTAAAAACTGAATCAAAAACTAGTTTAAGATCAAACATACAAGCAATATGAATAGAAAAAATATTTGGACATACTACTCCTTTAAAAGAAATCACTTGAAAAAAATGTTTTTGTTGCAGCCTTAATTGCTGAGACATTCCTTGAGAAATCTGCTTCCCAATTGACATACCATGGCCTCAGTGAGCTGGTTACCACGGTGAAAGAAAATGAACTATGTGTCTTCTTTAGAAACAACCACTTTAGCACACTCTACAAACACAAGGTAAGTCTTCAAAGGAACATAATTTATTGAAAAAGATACACACTGCCAAAATACTGCAAGCCAGGAACAACTAGATAACGGCAACTCCGCGGAGTAGCAAATCCCAACGAACAAAATATCAATTACCGAATTCCAATCAATTATACTCATTACTTTGGTTGAAAATGAAAAAATTAGATTTTAGAATTGCGAATACCTGCAAAGCAGCCATTTTGAATTTTCTGAGGTACAAATCTGAAAAATAATACCATAATTGTGATCTACTCCAAAATTCCTTCAATTTGAGTATAATATAGCCATACTTTGAAGGGATCGAAAAATTATTGCGAAATCGTACATTAGACGGCCATTTTGAATTTAACGAGGCTCCAATCAGAAAAAAGATACAATATTTGCAATCTACTCTTAATTGCCTTTCATTTGAGTATAATAAAGCTATACTTCAGAAAGATCTAAAAATTAGCGAAAATTTCTGTTTTCCTGTCCCCCCATACATGGCCCCTGGGGGTCAGGATGAAAAACACAGAATATATGTGAAATAGATAAATGTTGTGAATACACTACCAAAATTTCAAACAATAATATTAATTACTTTGGTTTAGAATGAAAAATTTATGATTTTTGCGAAAAAGTCCCGTCATTTTTAAAGCGGCGGCCATCTTGAAAAAAAAATTTTTTGCGTAAAACTATTCACCAATATACATCTTTCCACGAAATATGAAGAAAATCTGTCAACTAGTATTTGAGTTATCTTCCGGACAGACGGACGGACTGACGGACTGACTGACTGACGGACTGACAGACTGACGGACTGACGGACAGACGGACGGACGGAGGGCTTCACTATATCCCTAACGAACTTCGTTCGTTGGGATAATGAAGTAAGATGTTTGATAACTATCCAGGATTTTTCTCAAGTGGGTGCAAAATTCATGATTTGCTCATTTCCAAGTAGGTGCAAGCCTATTATTGAAATTTCAAATGGGTGCAATGCCATCTTGGTTTGGTTGCACAATGGAAGGGCCATAGCATATATACAGTATTCCTGTGTTTTGCTAAATAAGGAAAGTATATATGATTATAGCGCTGCTACCATATCAGGTGAGAAATGGTCTGGCAAGGAATGTCCCTTTAAAGCATTCCTTGAGATACTTAACCATGGTAACTGCCACTGGTCTGCATTAACCAAGAATAACTTGATATTGAATCTTTCATAATCTAAGAACACAATGCTACTTAGAAAAATATTTTTATTGGAGCAATATTTAAAGGCTTACAAACAATTCATCCCCTGCATGACCCACTGAATTATCCAAAACAGGAAATTATAAATAATCTATGACCTGTCCATTTGTTATCAACCATATTATAGAAAAGTAGTGAATAACAAGATGTAAGCAGTCAGCAGTGACATGATGTCATATAGTTTGCAATCTGCTCCACTCGTCTGATTTCCATTATCATTTGCACTGTTTGTTGTAATTGTTGTTCTTGTTGAAGTTGTAGTTGAGCTTGCTGCATTGTTACCACCATCTGGGGTGTTTCCATCCTCCTTCTCCTCTGTCCCCTTTCCTTCACCATCAACTTCTTCAGATGGAACTAGATAACCTAACAAAATAATTACTCATAACTTTTATAGACGTAAGTTTTTGGTGTAGTGACTAAAATCACTGGTACTTAATGCATTTGCATTGAAATATATTCTTTCAGAAAATTTCTATGAAACACATTACAATCTGATTTTGATGAAAACTATATCTCAAACAGGACATGTGTCAAAAGTTTGTGATGGTAGACTGTGGTTGAGGCCACATAGCCTTTTTGAAGAGGGTCCATTGAAAAATGTGTCATGGAATAGTGTGTTTATAACTCATACAAAGAGTTATAGATGTCACCAGTATCAATCTAACTTCATTTCAGTAGCCAGCCTTTCAACTGGAAAGTGAATTTTTATGCTGCAGTTATTTGATTATGTACAAATGTTTATATGTGAAATTACAGCTGTGAAAATTATATATTATAGCCATTACTATTTACACTGATCTGCATGGGAATATGACCAAATCATGCTTTTTGAGGGAGACATCCGTTTTAAAAAATTGTAAAATATTGATGAAGCTTTAAATGTAGAAGTAAGACACATGTTTAACATGTCATGTGCAACAATATATCCAGGACATACATTTAATAGAACTTGTACTTACTGACATTAAACTTGCATATATCCTTCTCAATGGAGTCTAAGTATGGGTTTAACATGTCATATGCAGCAATATATCCAGGACATACATTTAATAGAACTTGTACTTACTGACATTAAACTTGCATATATCCTTCTCAATGGAGTCTAAGTATGGGTTTAACATGTCATATGCAACAATATATCCAGGACATACATTTAATAGAACTTGTACTTACTGACATTAAACTTGCATATATCCTTCTCAATGGAGTCTAAGTATGGGTTTAACATGTCATATGCAACAATATATCCAGGACATACATTTAATAGAACTTGTACTTACTGACATTAAACTTGCATATATCCTTCTCAATGGAGTCTAAGTATGGGTTTAACATGTCATATGCAACAATATATCCAGGACATACATTTAATAGAACTTGTACTTACTGACATTAAACTTGCATATATCCTTCTCAATGGAGTCTAAGTATGGGTTTAACATGTCATATGCAGCAATATATCCAGGACATACATTTAATAGAGGCAGCGCACATATCAGGTTCTCCTTCAACGAACTACAAAAATAAAGTGGAATAAACAAATTAAAATTTCAAAGATATTTCTATGAAAATGGACTATCTTTGTCTTCTAAGTTTCTTAAGTTTTGCATTTCTACTACAAAATACGTAAGGCCAGTACTGTACTGTATTTCATTAAACACAACAAAATTCAACAATTAGACTTCAGACGGATTCAGGCATCTTTTCATATGGTTTTTGTAATGTTTCAACGGCTACTTACTCACAGTCCCTTTGTAGTTTGTCAGCATCATATGGACTTCCCTGGGTCTTTGCTTCATTTGCTGGTAAAATGTCACTTATCAAGGTTTTATTTATTGCATTTACACAAGCTGGTAATACAAGGCATCCTGCAATTACATAGTACAAATGTACCCCACATATGTTTTTGATAGTAACTTTGACTCGTGATTTGAACACTCTACCCTCACACTGGAATAGCCTGACAACGGTAAAGTCAGATACCATTCTCACAAATGGGGAACAAAATAACCGTCGCTTCAACTATTTAATCACTTGGTCCTCATTTCATGGGATTTTATCGTCGCTAATTCTGTGCATGTATTAGCTCTTGTGATAATGTATCATATGAAATCCCATTTTCAATCAAATTGGGTCGTGAATCGCCACAATATAGCGCCTTCGATATCGTCAATGACAACGGAATCTGAATTTGAGTAATTTAGAAGGACAACGGCATATGGTAATTACAGTGTGCGTTTTCCCGTATCTCATTTTGATCAGTTAAATTAAAGACTTTATTTCGATGGTAGAGCATTATTAACTGTACAATGAGTATTAAGACACTTTGATTGATTGTTGTTCCAAAGGAATTTAGTCTAGGTGCTCTATTAAACATACAGTTCATGAAAATCTAATTGAAGCGACGGTTATGTCCTCCATTTGTGACAACGGTATCTGACTTTACTGTTGTCAGGCTATTCCGGGGTGACCCTGTACTTTTTTTGTTATCAAAAGCAACCATAAACTTGTGTGGGGTACAAGGTACTAGAGATTCACACCATGAGTTAAAAGATTTAATATTTTTTCTTAGTAGAGCCGAGTTTGATAATAGATTATTATTTTGAACATGAGATTTATTGAACCTGTTTTGCAGAGAAGTAAGTTTGTTTAGTGCATTTTCAAGATTATTGAGAAATAATAATATGAGAACTCTTCAAATGAGGCTCATGTATCAACCGATGAACCACCACAGGGAAATATCACATGAAATGTTATGTCATGTGACACTTGCTCAACCAATAACAAAATGAGAAAGGTGCCAAATATAATAATATGTACCTTAACTCTTCCATGATATAAGAATATGTTTTTACTTACTTGGCTCACAAAGTAATGTTATATTTTCTTGAATTAAGATGTCATATCCCTGGTTCATCATCATGAAGTAAGAATTCTGAGAACAGTCAGCCTGGATCTTTTCATCAGTGCACTGCTTAATTGCATCATATTTTTCTATGAATCTGCAAATGACAGGATTGATACTGATTTAGAGGCAGACCATTATCCATTATACTGTGGCTCAATAACTAGTTCTAATAGAGGATTATAGTGTTACATACATATGTTATTAATATATTTAAGTCTTAAAAAGATGTCATAAATACTTATGATCACTAAAATGTTTAAAGTAACAGCAAAAGATAGCGAGTCTAAAATTAGAATTAGAAGTTTATTAATTTACTCGATTTATCACAGTGACTCAGTTAAATATAATTTAGATTTATAATTTGGAAAATATTGATATTGTTAACTATAATGATGTTTCTCAACACTCAGATGCTTGAATGTTATATTATAAGGTTTTAAAATAATGTCTTGAAAGAGTTAAAAGGACTCTTAGAACTTTCTGCAGGGGTCTTCAGCAAAATAAAAAACATTATTTTCACTGCCCTAGTATTTTCAATGGATTGATAATCATCTTTTCATTTCAAAGTTATTCATAACAGGTTAGTGAAAAAACACTCACTTATATATTTCTTTCTTGCTTCAATGTTTACATAAAAGAGGTTTTGTATAGTACATGTATATAATTATATTATTTGGTTGCATGAGTAACATATTTTCACGATTTCTAGTGGCCCTTTAAAATCATCATTTTCATAAGTCAGAACTAACAAAGTTCAATTCTGCCAATTTTTGAAAAAGCCACCCCTAACCCATCTCTATTTTTGCCAACCTCTTGATTTCTGCTAAACCTAAATATTCCACTCACTTGCAAACAGCTCCTGTTACTTTCTCCAAGTCTTTAAACTCTAAATTGGCAAGCAATGCCCCCACTATGTCAGAACTATCTGCAGACTGAATGCTCTGCAGCTCTGCCAATAGAATTGTCACATGTTCAGTTCCCATTTCATCATTCATACAGACCAAAAGATTAAACTGGTCAACTTCACTACAGGCTTGGACACTGGCACCTCCCATACACAAACATGCACACAGCCCTGAAAATATATTACAACATGAGTAAAACAAACAAGCATTATACATCTTCAAAAGAAATTCTAAGCACCAAGGAAATAATATTCAGAATACAAGTAGCCCCTCCAGCTACAATAAAAAGCTGTGTCAACGTTTTGTTATCCTTGAGACCAGTGGGGGCTTTATGAAACAGTGAGCACCATCTATCCTAAATTCTGTACATAGACTGAAAGATGATACTTAAATGAATCTGCATTTTCCACAATAATAACTTTGTACAGTTTTATACAGTTATGTCATTTAAATCGTTTTCCATGACATTTTAAAAAAACTTGGGCCAAATCTCCATTGATGCAATGCTAAGATTCTTAAAAACTTTGGTTAATTCTTTGACAACCAAAAATTTCATGATTAATCAGGTCACAATATGTACATTGACGATTAATCTATAGTATGCAATTTGAGTTTCAGACAGATTCATCATTTTCATAAATCATTAAATTAATTGACTATTGCAAGTTTATAACATGGACGGCTATGGCAGCCTGGCCCAAGCAAAACAAAAAATGACATTGGTGACATCTATTATGTCAGCTTTATTCACCTATTTAGAAACGATGATTAACATTACATAGTTACTGTTTATTGACCCTCTGGTGTTTATGTCACTCCACTTTTTGACTTCAATTGTTTTGTAATACTCAACATTGTTTTGATAGCGCAAACATAAATTGAGTATGAAAGTCACGATTTTTGGGTCTTTTTCCCCTTTCAACAGATATATCAATGTCATTTATAAAGTTTTTAACTGGCCTTTTCTGACAAGTTACAAAAAAAGTTATGATCTATAAAATATCATTAGCACTGATCATAGGTTCTGACATTGAACAATAAATTAATCAACAAATAATTTCAAATAAAGTCACCAAACTTCTGTCTTGTATGATACACAGTTGAGGTTGTGCTGGCTGTATCTTTAGGTCAATATTCAATTGAAAATTAGAATGTGTCATTATGTGTCATAATGTGTCATTCAGAATATAGCATTTGACATTCTATTTTCGTGATATTGGTTTTATAAATTCATATCTGTTGAATTATAATATAAGGGTCCAGTTTTTTTTTTATTGTTTATTGTTCACATAGCACGTCTGAATATAAATCAATTGAAGGGCTTTATTTTGAGGGAATCAGTGAACATTGATCTGTTATATTGACCCGCTCCCTTGTAGATGTTTTATGAACACCATTTCATTCATTATTATGGAAGATATTCAGACAGAATATATATATACATTGTATGTACATTGTCTGTCAATTCCGACTTGGAGCAAATTATCATTTACTAACCCTTTACTGTTTAATTCTGAACAACCATTTAAAAGATGAACAAATTTGTTTGTTTTTTAAGTGTACTAAGTTGCAAATAATTATATAGTAAACTGGTAATGTAAGTTTCGAGCTGTGTCGTTTGGAAAATTGTTTCAAAATAGCTTTTTACATCACTTCCATAGAAGCAATGTAACTGCTTAACATTTAGAATGTACATAAAAAGAACAAATTGACATTCTAGTTAGTAAACTTTTACTATGTCAACATACGTCATGTATTAATTGTCTGACATTTTAAATCCAGCTTTGTAAATAAAATATAAATAGTGAATGTAACTTACCTGTGATCAACAATGATAAATCAGTCATTTTGTGAGAAAAGAACTCTGTAGCAATATAATTGTCAGTAAGTTGTCTTCCTTCCTATGTTTGTAACTTAGTATGAAATATGTACTTTAATTTCACAAAAGAACAATGAAAATCTTTTTTTGTTTACTGGCTTCACTTATCTGATCTGAGATGGTAAAAATATCAGCTATGTCTGAACTGAAGTTGCAGTCTGAAGAATACGTTAGTTATTAAACTTTTTTTGTCATTACAGCTGAAACCTTATGTATAGCATGTCCATAATTGTCTCTAGTTATCCCTTAATTTGTATTATTGTTACTAATAAGAAGTTAGTAATTTGATGTGATCTGATGAAGTGAAGATTGTCGTGATATTGGCTGTGAGTCGTGATAATGGCTGTGAGTCATCCACTGGTCCCCTCTAGTAAATCTCACCTAACTTGATTTTTCACAAAGTACTGAGTAGTCTGCGACTTCCCATGTTTTCATACTTTTAACTGTCAAGTGTACCGGCTAGCCTGATGTTTTGTTGGTTAAATGACTAATGTCACCAAATTTACATCCTCGAGGTAGTATATGTGAATATTTTTTTGGCACATCAACCTGCAAAAGCTTTTCATTCATGCTCTATTATTAACTGCAGTGCATGCATAGTTGTGTGTACACTCTTACAATATAAACTTTTACTCAAATATCCAATTTCCAATATGTACATGCTTTGACCAGTTATATTAGGTTAAGTAGACCACCTGATGTATTTAAGTGTATGGAGGTATAAATCTAGACTTGATTGTTAATAGGAATATGCTGATCTCTAAAATACGCCAATGACTAAGGGCTTTTAGTGAATGCATTGACTTTGTTTAAGATTATTATCCCATCGAACGAAGTTCGGAGGGATATAGGGAACGCCTCCGTCCGTCCGTCCGTCCGTACGTACGTCCGTCCGTCCGTCCGTACGTACGTCCGTCCGTCCGTCCGTCCGTACGTCCGTACGTCCGTCCGTCCGTCCGGGCAATAACTCAAATACCGTTGGCCCGATTTTGTTCATATTTTGTACACATATACCCTATGGGGGTAGAAGTTCTGCTCGAAAGCCAATTTTCAAAATGGCCACTCATTTCAAAATGGCGGCCATTTTAGTGCCGAATTTACAGTAATTTAGGTGCAATATGTAAAACTGTAATAGCAATATGTTTTAGATGTAAAAAAATTATATAGGACATTAATAAAGCTAGAAATGTAGATATTAAAGAAGCACATGGCAGCCATCTTGAAAAATGGCGGCCTTTACTCGTTATTTTACGATTTTTGCTGTAACTCGAAAAGTAGTTGAGCGATTTTGTTCATATTTGGTATGTGAATACTATAAACATTGCACACTGTCTAAAGACACTTTTGGTAGAAGGTGGCCATTTTGAAAAATGGCCGCCATTTTGAAAAATGGCCACCATTTTAACGTATTTTACTATAACTCGAAAAGTAGTGGAGCAATTTTGTTTATATTTGGTATGTAAATACTATAAGCACGGCACACTGTCTTATGGCATTTTTGGTAGAAGGTGGCCATTTTGAAAAATGGCCGCCATTTAAACGTTTTTTACTATAACTTGAAAAGTAGTGGAGCGATTTTGTTCATATTTGGTATATGAATACTATAAGCATGGCACATGGTCTAATGACACTTTTGGTAAAAGGCGGCCATTTTGAAAAATGGCTGCCATTTTTGCTTTATACTTTGTTTGTAAAAATGCCATCCATGGCTGTTCGATGGGATTCGCTACGCTTTGGCGTTGCCGTTGTTCTGGTTTAATAAATAAATTACAATTTCAATTTTATGTATTACACAGAATAAGGTGTTTACATAATGATTCATAAGTAAATATACAATTAAAGTAAAATATTTTTATTCATGAATGCCTTACAATCATCCATGTAAGATGAAATACATCTTAGGTACAGATACTGCACTACTTTGCAAGAACTTATATCATGTGATCTTCTCTTTGAATATAATTAACAACACAACACGTAATACAGAACCTTGTGTCTTGCCTGTTTCACTGGTTGGGCCAGGGGTATATGCTGAGGCCAAGGAATATGTTAAAAATGTTTAAAAAGTCCCCTAGTGTACTGAGTTGGTAATGTGTGGTGTATACATGTATATTAATAGAGAGGTAGGTCACTTCGATAGTGTTCTACACGAGAAAATCCAGGGGTCACTATGTTCATCAGTGTATCTCGGTACATACTACAGCATATATTTCTTTAACATTACAGGAAACCCTCGTCAACATATAAAACATAATAATTAAACAAAGAAATAAGAACAGTTTATCACAACAACCGACGTATAAGGTAAATTGTTACAAAAACGAACAACCGAAGTCTGCCAGGACACTTTGGATGTTTACTAAGAGATGAAGGCCGAACTGCATTTTGATTGGTTGTTCATTTTGGATTTGAAAGTTCCATTTTAGGTATTTTTTAGTTGTAAATAAATTCTGAAATAAAATGTTTATGTTTTGTTTGTATTTTTAGAGATGATTGAATAATAAAGGGGTCTTCAATATTTATTTTTCATTTAATTACACTTGCGATGCTAAGTAATTTCCCGGGAAATGAAATTGTAATACGGGGATTTTACCCTCATTTTCTGCAAATGTGTTGATCTTTTTTAACCTAAATGACAATATTTTATCTTTTTCTTTCAAACAGAAGTCGTATAAAACTAAGATATTCGTAAGAATCAACATATCTGCATAAAAGTTTTAGTTCGTAAGTGAATTTTAAAGATGGCGGCCAGTATAAATAACTTGACCTCTTGATGACGTAGAGGTCATTTCTAAGCCAATGAAAAGCGTTGAAATAATTCACTTCTTTTTGACCTGGGAAAAATGTCCTGGTAGAGTTTGCAAGCGTGTTTCTTTACATTTTTAACTACGATGAGAAAAGAAAGATGTCAGGATTGTAGAAATTACCAAAGAAAAATTATTCCTGGACCTTCATGACGAAAGAATTTTGTGGTTTCGTCCAGTGCGAACGAAATACAGTTGGATTAGGGATCCTACTGATCGAAGTGACCTACCTCTCTTTTACTATATTACAATATTACTTACATTGAATAAGAATAAGACTATTTTTTATTAATAACAATAAGACCCGGGCCTCAGGGTATATGAGTAAACGAGGGGTGATCATAGAATCCTGATAATATCTCACGATTTTTTTTATTTCTCAATATATTCTTATGATTTTTTACTGATTTTGGGTACATTCTTTTGCCAGATAACATTAAAATCGAAGGATTATCCTGATATAAAGTCAGAACTGTCTTTCAAGAATACATTCCTCATTACATATGCATGTATTTAGAAACACATCTTTGATCACAAAGTTGTGTTTAACAGCCTTTTAACTAATTTAAGATTCTTCTGAAATGTTTTTTTTATTTATATCATAAAATTCAAGAAACTCATGAAGATGCAATATAAACTGCATAAACTTTGCATATATCGTCAAGCAAACAGAATTTTTAGTTTTCTCATTTATTGTATGACTCACACATACAGGGTGTCCGTAAAGTAAAGATACAAATGCTCTAATTTCAATAGATTTACCTGTTATGAGATGAAATTGCTACAGATTATAGATTGACATTGTAATAATTCATCCTGCAACTGTCATGACAAATTGTTTCAAAATAAAAAAGTTATGGTTGTTATGGTAACAGGAGTCGCGGGTATGTGGAGCAGCGACACAATCATGTTTTATAATTTTTTTCTCCAGTTCATATCATCTTGACACTTTGTCATCTGTTGCTATTATACATCAAATTATGTACCACAACAGCAAAAGGATTAGTACTGTAACAATATTTAGTCATTTGGCATTACTTCTGTTATCCAGTATTATGTATTTCCCACCATTATCTTAACATTCTTGGTGCATTTTGACCAGAGATTTCAAGACCTGACAAAACCGCTGCTGTCCATCTCTAAGGTTGCAGATAACACTGGCTTCCAGCTGAATCTCATTTATATGTTGAACTTCTAGCAAATATTGCTTCAAGATATTCATTAATGTAGAAGCCTAACGGGACATTATCAGGCAAATATGGGCCATTGTACAAACATGTTTAATGTCAAGACATTCAATTGTAAGATTTGTTTTCTTTGCTTTTTGTATTGGTCAATTGACTGTGGAGGTGTACTATTGACTTTTCTATTAATCCAGGGACCTTTTTCTAAGCACTTATATACATTTTCTTTGATTATACTGGTGACATTATATAGTTCTGATATGTATCAATGATATCCTTAAACTAAAGAGAATACTTTGGCAGCAAGAATACAATATTGAACAAAACAAAACATTGATAGGAAATACAATAATAAACACTGTTCCAAATGGTTATATTTTAGCAATTATTCACAATTAAGTGATATCCTGGAACTGCTCCGCATACCCCTCACCACCGTAACCATGACAACCGTAACTTTAACACATTTAGACTATATGTTATAAAAGTTAATACGTATTGTAATGAAGTTCCTCTACAATCTGTAGCAATTTCATTACCAAAAAACTAAATCTCTTAAAATAAGAGTATTTGTATCTTTACTTTCCGGACACCCTGTATATTGATACATGTACTCATAATAATGGCTATCAGGAACACTTAAAAGTGCCAGGCAATGAAAAATGGAAGTATGTCAAACTTTAAAGATGACCAATCAAAGGATCACAATATTATGTGGAAAAATATATTCATTTCTAGATGCAAAACATTTGTATATTTTTGATTGTTTTGTGGTTTGGCATATAAGATGCATGACTTTTTCATATACTATTGCACTGAGGTCCTTTGCTTGCTTATTTCCCAAGGTTTGATAGACTTAAACATTTTCATTCCTTCACACTCACTATACAGTGTTCCAGTTCACCACTTTTTCACTAAAATACATATACGATTATATCATTATGGAGGAGTATTTCATGTTGTCAAAGGTCCCAAAGTATCACTAAGAAATTTTATTGTGCAGTCAATAGTGATCATTACTTGGTATGATCACATTTATGTTCAATGGTTGAGGATATGGGTTATTGCAGGCTCGTCATTCGTTCGTGAATGTTCTACATAAGCAAGTGTGTCAAAATTGTAGAGCTCAGAAGCAATTGTAGACCTACGTTGATGCTTGATCTACTTGATTGCTTTAATTCTTCATCTGAAAGAGAAAAGTAGTTCTCAGATGTCTTATGACTTTATTAGTCATAACAGCTTGTAGAAGTTCCTATATGCTATTATATTTATGAGTCCCAGTTGGGTCATCTGGTAGAGCCATTGTTGATATTCTGACAGTTATACACTTATAATTAAAGGTTTTCTAAACACAAGCATTTCTATGGCAATATTGGATACTTGGCAAATGTGATACCCTCACATAGTGCTGTTGCATTGCTCAGTGATAATCACATATACATGTACATGTATACTCAGTGATACTCAAATATGTATATCCGAACTCCCGTGCAGTGATATATCACTGCGGCGGGCAGGTATCTCACCGTAAGCATGGTAACATCGTAATAAACAACTGACGTGATTGGTTCTAGTCCCATGCTCAGGTCGCGTGATTGTAAAATTTAGACAATTTCATTGGTTGAATTGCGCGTATTAACTAATAAACAACACGTGTGGTAAACTTTTATCAACACAACTTTTACTCAGAATTCCTTCCGCGGGGATTTCCTCTTATATTTCATTGATTTTGGAATATTTTGACAAAATAATTATTGGTGAACATAAAAGAACATATATTTTATAAGTTGTGTGAAAAACAAGTACATCTGTGACAAAATGGGGGACTATCTTCCCCAAATTTTGGGGATTCCATAATCTGCCCGCCGCAGTGTCTATACCGAGACACTGCATTCGATGTATATCAACAGGCCCATCTGAAGAGGGAGGACTTTGGGGGCAACCACCCCCTCCCCCTCCCTCTTTTTCCAGAAATTTGTGTGTCGGCACAACCCACCCAAATGCAAAAGTCTTGGGAAATTCTTTGGATAGGTCTGTATCAATATTACATTGATACTTACATATGGCTATGTTGCATTGCTCAGTGATACTCATATATAGCCATGTTGCATTGCTCAGTGATACTCACATATAGCCATGTTGCATTGCTCAGTGATATTCACATATAGCCATTGTTCCATTGCTCAGTGATATTCACATATAGCCATGTTGCATTGCATAGTGATACTCACATATAGTCATGTTGCATTGCATAGTGATACTCACATATAGCCATGTTGCATTGCTCAGTGATACTCACATATAGCCATTGTTCCATTGCTCAGTGATATTCACATATAGCCATGTTGCATTGCATAGTGATACTCACATATAGTCATGTTGCATTGCATAGTGATACTCATATATAGCCATGTTGCATTGCTCAGTGATACTCACATATAGCCATTGTTCCATTGCTCAGTGATATTCACATATAGCCATGTTGCATTGCATAGTGATACTCACATATAGTCATGTTGCATTGCATAGTGATACTCACATATAGCCATGTTGCATTGCTCAGTGATACTCACATATAGTCATGTTGCATTGCATAGTGATACTCACATATAGCCATGTTGCATTGCTCAGTGATACTCACATATAGCCATTGTTCCATTGCTCAGTGATATTCACATATAGCCATATTGCATTGCTCAGTGATACTCACATATAGTCATGTTGCATTGCATAGTGATACTCACATATAGCCATGTTGCATGGCTCAGTGATACTCACATATAGCCATTGTTCCATTGCTCAGTGATATTCACTTATAGCCATGTTGCATTGCTCAGTGATACTCACATATAGTCATGTTGCATTGCATAGTGATACTCACTTATAGTCATGTTGCATTGCATAGTGATACTCACATATAGCTATGTTGCATTGCTCAGTAACAGACAGCTGCTGGGGATGGAGAAACTGCTTTGCAAAACCTTCACATTTCTTGTGGTATGTCTGCTTTCCACATTGAATAGCATCTTGTATTTTACTGAAACAATTGAATGATAGAGAGTTTCTTCGATTGCTCAAATGGTCGATTCTCGAAGATTTCTTGGTTCATTATAACATTTAACAACTAAATTAATGATTGAAATAAATTGTGTTGAATTTCTCCCTTGTTATATGAAATGACTGGTGGCCTAGTGGGAGAGTCCTCGTTTAAGACAGAGAAGGTTGGTGGTTTGATTCCCAGTTCCATCTGTTTTGGTTGTGCTTTGATAACTAAATATTTAAGCATTGATAATATTGTCAGTTTTATGAAAATGTAAAAGTAATACATGTCCAAATATTGCTTTTTAATGGAAGGCTCTGCTTTAAGATTGACAAGGTAATGATGGTAATATGTTACATTAGTGTCACCTTCTGCTTTTCTATATGTTTTTACCTGCAGTCCCACTCTTGCTTTTTACTTGGTTTGGAATTAAGGATCACCTTCATACAACTGTACAGGTTCTTACAATCTAAATAGAAATGTAAAATGAAATAGAATAATTTGTTTGGGATTGACCTTAGAGTATCCATAAAGATCATCAATTCATTTTAAATTGCCAGTTTTACCTGGACTGCAAAAATGTTGGGAGGCGTTCTTCATGCCGGACAGTGGAAGTGTATAGAGTACTTTGATGTAGTATTCACATGTGTCTACCTTTGCGTGAACACATTCACTCAGCTTATCTATCTGCCCTATAGACCTAGCAATAGTAAAACATGTTGATTGTAATGTGGCCTACATTTACGATACCCTGAAACTCAAAGCTGGCTGTGAGTGAGAACCTTCTGAGAACTTCAAATGATCACACTTTAGGTGCTGATAGGACATTTTATTACAATAGGGAAAAATGCAAAGAACACTTTTGTCCATGAAGAGGTTAACTCAAATATCAATGGGACAGTGTTTTTGTTACAAATCCTCATATTTTATTATAGTATATTTCAAAAATCTGGCAGCCATTTTATTTTAATCAAATGAAAGTTTGAGGTTACAACTATGAATTTCGTATGAATCTGATTCAATGAAACAGTAGTTGCAAACCTTTCATATCTCTTGATCTTTAAAGAGCAATAAAAATTATTACTTGCAAACATTCTCAAATTCTTCTGGTCCATGTTCTCCTTCAGATTGGCTAGTTGCTAGGGTAACGCCAGCTTTGCTGTAGCACTCACCCACACCTTGGATGTCACACCCACTACTCACAACAATGACACCTGTGAAATGTGAACATAGCAATCACAGAATTCAGTTGGAAAGAGCTGTAATAGCCACATATACATATGTAGTTAAATGTGTTTTGCTTTTCTTTGAAACCTTTATAAAATAATTCGATATTTATCACTGAAGAGGATGCATTACTAGTATTTAAGTTCATGTTCTTCAGAGGATTCCATTTCTTAACTTACCTTGTAATAACAATAACACTTTCAGATCATATAATCCCTCCATTTTGTTGATACGGTAAATTAACAAATATAAATATGGTATTTGTAGTTTGTAGTCTATAGGGTCATTTGTAGGAATCATAAAACAATAGTTGAGGTGAAAGTTTAATTGAAGTTATCATCATATATGATACTATCTGAAACAAAACTATTTCATGTCAGAAAATCTATTGTGAATTTTAAATGAATTTTAAACAAACACATGTGTTAAAACAATTTCATTTTTATAATCATCAACAAATAACATATCCAACATATTTCAAAAGTCTACATGTGTAAAACTAAGGATCATAGACTGAGCTGCCCTTAGATCATTACAACAATTGAATCTAATTTTAATACAGTATTTGAAATGGCAATAACTAGTAGCCCAGATTGATTAGTTCAGGTTAACATTTTCTTATGTAACATTTTTTATGTTTGATCTTGTCAAAACTAGTTACAGATTTCTTTTGAAATCTCATGAAAAAATCTTATGGCATCCTAGATTACCCAATTCATTCTGTTTCTGGAGGCATATGATCTCTTAAGTATGGTATCTGACATTTTCTCATGTACCTGATAAGGTAATGTAAGCTGTTTGAGTGGCTGTTTGGAATGACAGTTGGTTAACATGACAGTTTTATAGCCTTAAGTATTGCATTATTCTTGGGGATCTACTTCCTCTTCTCCTTAGGTGTGCATGGGGTCACATTACCACGCGGTCCTAACTTCGACCGTTAATTTGAATTTTTGACCTACCGGATGTTTGAAAATCAAGGGTAACGAGTCTCATACTGCACCTTTCTTCAAACTTGTTCCATTCAAAGCATAACACAAATCCCTTTCTGATGGTACATTATTCTCTTCAAAAGAGTCCCTACTTCCAGCGGCATTTTGGTCCCCAGCTGTAAGAAGGCCTTCTAACAGCTTGGGACCAAAATGCTGCTAGAATGAGGGACTCTTTACAATAAAATAATGCACTTTTGTTCTGCTTTTAATGGTATAAGTTTGAAGAAAAACGGTGCAGTATGAGACTCGCAATCCTTGATTTTCAAGCACCTGGTAGGTCAAAAATTCAAATTAACAGTCGAAGTTAGGACCGCATGATTACAACGATTTGAAGTAAACAAATGAGATTTTTAAATACAAGTACAATAGTACATGTACTTCAATAAAATTTAATATGTTTTTCATACTGTATTTTCAGAATGAATTATTCCTCTTAGTAACAGACCAAGGTTTTCTAACAGAGACTAACATGGTCTGGGAGTCACTATCTAATGTAGAAGGAGATGGACATTTTGTTGATGTTAACTTTCACACATATAGAAAACCTGACAACCCCATTCCACCCCTTGTAGGATCTCCTGCAGCTGACCAGCTAGAGCAGTCGGAGTAAGTGATATTATCTTCAACATGATTTTATCCATGAATGGATGAATGGATGAATCTGCATGAGGGTGCAATCACTTAGTGCAATCACTTATGAACTCCATGATTCATCTAGAGACTATTAAATTCCAAAAATATGAAAAATTTAAAGAGGACCTTGACCTCCAAATATGTCCTAGACATACAGTGACATCCAGGGTTTTTCTAGGGACATACAATTTGCAAACACTCGATATATTTATATTTCACGGCTATACCAGTTGCCATAATTTAGGACTTTCATATTGACCTTTGACTCTGACCTTTATATATAAGTATATGTTTATATCAGTTTACATTATGTGTCACATACTTATAATTTCAGTTATTTAGTAGCTCTTAGCTTACAACAGGAACAGCAGACAGGGGCACCCTGGCAACCACCTCCAGACCAAGCAATGATGTCTGAGTAAGTCAATTCTTTGTTGACCCCTTATTATCCCATCGAACGAAGTTAGGAGGAATATAGGGAATGCCTCCATCCGTCCGTTCGAGCGGGCAATAACTCAAATAATGTTGGCCTGATTTTGTTCATATTTTGGACACAGTACATATTGTATTGTATTGTATTTTGTTTACCACCAATGAAGGTGAGCAATACCTCTTGGGTATGTCCCGTATATATACGGTCGTAATTTTCGTAATTAACATGGAAGATAGACCCAGAAACCCCTCCTTGAAGGAGCCCTGTGTTCTTTTATGTGCACTTATACATAGACATATAAGTACACACCACAGCCTTTTGTACGAGTTGCGGACCACTCAGTCAAACACCCTGAACTACTTCACACAAACAAGCAAATTTAGTCTTGCCTGAACCGGGGATCGAATCCAGGACCTATTGCGTAAGAAGTACCTGCACTACAGGTACATGGGTGGACATATGCCCTATGGGGTTTGAAGTTATGCTGGAAAGCCGATTTTCAAAATGGCCACTCGATTAAAAATAGTGGCCATTTTAGTGATGATTTTACATTATTTAGGTACAAAAAATAAAACTGTAATAGCAATATGTTTTGAATGTAAAAAAGTTATATAGGACATTAATAAAGCTAGAAATGTAGATATTTAAGAAACACTTGGCAGCCATCTTGAAAAATGGCTGCCTTTACATGCTATTTTACGATTTTTGCTATAACTTGAAAAGTAGTGGAGCTATTTTGTTCATATTTGTTATGTGAATACTCATAAGCAAATCACACTGTCTAATGACACTTTGGCTAGTAGGTGGCCCCCATTTACATGTACATGTGTGCGATTTTTGAAATTTTATATGTGCTTACTTAGAGGCATATTACACTTTCTTTCCCATTTGCTTGTATATAGACCTTGCTACACAGTTATAAGGTTCCTGACCACCTATTTGCTTGTATATTTCAGTGAAGACCTGGCTAGGCAGTTCTAAGGTAGTTGATCACCCATTCGCTTGTATATTTCAGTTAAGACCTGGCTAGGCAGTTATAAGGTAGTAGACCACCTATTTGCTTGTATATTTCAGTGAAGACCTGGCTAGGCAGTTATAAGGTAGTTGATCACCCATTCGCTTGTATATTTCAGTTAAGACCTGGCTAGGCAGTTATAAGGTAGTTGATCACCCATTCGCTTGTATATTTCAGTTAAGACCTGGCTAGGCAGTTATAAGATAGTTGACCACCCATTTGCTTGTATATTTCAGGGAAGACCTGGCTAGGCAGTTATAAGGTAGTTGATCACCCATTCGCTTATATATTTCAGTTAAGACCTGGCTAGGCAGTTATAAGGTAGTAGACCACCTATTTGCTTGTATATTTCAGTGAAGACCTGGCTAGGCAGTTATAAGGTAGTTGATCACCCATTCGCTTGTATATTTCAGTTAAGACCTGGCTAGGCAGTTATAAGGTAGTTGATCACCCATTCGCTTGTATATTTCAGTTAAGACCTGGCTAGGCAGTTATAAGATAGTTGATCACCCATTCGCTTGTATATTTCAGTTAAGACCTGGCTAGGCAGTTATAAGGTAGTTGATCACCCATTCGCTTATATATTTTAGGGAAGACCTGGCTAGGCAGTTATAAGGTAGTTGATCACCCATTCGCTTATATATTTCAGTTAAGACCTGGCTAGACAGTTATAAGGTAGTTGACCACCCATTTGCTTGTATATTTCAGGGAAGACCTGGCTAGGCAGTTATAAGGTAGTTGACCACCCATTTGCTTGTATATTTCAGGGAAGACCTGGCTAGGCAGTTATAAGGTAGTTGACCACCCATTCGCTTGTATATTTCAGTTAAGACCTGGCTAGGCAGTTATAAGGTAGTTGATCACCCATTCGCTTATATATTTCAGGGAAGACCTGGCTAGGCAGTTATAAGGTAGTTGACCACCCATTTGCTTATATATTTCAGTGAAGACTTGGCTAGGCAATTACAAGAGGAGGAAGAGGCTCGTGCCAGACAGCAGGAGAACCAGCAGCAGCGCCAGGCAGCCATTCACCAACACCTTGCCCAACAGCATCAACTGCAGCAACAACAACAGCAAAGACAACAAGCAGAACAGAAGAAAAGTAAAGATGTCAGTAACTTTTATATACTTTGTTATATTCCAACAAATCCCAGTTACTCTTTGAATGGTCAATTTATTTCATCATTAATGAGTTATATAACATTTGTTTTTATTATTTGTGGAGCCACTCGGTAAATTATGATTTCTCTGCACCATGATGTCCAATCAAGATCATTCAAGTACCTATATGTTCCTGAGATGTTTGGGCATCTGGGAATAACAAAGTCTAGCCAAAGTTTGCATGCTCTATTGATGCAATTCATGACTGACACCAGGATGACAAAAGTTGAGATACACAAACAAAAATTGCTCATATTATTTACAAAAAGTGCTCCAGAAACTCTAATCTACTTGGCTAAGTTTAAGCAATTGGCTAAGGTTAAGCAATTAATTAAGGTTAAGCAATTGGCTAAGTTTAAGCAATTGGCTAAGTTTAAGCAATTGACTAAGGTAAAGCAATTGGCTAAGTTTAAGCAATTGCCATATTGTTCTACATTATGGTTTGAACATGTTAGAACATGTCACATAAACCAGTCTTTTATCTGAGATCAGATAATTACATGAATTTAAAACATTACATTATGAAATCTGCAGTTTTTTGGGGTTTCCTATGGGTTTGTATTGTCTCATAGGGGCTTTCTGACTTAAATACAAACCCTTCACTAAATGGACTAGAGTCTCAGGAACATTTTTTTTATTTAGATAGTTATTATAAGCAATTCTGAAAGAATATCACACCTTTTTGTCTTCCCGATTTCATGTCATTATAGCGTACACACTTTGGATAAACATTGTCATTCCTGGATGCCCAAATGCCTAAGGAACACATAGATACTCAAATGATCTTGATCTCCTTGTTTCTCATAAAAACTTAACACTGCAATAAGTGGCATCATATGTAATGTACCATTTGAAAGTCATCTGAGGTGCATATCATCAAAAAGTAAGAGGAACATTTTGGACTTCAATTACAGGTTTATAAGGTGGGGTGGTTCTGTCAATAGTTTGTAGAATGGCATAAGTGAGTCTAACTCTCTTTGGAATACCTTATTTGGCAATGATGTCTTGATTTACCTTATTTGGTCATGAATTTATTTCAAATGATATCT